TTACATTGCACTTCTCTAGGGTCTCTCTAGAATAGTGCTTGACTTGGTATCCCTTACGGATCACACTCCGTGATCATCTTCACCAGCAATTTTCTGCTAAGACGGATATTTTTCCGCACCTTCCATCCTATCTATCCAGCCCACCCTCTTCACGCTTTCCCCACGTAGCTGTTGAAGCAGGATTTTAATCCGTATGTAATTGCGTCTGCCATTGACTTAGTCTGTCCATTATAGTAGCTCTGACAGTGGTTTTTGGTATCCATATAGCCAGCTGTCCGTCCGTCTTGCCATCGTTGCTTCGCCAGGCATGCCAGTGTATCCTGGTCCAAGTTTGATTTCCCCCTTATCTGAAAAGCTCTCCATTTGATCCAAAATGACAGAACATCGGTGCGACCAATTACCCCGAATGCGAGCCGTTCCCTGGTCATGTTCCGAGTCAGTGGACCTGAGGAAGATAGAGCATCCACCAGTTGAAACTTTCAAGGCCGCTGTATAGTAAACATCCATAGAGCCTCCATCGTCCTTCACTGCCTCCTCCTGCTCTGACCTTCGGCTCAAAGTGCTGGCAAGTGCCGACCTCTACCAGACGCCCCCGAGTTGAATCAGGTCGAGGCAAGCAAATAGAGGCATCTATCCAACAGCCGACAACCAGTAAGGGACTCCGCATGGCGGACTGCTACAAGGCCGTCTGCTCGGCGGTATCCCAAAGGTTCGAGTCCTGTCGTAGCGCGGCATACATTAAAGTCTCCCGTTTTCTTGCCCGTTCACCATAGAAACTCTGCCCAAGCACCTTCAAACCCCTTGATAACACGACGAAGAATCCGTCGACTTACCATCCTACCAACAATACCTTCCAAAACATACATCTCCTTTCCACCATGACAGGACCCAAAAACCTCGTCAAACTCCCCATCCCGCTAATCACAATCCAGCATTCATACGTCCAAGACACAGCATTAGATTCAAACGTAGTAACCAGCAACGTACCACAAGCCCATGCGAGACCTACTGCCCTTTCTACCACCGAGAACACGCCTTGACAATGGTGAACAAAGAGACACACTACTGTGACGATGCTCGATTACAAACATTGTTAACAACACACCCACTTCCAAACTTCATACAAACATCAAGTCACCGCCGTCAAACACCCCACAATAACAACTCAATCAAAAACATTAGGCGTATACTACAGCATCACTGATATATATAGTACCTAAAGTAGACACGAGGTATATACCGGCCGCAATCTCCCCCTCTTAATTAAAGTAACATTCATCTCAGACGGCCCATCAACAGCCCGTCAGGAACCACTCGTCAAACGCCATGCCAATGCCCAAATAAAACTAGAGGAACTGAAGAAGAAGAAGAAGAACGTAAAAAGCGTACACATCCAAGCCGTATCGCGGTGGCTAAGAGAGAGAAGCAGTCAAAGCGCCATACTCGTCTTTGAAGCCAACAGCACCATTATTTATGGAAACGCGGAAGCCACTGCTGAAAACAAACAAAAGCTCAAGTCAAACACCAAAGAACAGCTTAGTGCCGAGAGGAGTAGCGGTTCGTCGTGGGCGAGTAGGCCATGTCGTAACCACTCGACTGACCATAAGGATCGTCCGCGTACATTGTGCCGCGACGCTCGTCTTCGCCCAGAAGCTCCTTGACTTCCCAGTTGTTCATCCGAGTGCCCACGGAGAATTCGAGATCCTCCTTGGTGATGGAGTCCCAGTACTAAAGAAGAAAAAAGCATCTGTTAGCATCAACAAACAAAGACATATGAGACTCTCGAGCAACCATACCTTGTAAACCATCATGACGGCCAGCAGATTGCACACCGTCGCAAAGAACAAACCGTCCAGGTAGTGGCTCACGGCGACGCAAATCTGGGCGCTAAAGGCATACAGGATGACCTGCCCTGCGACGAAGAAGAAGATGCCAAACGCAATGTCGCCCAGCGGCCAGCGATCCTGCAGCGTGCGGACGACGAGCAGGATCTGCATGCCGACGTAGACAAACAGCTCAATGGCGTTGAGCAGGTACAGCACGACAAACAGGCCGACCTGGTTCGTCGGGCTCAGCCCAGCCCAGCTCTTGAACGTCGCCAGCGACACCAGAAAGGAAATGGCAAAGGCCACGGCCGAGCAGAGCCACAGCATCCACACCGAGAGCGGCGTGCCGTCCTCGTACAGCTGGAAGCCCACGAAGCCGTTGACCAGCAGGCACGTCACGACGGCGCTCGTCAGCCCGTTCTGCACGGCCGAAAAGTACGGATAGGGCCCGCTGCCGGGCGGGACGACGCCGGCGTCGACGACGAGGGAGATGAAGGTGAGCAGCATGTAGAGGTAGAAGAAGGTGAGGATCTCCTTGCGGCCGACGGCGGTGAACTTGCTGCGGACGTGCAGGATCATGATGACGGTCATGACGAGGGCGCCGATGTGGGCGAAGGAGGCGGCGCCCTCGAAGATGATTGTGTTTGCGACCTCGATGTTGCGCGCGTAGCAGCTGGGCTCGATGCCGACGCGGCCCGACGACGAGAGGACGGGGCCGATGGAGGCGCAGAGGGGGAGCGGCGTGTGCTCGCAGATGGACGTGAAGTCGCCAAAGCCCGACATGGTGGCGGTGATGTATGTCTTTGCTTCTTTCGAGCTGTGTGGTTCGGATCGCGGGTTATCGTATTGATCGGGTCGAGGGTATCGTGCCGTATCGTGTCGCGGAGTCGCAGGAAACGAGCGTCGTCGGTGCGCAGCAGCGAATGAATCAACAGTCGCCTCGTATCATCCGTCTCTTTCCTCTAGGTAGGTATCGTCGATGCGCGACCAAATCTCGATGCGACAGCGATTCGTCGTTCAAACAAATCAAGATGCCACGTTCTTCTTCTACTCCCCCTCTAGATGAAAACGAGTGTCGTGAAGCGATTGACTGCGTGAAATAAAAACAAAGAAAAAGAAAGAAGATCGCCGAGCTGGAACCGACGTCGTGCAGAAATGCAGGTCGCTGTCGCTTCCGTCGTCGTTCGTGGTTTCGGGTGAGGAGGAGGATGCCGGTGGATACGAGGCCGTTGCCAGAGACGGAGAAGAGGCGCAAGAGGAGGGAGAAGCAGTCAGACGAGAGAAAATTGGCAGAGAGTTTACGAAGTGCAGTGGTTGGTTGGGGGGGTGGGATTGTAGCGGGAGACCCACTGGGGAGGGAAGGGTGACTTGATGGAATACGGGGAGGCGGTCATTGTCCATGTATCTTTTCGCAACTGCTTTGTCTCTTGATAACGTGGACGACCAAGCCAGAAATTAGCAGTCACAGAGGATCATCAGAAGTGCATGAGGGTACAGTTAGCAGATCAATGGTTCATCAAGATGCATGGCTACTAAGACAGGTCAAAATGCAGGGCTATCGATGTTGTGCAGTGATTGAAGCCATCCGCACGGTGGAGACGGCTCACGCTGACCACTCACATCACCAAGGTGACGAACCATAGTTTACCTATATTCTGACATTGACCTCAAGACACATCCATCAATACGGCTCACACTGAGATCAAGGCAGTTCACAGACGTTGTTCATATAGATGGATGAGGAATACAAGTACACAATGCAAGTGTAGTGGCAGCTTGTAGAATGGAAACACCTCCTGCAAGGCAACTTGTCGCGACAGATCAAAATAGTATCATGAGCTTCACTCGATTTCGAGGTTTCCATACCCTACAATCACATCACAATGCACAATAATAACCATTCAACCACCGTCTATCCCTTTCAGTACTCTGTCTATCCCGAGTGTAGAGCGTAGCACCTGAACTGAAACCAACGACTTACCTCCTCCGTCCAGTACTTGCCCTCACATCGAAACCCTGACTCTTCAGCATTGACTTGAATAAATCATCAACACAATCATAAACAATCCACTCCTCCGCCAAGGAGGCGTCAACATCACCATCAAATCGTCACTTCTTCGTGTCGTTCACATTATCGTCACGTACACATGCGAGTACCATGGACCATCGGCGAATATCACGCCGCCTCATTCTCATTAATCATTCGCTCATCTAATGCAGCGCCTTCAACTCCTCGGCCATGCGACCATGCGATCAAAAAGTGACAAAAAGGCAAAGCGCCCCGTGCGCATCTATCAATCAATCCTTCACCGCCATGCTGCTCTGCTCGAAGAAGAAGCGGAAATAGAAATCATAAAAGCCAGGCAAACATCGTAATGCCCCATCCCTTGTTTCCCCAAAGCCTTAGCGGTAGTAGTAGGTATCTTGAACAAAAAACAGAAAATGAAATAGAAAGTCATGGGAAGAAGGGGGCCAAGGCCTGAGATTGCTCGTGTGCATCAACCGCCACCAGATTAGATGGCGTCCCGTTCCATTCCAGCCGTTCTCAGGCCAACCGCCAACTCATGTGTTCCCCCTCCCTTCGTCATGCCTGTAATCATGCCGCTCGTTCGGGCATATTAAATGGATAGCTCGATTTAAAAAAGACATCATGGGACAAGGAAATGAAAACGAGAAACGTAACGGCATGACCACAGTCGAAATCAGCCCCAGAGGAATGCTTCTGGGGGGATATATCAAACGTTTCCCCCAACCACCCCCTTCAACCAGAAACCGTGGCTCTGTTTGCTGGACGGCTTCGTCAAAGTGCAGAGCCTTCCGAGTCCCAATCCCTGTGCCGGCTTCCTTATTAACCAAACGCCCCAAGCGATGCAAATCCATATGCTGCGTCCTGACGACGAGCAAAATTCGGGAAAAGAAGAGCAGAAAAAACAAGAAGCAATGCGAACCCATGTCGAGAGGGAAAAAAAAGAAAATCGAGACTAATGGTACAAATGTAGACACTCCCAAAAGTGGGGGAAAAGAGGGAAAGCGAGGGAAATAGTACAAGGATGCTGAGACACGCTGCAGAGCAACATGTCTTGGTTCGTCTCCTGCTCATGGGCCAAGAGTCGTCATGCAGACGTGCCGACCATCCACTGGCCAGCGGCCGCAAAGGGAGCATTGCCACCACCCCTAGGGTGCATACGATCCTTGCGCTGCGTGTTGCGGGAGAGACTGCTGACCCTGGTTGTACACTATAAACTCGGGCACCACTCCCGTGCGCAGGTCGTTTCGTCGGCCCAGAGGCTGGTAATGCATGTGCGTGGGCGGCACCGGCACGGCCAGGTGATACTGATCCAGCGAAGCCGACGGCGGCGGGTAGAGCAGCCTGTTGACGTGGCGGACGGGCTTGTAGGGGCTCGCCCGCTGCTGCAGGTAGACGCTGGGCGAGTGCGAGATGGGCGTCAGGGCCATGGGCGTGTGCACTCCCGTCGCGGCTCCAAACGGCGTCTCTCCCATGGGCGACGATGTGTAGCCCGAGGTTTGAAGGCCGGCCAGGCCGTGCTGGCGCTTGCTGGGCGTGGCATACGCCATGGGCGGCGGGCCCTGGGGAGCCGGTGCTCTGGCGAATCCGTTTGTGACGACGGGAGCAGGTCGTGCCGCGGCGGCGGGTGCGTAGTACTCGTCCTGGACTCTGGGCAGTTCCGGTGCCGTCGTCGTCATCGATGGGTAGTAGTCGGCGGAGACGCTGGTTCGCAGGGGCATCGTCGTCTTGTGGGGCTGGTACACCGTCGACATGGCACGCATGCCGGCCTGCAAGGGCGGCAGAGAGGCCACGTTCTGGCTGGCGTAGGGAGCGGACTGCGGGATATCGGTCGAGGGCACCGGGTTGGCGTACGCAGAGCTGGGTAAGGACATGTCGCTCGATGGCGCGGCCGAGTTGGTGTACGGAGACGGAGTGTAACCGTTTGCCGTCTGCTTCAGGTTGAGGGTTGGCGACGGGGGCGCGTATCCTGCCGTGAGAGGCGAAGGTGGCCTGGATGCCGTTGCCGTCGGGAAGACAGCCGGCTGCGAGGTGACAATGGACAGGTGCGGAACACCATACCTGGGCGCGGCACAGCTGTTGGACCAAGGGTTCTCGTGGACCTGAGCAGGATGCATACGCATAACTCGCTTAGAGGGGTTATTCACGCCCTCCATGGGCTCTCCATCAGGGCTGCGCTTCCGCGAGGGGCGCAGAGCCATCGACGGCTTCACGGCCAGGGGCGAGACGGGGTTGGCGTGATACGTGACCCAGTCTTGCGCGTGCTTCGAGACAGGCGGCGAGTACGTCGGGGCGGTGGCGGGACTGAATGCCGCCGCGTCGCTGGCCGGCAGCATTGTGGTCGGCGAGATGGGCGAGTGGAAGCTCCTGGAGGACGGAGACGTTGCGGCCAGCGGCGATGCCTGGGCTCGGGAGGCCTGCTCATAGTAGTCGCGGAAGCAGGCCAGCTTGGTCAACCAGTCCTCCCACTCCTCCTTGGAGGCAAGAAGGTTGTAGCGCATGTTACTAAGAAACTCTACTTCCATAACGTGTATCTCGCCGACCGCGAAGCACGACACCTCGGCCCACGTCTTGTTGGTGTAGGTGTTGTCGTCGAGGACTGTGCGGGCACCATGTTAGCTTTGGTTGTCCGGTCTGTCTGCGCCTGCTCTGGTCCAGGCCTTTGTAATTTCAAGCAGAGGCTCACATTTGTTGCCAAGCATGAGGGCCACCGTGAGCAACCGATACTCACTGCCCTCGCGTCCCTTGATCTGCGGCGTTGACAGCTTCAGTCTATAGATGAAGAGCAACGCGAGCAGTATCACGTTCTGTGTAACCTGGGTCGTCGACAAGACGTTGAATACCCATTTGCGGAACTGCTCGCTCGGCTTGGAGAGGTTCGCCAGCTGCGTCGTGATTGTGTCTGGCCGTGATCGGAAAGTCTCTGCCTTCTTCAAGCGGTCGATGGGTTCAAACCAAAAAAGGCACGTCATCTGTCCAAAGAATAGAGAGTCAGCTACTTGCGCCAGGGAAGCAGTTGGTCGAGGCGTGGATCGGATCAAGGAGCTCGAGAATAGCTTGGGAGGAACTGGAAATATGGTGGCTTCGACGAACCTGGGCTGCAAAGTCTGCCAGGCTGCCGCCGTTGGGACTGATGCATCGCGGGATTTGGAGACTGTGGTAGATCAACGTCTCAGGGCTCTTCCGCGACGATGCAGCGTCTTTGGCGGATACAGCCGAGGCAGGCGTCTCTGACTTGGTAGACCGGTCTGAGGGAGTGGTATGAAGCTGCGTGAGAGGGCCATTGCGCGCCTGCGAGGCGGGCACCTGGGTGGGCTGGCTCTGCTGGAAGGGATATCGAGCGTACAGCGTAGCGGCGTTCCTGGCGTCGCTGGCCCCGACGGCAGAAGCTGATGTTCTGGGGAGGGCAATTGACGGAGCATAGGATCGCAGGGCGTGGTTATCGTAAGCGGCCAGCGCCTGCTGGTATGCGGTGCTCATCGCGTCGGCCGGGGGAGCGCTCTCAGGCCGCGCAGATGGAGATGCTGGCGAGCTTGGTGATGGCAATTGTGGGGGTGATGCTGGCGAGGGCGACGGTTGGCGTCGTGGGCGGCTGTCGAGCGTCGAAGGAAGCTGCTGAAGACTTGTGAAGCTGGAGAAGATGCAACGTCGCCGGCCGCAGCCTTAACAGACATGGAGAGCTCCTGTGACGAGGTGAAGTCGGCGGGACGAAGGTCGAAGGCGTTGCCGCAGTGAACAAGCGCGGCTGATACAAGTTTCGAGGCGAGATGAGGCAGAAGTGAAGGAGTAAGGAAAGGTGAGGAAAGGAAAAAGAGAGGACAGGAAAAAGAACGTGAAAAGGAAAAAGTCCCTCACTGCTATGCGTGCAGACGAAGGAGTGAGGGAACGAGGGACGAGGTGAGGCCAAGCTGAGGAACAAGCACATTCAAGAAGATAGAGTTGCAACTCGATCGAGAGGTGAGGCGTCGGAGGTGGGCGTGCGAGTGGGTACGCGATATTGGCTGCAGGCGTGGCCGGCGGGGAGGTACAGGTACAAGCGCGGCGGGCCAGAGGGCCAGGTGCCGCGAGGGTGCTAAAGAGAGCACTGTATGAGGTACTTGGTCCGCTGGCGATTCATCCACGCATGGAACTGCCACAACAAGACCCCGGATTTATTACTTCTGGGTGGCCCAATGCATCTCCGGGGGGCCGCTAGCGGTGGCTTCTGCCCTCTTGTCTCTTTTGCAGCGTCCGTTAGCATGGGAAGAGGCACCGAGTCACTGGCACTAGACGAGGCCGGACCAGGCAAGGAACGCTTGCTGACATGCATCCCTAGCATCCCTAGCAGCCAGCGCGGAGCCATGCCCGGGAGGAGGGAAGAGTAACGAAAAGAGGGAGGGCGTGGCACTGTCCTGTCGCGAGCGAGGAGGAGGGCGGCACAACTTGGGAGCCCGGCGACGGAAGATCCAGATGCTGAAATGAGAAGAGGGGGGAAGGGTTTGTGCTGCTTGCTGGCTTGCTTGCTTCCTGGCGGTTCTAGGAGAGGCATGTATTCTTCTCGTACAGGAAAACGAAGAGACGAGCTGAGAAGAAGGCATCGATGTCATGGGTAAGGTCTGGCAGGTACTTTGCGGGCTGGGCGGTACGGCATCGTCCTCCCCTTTGCGTTCGGCGTCGTGTGTGCGTCGACGCGGACGGAGCACGGCGTCAGTCGGGGCGCCTTTGCGGCTAGCCGGGATGGACGTGAAGTAAGAAGCAATACATCGTGGATACTTCAATTACAAAAGGGCACAAACGGGAACGGGGTCGCTTCGATGGGAGGATGGAACAGAGCCGGGCTTGGGCGCTGCGGTGGCTGGCGGCAGAAGGAGAAAGACAGACAGACGGACAGACAATCCATGGATGGTTGTGGATGATGGAGCGAGGAGGTATGGAGCACCGGTTGGGGTGGTCAGGTTCAGTTCAGGTTGGTACCTCGTAGTGGCACAGTACGCAGCACGGTGCGGACTGCGCCCTGCCCGCATTGGCTACAGCTGGCACGCACGCAGGTACGACCAAGCGGTACCTCAGTACCTGGGCAGTTCAAGGTTGAGCCTTCCATTAGCAGCACCCACCCTTGCTCGAGCACTCAAAGCACTCAACGCGTCACCGAGAGCACATGTCACGTCCTGTCCTGTCCTGACCTCTCACGCGCATGACCTGCGCTTGTATGACGAGACGTGAGGTACTTCCGTCTTCTGTGCCTCCCAGAATACACGAGACAACTGCCCAGCGCTTGTTCGTCTGCCGTTGGTACCTGTATCCGGCTTCTGAGTCTGCTCACACATCAGGTCTTGTACGAGTGGCGCTGCGGGCACGACGCATGAGACACGCACGAGTACGGGGGACGACGAGAGGATACGAAGCGCCCCGTACACAGTACACGAAGGAGTCTGGTCTGGTGTCTTCCATTTGACCAGCAGTCTCGAGTGTCCGTCGCAGTCAGGCAGGCCCCCTGTGCTGAGCATTGAAAAGAGGAGCTCGCTCGCCCACACGCCAGCCAGTAGCAGCTGGATTCGTGCATCCCTGTCGGTGCGTCGAGAGGTTAACCTGCGGATGCCTCCTTTGTGTAGGAGTACGAGCACTGATTGCTCCACGCAAAGACGGATATCGTAAAAAGAACACCAGCAAAGCGGACGTTTGCCTCGATGGTCGTTTACCTCGAGGTATCGATCGTACTTGCAACAGCCTCTCAGCGGCGTGTGCCTCCTGTGCCTCCTCTTGCGGGGTTTCCAATTAGCGGCAGCACCAGCGAACTTCAACTTGCCGCCTGCACCGATTGGCATTCAAAGTACCGGAGGCGTCAATGGACTCATTGATTGCACGGTGATGGACTGCCAACTTCAAGGTTCTGCCCGTTTGTGCTCCATCAGGCCCGTTCTTGGTAGCGCTGGGAACAGGCACGAGGCCACGCCGACGGTGGGCAGCAACAAGCGCCCCTGCAGCAGACAAGACCAGACCAGGTACGAGTACACACACTCTGCAAAGAATTCCAGCAAGGGAATCAACCAGCCAACCAGTCACATCAAATCAAATAAGAAATGCAGAACAGGTCAAACCCAACTCGCACACCCCTTCCCTTCCCTTCTCCTCATCATGGTCGGCTTCCCAGCGCTGGAGCCACATCCCTGCCGAGCCCAGCTGACTGACACGGCGCCTGGAACCGGAACACCCGCTCCAACAGTTCGTTCAACAGGTACCCGTACTTGTACTCATCTTCAGTTGTTTGTCTTTGTTTCTTGATTTTATTTCTATACTATTTGTTTTCGCTCCCTCAAAGGGGTCAAGGTCGATCAAGGAGGCGTCGACTGGATCTCGACATCACCGCATTTTCCTTCTACCTATTCCATTGCCCTCTCCTTCGTGGGTTTCTGTACCATCTCCCAACAACTGCACCTCGTCTCTCAATGTGATGCCCTCACTTGTTAGTGGCACCCGTTTGACCCCTGCAACAGCCCACTGAGACGGCGCTCAATATCCAGAACCTGCACTAACCGCCAGGGAACAAAAGAAGGGCCCATGGATGCGATACGGGACTGCTGCGCTGGATGCTGCGAGAACTATCCAGCAGTAGTACTCCGTAGTCGTAACCAATATGGAGCTTCAAACAAAGCGAGGCGACTATCAGTATCACTAGTGTAGCCGGGCAAGAGAGGCGACTCTGACACACTGACACTGTCCGTTTTGCAGGTCACTCACACATGAGGGCATTACGAGTACCGATACAAGCCTCTTTTCGGTGACGACTGATTTCCATTACATGGACAGCCTGTCGCTGACCGTCATGCTGCGCCCCAAAATAGACATGACGGCATCTACGGGCATCCAAAGAGCGAAAAAGGGAACGAAAAGGCGATAAATATAAAAAGGAAGGTGAGATGCATACGTAAAAACGAGGACATCAAAGGCATGTCTGCTATCAAAGTTGCAAAGGCGGCGTCGCCGGGCTCATTTGCCTCAAAAGCCATTCGTTCATCCATTCCACACAGCCTCCGACTTGGTTATTAGCAGTTTTGTACTCGTACAGTATGAGGTCTTTCACTACTTCTTAGTGCCTTAGTACTTATTCACTGCCTTTCGATCGCCAGCCGCAAATGAGCGGCTTGGGGCCCGTTTTCATGCCGGTGCTGCGAGGATGAATGAGGAAGAACAGGGTCCATCTGCAACACGATATTCAAGGATGAAGAACAAAGGAAATCGTTGAGCGTCTGCCGTCCATGCACCGTGTTTTCTTACCTTTGTAGTGCAGATGTCGAATCAGGGACCTTGTACATGGAGGAAGCAATCCATGTTCTGTCAGCCTTCCTGATGGCTTCTTGTTCTCGCTCTCCGTCTCAGCTCCACTCTACAAAAGACATCGCTCCGGGACTAGACAGCGGTGGCACCTGTATCCGACGAGACGGCCAAACGGACCTCACAAGGTTCATCTATTGGCCGTGATGACGGGTTATTCGTACCAATACTGCAGACGATGTTCCGAGTGTACATTTTTATCTAGCTCCTTGCCAGCACAAAGAGTAGTCCTCTGAAGCACTTCGTACCTACGATCAGAAGGAAAGAAAACGACTTCTACAGCATGTGGGCTTAGGCTTGCTTCATAAGGCTCTAACATGCCCTTCCGGAGCACAGGTACCAACTAGGACGGGGTAGTAGTATCGTAGTATTGCTTGTACAAGTACAGCATGGAGTCGAAGCAGCCCAAACAACTCCACTTGACATGCCCATGCCCATGCCCATGCCCTCCGCTGCCCCAAGGACCGGATGGAGTTCCTTTGGGTTGCCAAGTGCCAGAGAGAGCTCTGGATGAAAACGATCCCCCGATCCGCGTCAGCCAGCCCCTGCGTTTTGCTTGGGGCGGTTACAAAAGCATAGCGCCAGGGCTTGTCGATGATGACTGGGCACGAGCACCACATGAGTGCTCTTGCATGCAATGCAGACTTTGCGGGATACGGAGTGTTCCGTATGTATTTTGAGGGACTACGTATCTGGAATGAACCCGTACTTCATCGATTTTGCCTTGCCACGGTTCTAGTATTCGTATCGTACCATTAACCACAATAGCCGCCATCTTCAAAGGTAAAGTGCTCGCATCGCAAAGCCGGTGCTAGTTCAACGCTGTTCCGGAATTGGATGGCGTCGCTCCAACAGTCTTCTTTTGCGTACCAAGTACATATGGAGTACAGGGGGGGGTTGTTATATGAGTGAGACACACCAAGAGGAAGATTGAGAAAATGAAAGACGTTTTGAATCAAAGCATGGAAGCCGTTGCAGGGCAAGTCCAGGAACGTGATATGTCACAGACTGCTTGATTTTTTATGCTGTTCCATCCCGCTTGTAATGGCTTTCTTTCTTCAACCTTCCTTTCCCTTTATTTCGGAGATAGGTGTTGTTTTCGCTCACTTCTGTATGCTGGCCCACACCTTGATATATCTCCATCTTCGCATTTTCCTTTTCTTTTTTTTTTTTTCTTTCTTTTTCTTGCCCCTCTGTCCCCACGCCCCTCCCTTCTAATACACCCCTGGACTTCTGAGAAGGCGGGAAAAGAGCTGAAAGGGCCGCGTACCGTGCATTTCAGTGGACCTGATTGGAGGGGAAGGGGGGTCTCAACGCACTTTGCTGTCAAGGATGGCATGCAGAGAGGGATTTGAAAGACCTTGTGCCTGTTGGCGTTCTTTTTTTTTTCTGGAGCTGTAGTTGTACTTGGATTGGAGCTTGTTAAGGCGGTGGTGATATGCCACTTACACGCCGCGGGGACGTGCAAAGTACTCATACAGGATTGTCGAGGAGCATTTCATTTCTCAGTGCGGTTAAAGAAGTGCTTGAAAGAATCGCCGGGAAATGACTACAATAGTAGGCACGAAAGAAGAAGATCGTCTTTATTCGTAACATCAAGGATATTCTTTTCGGTAGCCTAACGCAAAAGAAGTGAAATCACACGGATGCTTCACCCCCTCGATGCTTGCGTCACCATCGTATCCGCCAAAACCCGACAGGTTGAACTGTTATTCATCAACCGAAAGCGCCTTCATACGGAGAACATTGCCTGCCCTCGGTTGTTGCTTTGTAAGGAAGGCAAATGCATGCTTGTACTTGGGGATCCATCTTGATCCATCCAAGCGGTCGTTGGGCCACAAAGTCCAGCCAAGCCGAGACCCTTTTTTGCCCTTTTTCTCGCCCCCAGTCCAGAGGGCATGCACCTGTCTGAATGCGAACAAAGCCCAATACGCTAAGGCGGTCTGTAGTTGCTGTAGTTGCGGGTTCTGCTATAGCACAGTATCTGGTAATATTGGCACAAGCACAGGAATACTACAAGCACGGTGTAGTAATGGTATGTGCAACTTGATATAAGTTTTCTTCGCACTATTGCTTTTCCAGACTGTCCCTCCATGCTCCATATTTCCATACAAGAATACGGAGGATAGACAGCGGCGATAAGATACTGCCGTGTAAATCAACTGCAGTACTGCGGCCGCTCTACAGTCATTAAAAAGGGACATGATCAGATACGGAGAAGAAGCAAAGGACAAAATAAAAAGCAAAATCCTGCTTTTGCGTATTAGTCCTCGTCTTGCAGATGACACAGGCATCCAAAATCCATCCTCGGCCCCTCCATTCGATGAAGCACCAAAAGCGCAGGAGAAAGATGGCGCTTGAAGTGGGCTACGTCAAAGACTTGTCTGCTAAAGCTCTCCCCCCCTTGTCGAAGCCATCCCGCCCTTATTTGATTCGTGAGAGACAAGTGCTTGGAGAAATCGAAAAGCTCACGCCCGCCCTCCATAGCGAGACGGGCTGGTATGGACGATCACGACTGAATGCGACAAAGTAGCACTTATTTGCATGGCGTCTTACTCGAGACAATCTCGAATATGGGGCCCGTTAACTAGTACATAAAGAGAGAGGAGAAAGGAAAAGAGCTGTTTTGCGTGTCTGTAGTGGCGCAGCGAATCAGGTAGCGCCAGACACAAGGGAGAAGATACCTGGTCATCTTGCTGTAGACTTCCTTCATTCGTGTAAGAGAGACATCTGCAGAGAAAAACGTCGACCCCAGTTCATAAAAGAGGGCTGGTGTTATTGGATCGAACAGGGCAATAACGTGAGCTTTCCCGCATTTGATGGATCAGGCAGCACGCTGTAGATGTAATACTGACATGTTGAGGGAAGAGAGTATGAGTGGTGTGAGCTGTCCCTTTCTGACTCTTGTAGTACATGCTAGTAGTAACATGAGGATCCTCGTTCCTTCTTCGTACAGGTGGCAAAAAACTGAGAGTTCGATCAGCCCAAGCGCAAGTACTGCAAGTAACAAGTATTTCGCAGCAGATCCAAGATGCGCAAGCGTGGGGGCGCGCAAGAAGCAGGGGAGGTTGCAAAGGGTTAGGGACATGAGGAAGACATCCATGTCATCTCCTCCGGACTGCGACCAGGGGTATCTCTGAATGTACGAATACTTAATACCTACAGACTCGGACGGAGGTGATAGTCCCGACGACTAATATCAAGTTACGGTGGCCCGGCTGCACGAGGAGGCTGTATAATGTAGTCCGTATGTAGCTGCGTTCTTTGGGAAAGCCGTCAGGTGGCTCGGATGCGGGAGATGCACTTCGGCTGAGCACCAAATTCTCATTTCGTCTGTGGTTGTTGACTGGTAAGTTTTTGGACCGAGGACGCCTGCAAAGTGCAGCATGGATGCCTTTGGAGCACACGCAGTCATAGTCTAGACTTACATGAAAGTAGGCTGAAGCTGTAAGACTCCACGTAGCTCTAGCTCATCCAGAAAGCACTGGTCTGAGCATACGAAGTACATACAAGTCGTAGACTATGCAGCAACAGCCTCTTTCAGACAGCACGACGCAGCTCCCCTTTGAAGTCCTAGCAGGGGTCGCTTATTGGTTGCCAGGCCCTTGTTCCAGGCATGGCATGTTCCCCCAAAACCGCCCCGAACCAGGCGATCAGGGTGTGTCTAAACGCAGCCTGGAGCCGGATGCCTTTCCATCATGTATCATGAGAATTTCACCTCGTCTCGCGGCAATGAAAATACGTTTGCGATAGAGGGGCGCTTCATTCCTTTGTGCCTTGATCACTACTTTCAGTAGTGACCAGCATTGTGTAGCGATGGCAACAACTTGCACATGTACAGTGTGCACTGTAGAGTATCTTGACTCCCCTGACTCCCTCTCCAGGATCTGAGGATAATCTCGCTGATTACCGAGAACTAGCCGTCCTCTGACGAGATGTTGCCGTGGCCAGAGAAAAGGAAAGAGGGATAGTGTGTTTCGTGTGTAAATGAAAATGGAACACGGACTGCCATGTCTCGGCCCGTTGGGAGATACAAGAGCTGAACTGTGCTTGAAAAAGCAATCTGCAAAGCCCGACATTTGATACTGTATCTCCGGGCATGAACTAAGGCAACAAACCGTGCCCACGATGCTTTCCATTCTGGTCGAAGCGAGGAATGAAGGCCAATGCCAGGGCGCCATGTCTCATAACTCAACGCCCAGAGCGCTCCGTATCAGGTGCGGGATGCTTCGTGGCCAACCAACAGCCAGCGGATTGCGTACTTGTACTTGGTAGCCCTGCCGAGAACGCCTCCTCGTCCGGACATGGGCAACACGGTCGGTGGACAGGTAGAGTCGCATCTAGAGTTATACGGACTGCAGAGGTCATGCCGCCGACTGGGATTCCGGGCGCCAGGTTCACCAACAGCGCCCAAGCCAGGCTGAAGCGGATGGTGCCAAGTTTGTCCAGGGTGGGATCGTTGCCAAGTAGTATTAGATACTGAAGACTATGTCATTCATGACTTGGACGACAATCTGAACGCCGGTGCCCCAAGTGTCCTCGACATTCAACGTTTGATCCAGGTACGAGTACATGCAGGGCATTGCCTGATAGTCGATATGAGCCATCAACAAGTTGTCAAGTCGGTATAGGAGCCTTTCACTGAATGCCTTGTTCCAGTCATCAAACTACTAGTAGTAGTGTATTCCTCGATGAGCCACGCCTCGAGGGGGGCCAAGGGCCAATCACAGGCCCACAAACCATCGAAGGGGGCGTGCTTGTGCGGGACGGCAAGCTCAAAAGACGGCGACTTCAATGTGGGTGTATGAGACAGATTAAGGATCAAAGCGAGGCAGAGGCTCAACAACAGCCATGCCGGCTCACTTGCGGAATCGGGAGCCTTTTCATGCCAGTGCCCGCGAGGGGAAGAAGGAGGCCGCGAGCCGTGGCTGGCTGCCGAATGATGCGGATGATGCGAATGATGCATGATGAGAACAGAGACTCGGAGTGCCATCATCATAGCGTGCTTGTACTGTACTTCGTACGTAGGTACGATGGGCGACAAATACCTGGAGGCGCGCCTCACTCCTTTGTAAAGGTGCGGTCACAGTGTGACGTCCAGCCCCAGCCTCAGCCCGTTGTGTGCCTGTTCTTCCAGGTTGATTAGCCATGCTAGCTTCTAGGCATCAGCCGTAGAGGTACTAGATCGGCCTGGCCACAGCCAACAAGACAAGCCGTTTCGTCAGGCGCGACAAGGACGGAACGATGATGACCTAGGCGAGGCGTATGATATCTCGCTGATCAAAGGCTCGCCCTTGTGCGACGACTCGTGCCGGAACCACTGCCATGCTATGTACGCTTATGACGAGGGACGATGCTTGGCTGGATCTGATGGAGTAGCTCCGATTGCGTGAATCGTTTCGGTGGCGGCGTGCGTCCCATGTCTCATCACGGGCATCCACCAAAGGAAGGGAAAAAGACTGACGAGATTCGGCAAGGCAAAGAAGAGGGGGAGGAGAAAAGAAGAAGTTTGGTGGCTCGGCGGCAGCCATCCAATTCCAGCCAGCCATTAATACCTTATTACCGAGCGATGGTTGTTCAGGTGGCCTGGACATCGAATCACAGACGCAAAGGAAAAGCGACTGTTCCACTCATGATGCTCCATACCTCTTCAATGTATGGATATGTATGTATGAAGTCGAGAGAGGAAGCAAGCCAGGCAGGGTCAATCAACCAGGCAACGAGGCAAACCGGACATCACGGCCGAGCACTGTGTGGAGAGCGAGTGCGGACAGAGCAGGTTCCGAGTTTGCTTGCATTGTTCTTTGCTCGAGTCCGACGGCGAAAGGCGACGCTTCCGGTGCATCTGCTCGCTCATCCACGACGGCGTCAGAAAGCGGAGTGGAGTTGGGCCAGGAATTTCGTCGCCAGTCGTCCGTCCAGGTCCAAGTCCAGTCCAGGGCCCTCCTGTTGGACCACCTCACACACAGGCAGAGTGAGGCGCTAAAGATAGCCTCTGTTTGCCTTTTGCCTTGGCGCAAGACGCGGAGGCCAAACCAATATTATTTGCCCAGGTCGCATTCGGATCAACTCATCAAATCCATGTCACGCACGAGAACATACGACACGACACGACACGACGGCCCAACCAGCCAAGCCAGCAGCCGGATGGATCCAGCCCCTGATGATGGTGATGCTAGGACTCGCCCGCGTCTAAAGAGGCTGCATGTCGAAGTGGTGAATCCTGTGATGGCCGGACAGAGAGAAGCCGAGGCTCTCCGAGTTTCGAGGAAGTGGCGGGGTCCATCAGCCGCCCATCAAACTGTAGCTCTTTATCGTCGAAGTATCATGTCGTCGTCGTTTGTCTTCTTCCTCCTCCGGAGGCGTCTCCCATTCCAATGGTGAAAGTGTTTGTCCCTTCTCAGAACCTTGGGCTTGGTGGCAGCGATTGAAAGCGCAGACACGCCTGATTCAAGTTACCTCGGGAGTCGGGCTGCTCGGCTGTGACCTCGACGATTCCTCTTTGCTCGCTTGTGGTGGTTGATGCCCGCTAGAGACCCTTACACCTTGCACTCGGCGTTCCACAATCACGGGCTACTGAGTAATATATTCTGCCGCCTCTGTAAGTGTGTAGATGGTCGAGAGTGGTGTTCCGGGTGGCGTCCAGACAGACAGGCTCCGTTCTTGTACTCGTACTTGCTGCACTCCGTAGCAGTGCGTCCGTAGCCACATTAGCTGCTGTAGCCCACGTACAAGTACGGATTGGATACTAGCCCCATGCACTGCAATGCTCTGCAAGACGGCTCCGGCCCACCTCGAAAACTAGCTGTTCTGCGGCCGTGTGATTGGATCGTCGTCGTTGCCTTTGGAGTTGTGATAGTGAAGAGGAGAATGGCAAGCCCGAGATGCCTCCATCATTGCTTTGCCTTATCTTATCGCGCAGGTGCCCAAGATGCCTCCATACGGCAACAGCGACCCTGATACTGGCACCAGGTGAACAGATACAGCTGTTTAAGCACGCTGCGCCGCCAAAGCGCAGGTACCTCATTATCACACTTGGCTTCACCAGCCATGAAGGCCTCAACGTCACGATGGCCTCGCCGCAGCAGCACCTCCTTCACACAGAATTATCCTGCTTGTCTCCCTGATGCGACGTCAATGCACATCTTCGTCATCTCGACTCTCGTCTCTCTCCTCAATCCCAGCATGTCTCGCGCACAGGACCCAAAAGCGGGCCGGGGCTCCATCATCAATCAGCCTCGATCCTTCTGGCGTCAAGCTAAAGTCACTCGATGGAGCAGCCATCAGAGACCCATGTTGCCATGGCCGGCCGGCATGACAGTACCAGAGGCTGCCGGACGATACGAAGCACTGTACGGTGTGCTCTGTGTCTGGTTGAACTTGGTTCTCTCCGAGTCGCTGCCGCTGAGTATCACTCGTCGATGGAGATTCAACCTTCGTACAGACGTGCTTGCTGATGATGTCCCATGAACGCAGCTCCCTTCATCTCGCCCTCAGAGTCAGGCGACTGCGTGTGACGGACGTCCCCGTCCTCAGCCCACCACCCGATCCAACCTCAATCTATTCCGTGCTCCGTAAAAGTACGAGCTTGTGTACTCGCCGGGCGGCCTTGTCGAGACTCCCCGAATCCACTCTTCCAAGGCCACTACTTGACTGTCCACGGAGTACACGACAGGCGATGGTCCAGCAGCTGCACGTTAGTCATCGCTGGCCTATCTTAGGAGACGCCACGAACAACCTTGAACTGACTTGGAGGCGAGCCCCCAGACGGTCGGCCGCAGCAGGCTTGTAGTGCCACAAGTACTCGCGCTGGAACCAGGGCGGCCCATGCACACCACATATCACATCAGGTGCGCCGAAGCGCTGCTTGGTTCGGCACCACTAGCATCAGCAGAGGTCATGGCATCAGCATGGGCGCCAGACTTGCCTCAGGGTATGACGGGGCCTATCGCCTCTGTTTGGGTACTTGGGCGCCGTCGTCGCCTCCTGAGCTGCCAGGTAGAGCGAGCGTTCTGTAAAAAGGACTATACAGGAGTGTCCATCGCCGCTTGTATTACACATTAGCCTCATGTTGCTCTCATTACTCTCCAGGGGGGCGCCATAAGCACGACGAGAAAAGCTGCCCAGTTGGTCCTGGAATCGAGTGCCATTGGGCGCGCGTGCACGCCTTACAACACACACACACACATATTCCCATATTATATGGCGTCAAGGCCCCTACCAAATGCCACAGACAATCAGGTAGGTGGTATGTATGCTTGCCTAGACGGAGCATTACCCTGCTGCTGCAAAAGCGTGAGATGAGTACGAACGTAGTACCACTACAAGTGAGCAGGTATGCAATATGAGCATGCAGTCTCCCACTTGGCAGCTCGTCTTGAGTGGCTCGAAGCCCCCTTAGCCTCGACGCCATGTTCAAGCTGCTTTCCACCTCGTTTCTGTTTTCTCATTTGCTCACATTCTTCGCCTTTCCTCTGCCTGCCGGGGTGATCATGGTATCATGGGCATCATCAGCTGTGAGGCGGCAGCCAACTGCAGCGCCCGTTGGCTTGGGCCGAGCATCAACTGCGCCCGGTCCGCAACGAGATTAGCCGTGTTTCTCATCATCTCGACCTCTGGGCCGTGTCAATTCATCGATGGCGAACAACGGTGATCCCTTTCCGACCTCCTTAACTTGGCACCCTCCCTGAAACCGAACTGAGCAGTTGATCGGAGGCAGCTGAGGCTCCCCGCCCTAGCCTTGGGCCGCGTCTCTGCCTCTTACACTCTGGCCCCGGCCTGTTCGCGTTCCGGTGGCACGGCGGAGGGCCGGATGGCGGCTCCCTGCTCCCTTGGGCCTAGACGCCTTCATGACGGGCAAAGTCCAACAGGTTGAATCAAGTGCCACCTTTCTGGTCCTCTTGGGTCCACAGAACTGGCCTGTCCTTGCTGCACTAGACGTCGACCTCCTTTACCCGGGCGGCTCTTCCAACTTCAAACCCCATCAGCGAGCGCCATGGTTCAAACACCTTGACCCAAGGAAGTCTCTGTTTCTCTTGCTCTACTTGTGCAAGTTCCAACAACAAGGCCAGCCCTCCGGTCCGCCATGAGCCTAACGTTGCCTGCCTCTTCAGCCAAGGTCCACTGGCTGATGGAATAAGCCAATCTTACGAATCCTTCCCCTCCGGCGTCAAGTCGTCCTTTTGCTCCTCGGCTATCGGGTTATACACCAGATGCGGCTTGTTTGCGCATGTACAAGTACGAGTATCACTACAAAGCAGCTGATCCGAAGCACAGTCTCATCAATGCAGAGCCGGGCTCGCTCAATGACGGCATGGGGCCGTGATGCTCTGGCCTGGCTGCCTGATTGGCACATGCTCCGTCCGCTCGCTCTCAATTCCTACCGCTGCCTCATCCAGGATATTGGGATGGCGCAAACACGGCATGGCAGAGCCGGGTTGATTCAAGAGCGGCATTTCGTTGCAGGTTGGTAAGGCCCAGCCGAAGGCGCTGGACTCAGACCCCTCACCAGCTGGGTCATCTTTTGGGCAGTCGCACCATGCCGGGATCCTTGATAGGCCGCTGTCGCGCAAGATGAGCTCGCTCACACTCTTACTCAGAGCCCGAGAGCATGCCAGTATAGAGACGAGGCATGGTGCGGACCGCGAAACAACCCAACCACCCTCTCCAGGCTCCAGCAGTGCCTTCGATTATCCTGTTCCTCCTTTACTCGCAACCCTGTGATCTCGCCTTCACGTAGGCCGCGTAAGGAGGCCTTGTTTCGCTTTGCATCCATGGACTGTGACGGATGCAAACAAATCCTCTAATGACTTATCAGATGTGATGCTAAGCTGCCTTGCCGGATATCGGCCTCGGAGACCGATGAGGGGAAAAGAGAAATAGTACGAAGACATAACGCAATCGACTGTAACGATGATCACCACCGTCCACTGTCCACGTCTGCAACATGCGTTAAGGTGCACGCCGACGTCCCGCACCGATGCTCGGAGACCGAATTTCATTGTGAATGGTTACGACTCTGGCCATGAGGAGTTACGACGGAATCCTCTCATAAAGCGCGTATATGAACGCTGGTTGATGGCTCTTTGATGGTGCATTGTGAAGTAGTCAAGCAGTCTCTGTCTCTTACGTCCATTTGAGTCTCCTTTCATCGATCCAACATGCCCAACAAGCCGACCACCGCGGATCTCTATCCCACCCCAAAGGTAGCCGCCGAGGTGACGGCATACTCTGAGCGGAACTCAACCTCGCTGCCAAAGTACCTCGTCGACTACCATGCCTGGGTCGAGGAAACCCATCCACACGCGACGTACATGGTCTCGAACCTGCAGGCGCAGAGTCTCGTCTTCTTCGCCAGAGCCTTTGGAGCCAAGCGGATCCTCGAGATTGGCTCATATGTCGGCTACTCTGCGCTCGTGTGGGCGCATGCCGTCGGCCAGGAGGGCAAGGTGACGGGCCTCGAGTTCTCGGAGGACTATGCCAAGATTGCGAGAGACGCGTTCGAGAAGCATGGCGCGAAGAATGTGGAGATCATTGTGGGAGATGCACTCAAAACGTAAATCAGCTGGCTCATCTTGACTTCCGTTTGATTAAACTTTACTTTTTAGGGAGACTAACAGAGATAACATGCAGTCTCTCAGCCCTACAGCCTGAAGAGCCATATGACCTGATCTTCATCGACGCTCAGAAGTCAGGCTATCCCGCCTACCTCAGGGACATCCTCGCCGGCTCCCAGCCCGGCTCGGCCACGCGGCTCCTGCGCCCCGGCGGCATCATCATCGCGGACAACGTCCTCCGGCGGGGCCTGGTGGCCGACGGCAGCGAGGAGAATCCCAACGCGCAGGTGCAGCGGCACGTCGGCTCGCCGGAGGAGGATCTCGTGGCGCTGCGGGAGTTTAACGCTGCGCTGGCGGGGGACAAGCGGTTGGAGGTGCTTCTGCTGCCGGTGTTTGACGGGGTTGGGTTTGCGAGGCTTTTGGATTGATTGAGCTTTTCGATGAGTTGCCCGAGGGAAATGGAAGACATGCCGTTGAGCAGGCTGCATTCTCTCGATGTTGAGTTATTGGCTTGGTGAGAGATAGGGACCCGATGTCATAGCAGCACGATATAAGCCACTCCTTCTGTCCAGTCCAGTTAGGTCAATACATATATGTCATTATAGAGAATGGCATTCACGGAAATGTGTTGCTGTCAAATTACATTCATTGCTGGTAGCAATGATCCTTCTTTCAACCGATATAGAGGAGCATCAAGGGGGCAACCATCGGTTTACTATTATAGGGTACGCAACGTTGGAGAAAACACGTTCAGACGGACTGGAATCATAAGAACGCAATGTAGGATACAATAGTAAGGTATGTAATTGCAACTGGTCTTGGGCTCATCTCCGCTCACTATCAAAGGCAGCCGTTCTGCTCAACCGCGCGACGCTTTCGCACTCATGAATATCTGCTCCATGCTCCATGTCTCCGTATATATATGTAAATGGTCAACATCTTTTCGTCCCAAAAACGCCCGGTTCAATAAGCCCGGCCAATCTGTTCTAGCCGTCAATCCAAACAACGTCTCCATCAAGGCAACGCGATATCGTCAGACGCAGGACTGCTCGCCGCAGTACTCTCATCTCCCATCTCCGACTTCGCCATCTCCTCCGTCACCAAATCCGTCCACCTATCGCCTCCCGTTCGCAAAACGTTGTGCGTAGAAAGACACTCACCAAAGTGTCTCTCCCGCCTCGTCGTTCTCCTCTCGCCGCCTTCGAGTGCCGAGTATGCGCTTCGTGTAGTGCGCATTCGCTTCCGCTTGCCGCCTTCGCTCATGAGGTTGCTAAGTTTTAGGCGGCGTAGCATGAGCTGGTGCTCGTATGCTACGATGCCGCGGACCCAGGGCGCCACGTCAAGGACGATAAGGTTCATGGTGCGGTCGAAGACAGAGGGGTCTAGGTATGTTGTTGGAGCGACCTTGGGGGGAACGGCGATGGGGTCGAAGGCGATGGCAATGTCCATCCTGGTCATCTGGTGAGGACAAGACCGAAAGAATGAGTCGAGAATCGAAACAGTCTGCCCTTCATCTATAGGTCGTAGAGCAGAGGCCTTCGCTGACTCTCGTGCTGCGTCATGTGGCTCTGTTGATGAGTTGAGCACAGTAGCCCGAGCCAGAGACTTAATGCACGTCGAAATGGCCTTATTTGGCGCAGCGTGATGGACCATGACATCGGCATCCAGAAGTGCCTGCCCCAGGATAAAGTCCTCTCTGATGTGGGTTGCGAGGTCGGGGATTGTCGGGTCCATAACCTCCTGCAACTTCACCCCGTAGGCGCCCCCTGAGCAGATATCCGCAGAGCTCATAGCAGTGCAAAAGTCATCGTAAGCCTCCAGTGTCCCAAGACTTGTCGCGGTCTTCGCGGCCCATGCATTCATACTACTGCCGTTGCACCAGTCTCCCATGTCGAAGCTCCAAAAGTCCCATACTTGCTCAATAGCCTCCTGTTCGGCGTCAAGTCCGCTCGTGGCGACGATAGGATCCCGATTAAACCATCCCATGCCCTTTTGATAGGCATCTTGACTGATGACTCGTACCACATCACCATTCTCGTCCAGGTCAGAACCCTTGGGCCAGCGAAGGTAGAACCAGTCATATCCTCCTTTACGATCGCCAACGCCAATTTGACACCAGTAGTTGAGCTCGGTTATTGTTGCTCTCAAATCGCGATCGCGAGAATTATACAGAGCTTCGACAGCGGATCGCTGAAGAGCATGGCCTTCGTTGGCAGCAATAAGGAGACAGAGATCCACGGCAGTGCTCAAAGGGGCGGCTGAAAACCGAAAGATGCCATGCAGATTCAAGCTCTGGATGGGTAACAAGCTCTCGTCGTTGCAAGTCATGATGAATGGTCGTTTGGACTGTGCGATGAGGCTTGTAAGGGTTGCCCAAAACTGCTTGTCTTCTTCGAAAAGTACATCGACTTCTTCGAGGAGAATCAGAGACTGCTTTTGACTCTTAGGCGGCGCCTTTGCCTCTTTCTCCACGCTCTCCTTCTCTTTGGACTGCTTCGCTCGTTGAGGCTTCGCTGGTTGTAATTTGGGCTTTGGCTGGAAGAAAGAAGTCATCATGCCCTGCTTGCCGGAGTTGATCTCGCTGGCCACCTCTTCTGGATCGATGGCGGTGGGGTCAGCGGCGCCTCGGTTGTGCTGCACTAAATGATTTCGTGTCATATCGCCAACTTTCTCCAGAATATCTTTCCCGCTCCTTCGACTGCCAGGATTGATCTCAAAAATCTCAAAGTCCAGCTCCTTTGCTACCGCGTAGACCGCTGCTGTCTTGCCGCTACCGTGGGGTCCGCTTAATATGATGGCATTCGTGAGACGGCTGCCTTTACTCGGATTGATACTGCGCATCACGGATTTCTTGATCAGCTTCGAGCCGGGTAAAGAAGCCCAGTCCCCATCGCTGTCGGAAATCTCGTCCATTTCAGCGTCCTCCTCTTCGCTATCGATGACAAAACCGTCCAGCTTGTTCTTCTTTCTCTTCTTCTTCGGCTTGCCTTTCTCCTTGTCGCCTTCTGAGCTCCCAGATTCTACAGACTGCACCCTAAGAGCCTGTAGCCAGTCGCTGAGAAGCAGTGCCTCCTTTCCTGGCTGCAAGACTTGGGCGGCCGTCACTGGAGCGTACTTCTGAACCCAAGAGCTACCTTCGCACTGTGATCTGTCAAAGGCTGAGAGTTGGGCTTCCAGGGCTTTGTAGAGACAGCTGATGGCAGGATGAACCTTGGAAGACTGCTGATTCGCGAGCTCATCAACATCCCCCTCGTAATATGCGGAATAATCGGTAAGGTGACTCCGTAATTGTGAACGGATTCGCTTTTGGAGCTTTCGTCCACTCTCGAAGTGCCTTTGAGGAACGCGTAATTCAGGGGGGGCTGGTAAGAAGCTGTTGTTGTCTCTAGGTAGACTCTGCCGGATTCCTGGAACGTCTAAATCACGTACAAGATGCCGTAATACGGACTCTTGCGGGGCAATAGCAACAGCGGCCCTCTTTGACCTCCTGTGCCGTATCCCAGAATCGTGACCGACAGCCCTTGTACTTGAGAAGTCATCACCCCGTACATGAGCCATCCCGTAAGGCGGCCATAATGGGTGTTTGGCACCAGGAACCTTTGTACCGCCTGATTTGATGCCAAACTGGATGCCTTTTCCGGAAGGGAACGGATTCCTGGGTTTCCTTGGCGACACCGGCGTGGACTTGAAGACGCTGGTTTTGTGGCTTGAGGGCTTCTTGACTGACTCGCCTGGTGTACTGGCGTCAGAATGTGGTTTCGATTTGCCCATGAAGAATGGGTGTGTGCTTTTGGCTTTTTCAGATGCCACTTCCGCTTGTCCTTGCTTGGGCGCGATAATCTTGCGTTTGCTGGGCACCAGTGAGAGCTGCAGCTTCCCTTCGAGTATTTCCTCAATCTTGTTGCCCATGTCCTTTCGGTGTTCATCGTCCCGTCCATACTTGATCGTGACCATGCGACTTGGCTTGCTTATTGCTTTTGGCTTCGGAGGCGAGCCCAAGGTCCCCGTTTTCGGGTTGAACTTGAGGATCTTCTTCGATTGAATAGGGGTAGGTGTCTGAGCTCGTGAAGTAGCAGTGGAGGGCTCTAATTGTTCGGTATTGGTCGAGGTCTGTTGCGCAGCATCACCTGGCTGTTGTGTGGAGGCTTCGACGAGGTTTGGTGGAGGGACGCTGGGAGCCAACTGGCCGCTTACAGCGTCTCTGGCAGCTCCATCATTCTGGTCTGGCTTGTTAAGATGACTCAAAATAGCTCCATTGAGTGTCTGCCTTGCGCTCTTCCTTCCCCGGCGAGCCTTTTTGCCTTCGGAATCATCTTGGACCAGAGAGGTGTCTGTCTTTTGCCGCTTTCGTTTGGGACCTTCGGCGGTACCTGGAGGCGCATCGTCGGGTGTCGGCTGGGCGGGATCTAGAGGTAACGGCGGCGGCACGGCATGCTGGTCGATGTCGGCTTTGGTGAAGAATGGATGAAGCTTCTTGGAGGAGGTTTCGCCATTCTCTCCCTGCACCATTGTCGCGACCAGGACCGGTCCCATTGATTCACCGCGTCTAGGCAGGAGCAGAGCAGCGTTAGTAAGGCTGTTGCCTCATAGCTGTTAACAATCATGCGTCCTGTCCCTCACCTTTATGTCGACATGAATGCCGCCGATATCCAGAGCAACGATGAAGCCGAGGCGAGGATGAGGATATGCCTAGGTCGGGTATGAGGGATGCTGTATTAGTGGAAGAAGAGGATAAAAAAGGAAGCGAAATCCTCCAAGCCTCATCAATGTCCAGAAACTCTCGTCAAGCCCACATCTGGTGCAAAAGTCCCCCCAAAGAGCCTCGTGTTGTCAGTTCTGCAGCAGTTCAGACGCGTCGAAGCTCCATTTACGCGTGCAGTTGCAGGTGACAGGGATCCTGCACATTCGCGCCACAAATCGCGGCCCCGCCACATCACCTTACCTAAGCAACCCCACTCCGGAATTTTGCAAGGCCGCTGCCAGAACTTTTTTTTTCTTCTTTATCTATGGCGATAGCTTCTATCGCTGCAGCCGCAAAATATTCAGCCCGCCAGCCTGAGAAGCGTCCAGCAACAACACCAAGACACCATGGCTTCTGAGTACCGGATACACAAGCCATATGTGCTGGCGACGCTGCCGAAGCCGCTGGACCACACCAAGGGAAATATCGTGGCCAGGGAGGTCTATGGCCAGCGAGATGGCCAGAAGAAGAGGAAGCGAACAGAGCTCGTGGTGGGCGTTGACGGGGAGACAACCAGCATCTACGACGTATGTCTGCTGCTTTTCAGCGGTCAATGGTATTATGCTGACGACCTGATATAGGTTCCTGCCTCCCGATTGATTACCTCATACCCAATTCCGCCCCAGGAATCTTTCACCTGCCCTCCTTACTCCGTCAGAGTCCGTCGCAACAACAGCAGCGATGCCCTGCGATACACGTTCATCGCAACCACAGACGCGGGCGCTCACAAAATTACTCTCTTCAAGGATGTGGCCCATCGCGATGGAAAGACGACGTCGAACAGCGTATCTCAAGTTCTTAACACCTCCGCGGTCAAGTATCTCACCTGCTCTTCGCCTTCGAACGAAGTCGCCAACATCGGGGATATCATAGCCGTTTGCGAAGAGGGAGAGGTTGTATGCCTGTCTGGAGAAACTCTGGCCATCCAATGGTCTTCATCTTCCAAGTCAATGGTCCAGGATCTGGTAGCTGCGTCTGTTTCGGAGTTCCGCATTGAATACGCTCTGTCAGGCAGCACGGCCGAGTTCACTGAGGGCTTGTTCAAGAACCGACCAGAGGTCTTCAGCGCGCTACCAAGGTCTGCTGGCTCGCACGTAGAGCTTTTTGCTCTCATCTCCAAGAGCTCCAGTCAAGGTGTGGAAAGTCGACACTTGATCGTGCTGGCAGCCGTATCTGGGGACGCATCGGCGTCTGCAGATGTCCAGCACCTGGTCCCTCTCGACATTGTGCCCATCACCACTATCGCCAGTCAAGCCAACGACGAATCGCCTGCTTACCAAGTGGATGTGCAGTCTGGTCTTCTCCTCCAGCTGCAGCAGGGCGCCATCGGCGTCTACGACTTGACCGGAGCTGTCCCCAAGCTCAAATCGACCATTGAGGCAGAGAATGCGCAGTCCTTTGCCCGCCTCTTCAAACCGTTCATCCTCGCATCTTCACTGACCTCTATTGGCCTCTACAACTACCAGTATCGTTCTGTCCACTCCAAGGCCACACTGGACTGGTCCGAGGTCCCCACCGAAGGCGAGACGCCTCGATCATGCCAGCTGATCAGCTACCTGCGGAGCCAGGATCTCGTTGTCGCCCTTGTGGAGAACATCCTGGTCACCATCCAGGTCGAACCGCCAAAGGGCTCTGGCAAACGGCGAAAGGAGGGCCTTTTGATCGACTCGATAGGGCGGGGCACTGGCCTCGAGATTCCGACCAAGAGGGTCAGATGCGAAACTTCTCTCGAATTTTCTAAGCTGGTCCCAGGAACCCTTACCGATGACTACCTCGCTCAATTCCAGACGGAGACGGAGGCAGCCGATAAACTACTAGCGGATAATGAGCTGGGCAAGTGGGAAGACATCTTGCGCAGCAAATTTGGCGTCTCCAAGAAGGACACAGCTTCGGCAAATGGCGAGAACCCAAAGGCCCAAGAGGGCTCAGACGCGCAGGAATTGCCAGAGTGGGAGTGGCTCTCGGGGGCATCGTATCCTGCTGCTGACCGCAGATGGGTCATCTATGCCATTAGTCAAGTTTTCTCAGTTGACACCAAAGAGGTTGGAGATACTGTGCGGCCTGAGCTGCGCCTCGTCCTGCCCGAGAGCAACGTGACGACATATCTCGTGGTCGCCGGCCACCTCACCTTGTCGAATCTGCGAACAGCCTTCAGGGATGAATTAGCCCCCGAGGCGTCAGACAACCGCGCCGTAGCCGGCGACCTGATTCGATGCCTTGCGGACGCCGATCCCTCGCTGACCCTCCTGCTCAACTATCTTCAGGCCACCAAGCTAGGCGAGGTCGAGCTCTTGCTTGCCATTCGGGCTCTGATGCTGAGCATGGACCTTATTCCCCAAAGCAAACGGGACACGACTAAGCTCTTGACCAGTGAGCCGCATCGTGATAGCGGCAACGACAACGGCGACGGCAACAAGGAAGACATTGAGATGGACCTGGACGACTTGGAGCGGAAGATTGCAGTCACTGAGCACTACCTCGGCGATGACTCAAGTAGCCGTTCTCGTGGGCTGACTCTCGCGTTCACCAAGCTGTGGCGGTTGCCCGCAGTGAACACGGTCAAGGCGCTCCGGACGACGGTGTCGACAGACGACATCATGTCACTCATCTATCTGCTGCGGGTGGAATTGCTGCGCGGCGCGTGGACCTCTCTGTACATTGACCCTACCGCATTTGACTCAGAGGGCAATGAGCCTCCGCCTGATGGCGTCATTGCCCTGATTGCCGACCTCCTGGGCCGATGCCTGGATGCTGTGGGAGCCGGCGGCTGGCTGTTCAATGATGCTATCTCCTGGGCAGACAAGGCCGAGACGAGCGACTTCCTGACAGCCCTGCGACTCGAGGTGACTGCCGCACTGGAGGGCATCGAAGAAGCGGTCTTCCTGAACGGCATCCTAGGCGAGACTGTGCGATTCGGCAACGCGGTACAGAAGGGCAGTGCAGCCAGACAGACCCGGGCCCCCAACAAGCCCATCACTGTCCACTTGGAGAACAGGGAATCGCGACTGCTGCCGCTCGGCTTGAAGACAAAGCTGTTGCCTACGAGGGAGAAGGTGGTGTCGGGCGGTGAGGTGGTGCAGCGAAGCGTTCGAGAGACGGGACACCTCATCAGTCAGAAGGTGGACGCTTACTCGTTGGAGAAGCTCGCTATCTGAGCTGCAAATTTTTACTCGCTCTTTCGCTCTTCTCCACTGAAATATTTGAAGCGTTTTATGATGTCTTCGGTGAAGGATATGGACCCCCGATGCTGGGGCAAGGGCCTATAGAGAGAGGGGAGAGCTGGACAGAAGGATTCTCGAGTATCCGACTAGTGCGGCTCAAGAGCAAACGGTATCCGAGCTGAGGGAACTACTAGTGACGCGGAGAAAACTGCTGAGGCTGTAGGATGCATAGGAAGACATCCCATAAGGTGGAAGTGGGATTTTCGGTGAAGAATAGGGGGCCGAAGGATTGGAGGAGGTGGAGTTTCGATAGCTGAATGGCTGGCTAATACCATTGTTGTGCAAATAGATTTCATGTATGGATTGATGTAATCGAGACAAGGCAATGACTGGTGTTCTGTGTATATGAAGGCATTTGCGGGGTGTTTGTGTCGTGACATTGTTCGTCTGTCGAAGAGAGGATGGCAATAAGCATCACATGATTCTGATGACGGGGTGACTCTTCAAACGATGTTTCGCAAGTCAAGGCAGCCATGTGTGACGAGGGTTTCTTGCCAGCGCATCTTGTTGCATCGTGGCTAAACTGGAACGAAGGGGCATGATTTAGTGATTGTGAGGAGAGAATTGGTCTGAGAGCCTGCGCAGCATAAGAGGCTTGCCTTTGCTTTGTGTCTCCTGACCCTTGAGGCTGGAATGAGGAGCCCTTATTATGGGTGTCTTTGTGATAGTTGAGCCATGATCATGAGTGGCCGAGTCGAAAGGGAGGGGAGACGATGCCACGTAGTGACGAGGTGGAAAGTAGGGCTGTAAAGAAGCATGCAGGAGACTAGAGGCTAGTTGCGATGCCGGCCTGCTTGTGTACCTGCTGCGAGATAGGAGGGTGGTCTGGCTGGTCTGTGTAAGGCAACTCGATGCTTATACTGGTACTCGCACAGGTGCTTCGCTTTCTAAATTGACTGAGTGTGCCTTGATAAGATACGTGTAACATGAGGGCTGATTTCCCCCCTTTTCCTCTAGATCGAGGACCGAGATTCTGGGGCTGAAGCGGATTGTCTTTTGGCTTTGTGGGAGGGTTGCATACAGATACTCGTGGATATTCCACCCAACGTGCATACTCGTAAATCTTGGCAGACAGGTAATCTAGAGCTTTCGGTCAACGAACCAACTACATAGACTAGATGCACAGCTTATGCGTGACATGCTTTGTTTTGCAACATGCTTGCAGTTACGGGCGATTGCTTTGTTTCACTTTGCCACTGAGGCTGGGCTCGCCTTGTGGAGCTGCGGAAGGCGCCGAAGGTGAGAAGCACAGCCTCGGTTTGGGATGGGGAATGAGACGAGCGCTGAGGTTTAGTGGTGAAGTTTCGGTGGGGGGCGTTCGGCTTCTGCCATGATGTTGATTGTGTTGAAGTTGGTTTAATTCGGTTATGGCGAAACACGAGGTGGCAAAAGGATCCATATAGACTACGAGTACGAGACCACGAAAGAAGAGCGGTTTGGAACAAGAAGAAAGTTTCGGCGAGACGATATACTGATCTTGGTGACCCTACGTACAAGTACGTAGGTAGGAAGAGCAGAGAGGCGATCTTGACGTAAAGGGTTTGGTCAAGTCAATGATTGCCCAGGCTTCCTCCAAGGCTCAACTGCGTGTATCCGATAATCGCTGGGACTTTGGCGCTTCATGGTCAGGTACAGGTACCGGTACTAATAAGGTAATTAGTAACGTCCTTCTACGACTGCTTGTGTGTGCTTCCATCCAGCCAGATGGCCACTGAGACAAGGCATGAACCAGCACTAGTAGACACTGGGAGCACATGCAAGTCATGACAGGGGTCGGGAATGGCGCCCCTCAGAGTCTCAAGGCCCCCTGTGGCAACCCTGTGGGCTAGACTCGGGGTGGTTTGACGACGTCACAGCCCATGGATGCAGCCACATGCTGTGTCTGTGTCTTGGGCGTCGACTCGCAAGATTTGGGCGGCTGGATCGACAATTTTCGTCTGCTTTTTGATTGAGGCTGCTTTTGAGCTGTTTCTATTGAGAACGCAGGCAAAAGAGGGGGTGCGGGATGTGTGTCTACGTGAGGTGACATGACATGCAGCTTGGAGGTCAAAAGTAGTACAGCGGTCATGCACGCCATTTAGCTGTGGGTGCGAGGTACATGTGGTATCGATAAGCGATGCGCCTTGTACACCAGCAGGTTCAAGTTGGTGTCGTTCAGTTGGCAGGCAGGACGAGGTGAGAGGAGAGGGGGAAGGAAGCCGCGATTCAAAATGGGGGCCTTCCTCTGTCTCTCTTTTCCCTTTCTTGTCTCTTCATCTTCCTCCTCCATTCCTTCATCCTCATCTTCCGTCCATCATCTTCCCCTTGACATCTATACCAGCAACAAGCGACTCAACTCTCCTGCATACCGGAGATACTCGATTATACGAGCCAACTGCTGCGCCATCTCAGCCCACTTACCAACAAACTACTCCCGCCCGCTGACCAACCAGCAAGCTCGATCGGCATCCGCCAGCCAAGCAGCAGCACCTATCACGAGGACACGCGAGCCAGACGACCTTGCCTTAAACTTGCCGTCATCGCTTTTAGGTTATTTCGCATTACATAGTGCATGACACATTCCGCTGCGGCCTAACCCGGCCCTGGAAAGACTCCCAAGAACACACAACTGCCGTATCGACCGCCTCGCACAGCCTGGTCAGCTCTCAACTTCGTACATACAACCAGATTCCAACTCGTAGATTCGATTCTCAAGCCAGCATCCAGCTACTCTATATTCTCCCTTCGCCACCGCATGGTAGCTATGAGCGGTATCTCTGTTGTCCAACAAATCGATGCCGTCGACGCCTTTGCCAGGACCCTGTACATCCGCACAACTCAGTCAACTGTCCCGTCCCTCTCGACAGATGTCTCGCAGGCCGTCCGCAACCTCCACCAGGCGCTGCGGGAGTTCCGCATCGAGGCCGCCGATCCCAACTCGCGCCTCAACGCCTCGGAATCTAGTACTTACGTCAAGCAGCTAAACTCCATCATCAAGGACTCCCAGACGACGCTCAAGCAGCTCGAGCTCGTCCTGGATCTGAACAGCAGGGGCGGAGGACCATACGCCGATAGCGCCGCCGAGAGCATCAACGCTGTACAGACCAAGCTGCTTCACCAAAAGACTGTCATCGAAGCGTTTCTAGATCTGGTTCGACATGGTGACAAACCGAGCCGCCGCCGCGGGCCCAGTTTGGATACCATCAAGGGCAAGGTGGATGCTATTGGGCGCAGACTCTTTCGTCGCGACAGCAACAAGTCCTCCACCGGTGATGACAAACTTTGGAGGAAGTTCAAGGCCGAGCTTATCAAGGAGGGATTCTCATCCAAGGTGCTGGATGAGCATGAGGTACGTCCCCTTATAGACGCCCCAAAGCCTAGAACTCTCAGGGCGCAAGTACACCGAAGCTGACTAGAAGACAGGATGTGCTGCGCGCCTACATTCAGGAGATGCAATCAGTCCCTTCTATGAAAGACGGTGTGCCGCCCACCGTCCAAGGGCTGCTCGAGCTGGATGGCACCTCAGTGCCTGCACCCGCGGCCCTGCATGCTCGCCATATGACCTTCCCACTCGACCATGGAAAGACGCCTGCTAGCACAAAGACTGACCGTTTGAGGCCGGATCAGTCGTCTCATCCGGCTCTGGCCCAAGAACTTTCTTACGACCCCCGTTCCTGGGCCTCACCTGGGGAGGCAGGCAGCATTGTAGATTCCTTCACGCTCATTTCAACCCGAGATCTGCTATTGATGGACTCGCTCAGTTCAGATGTTGCTGGCCTCCATTTGAACAGTTCCCCAACACAGGCTGATGCTCCATCATTCCAGCCCATCATGTCCGGAGCTCTACCGCTGCCCGAGATTAGGCTGCCTCAACCTACAGCCCCTCGGGATATTCCCCAATCGAAGCATCTTGGCGTCGAAGGAGCAGCACCCCACGTGTACGGCTCTAGCGCACCACCAGCATATGGGGGAGCGTCGATGCCCCGGTTGGCGCCGGATAGCTTTGGGCGGGACATACCTATGCATGCGGAGTGGACCAAGATCAACCGCTCTCTCGTCAGCCCCGAAGCTCTTCATCGTGTCGGCGTGCGGTACGAAGCTCGTCCGGGCTATGTTGCCGTCTTGGGCCGCCTGACTCTGGACCAAGTCACTCAATACGCCCGTTTGAGCGCGGAGTGTCGGGCTGCTCGGCGAGGCGTGCCTCCTATGACGAAACATCATTCTTATGATGTGACCAGACACGAGCGAACGAGTTCGGAGAGTAGTCCAGATGAGAATTTTGAAAACGATAAGGACTCGGATCGCAGCGACATGTCCGATGCAGACGACGAGAAAGCCTCGGGGAAGAAGGGAGCTAAATCTTACCCCGTCATTGTGAACCCTCCAGAAAAGAGCAAGGCCTCTCCAAGCAGCACTGTCATGCCGAAGCCAATCCTGAAGAACAAAAACCCGAACCATGTGCGATTCGATCCAGAGCCCTACGAGGTCGCTGCCCGACAGGACAAGGATAGTCGCGAGAGTCGAGATTCTGCCTCCAGGAAATCCCGAGACCGCGACGAGAAGGATAGGGACGACCATCACAGGCGTCGTGAAGATAGAGAAAAGAGGAGGCGAGACAGCGACCCGACCCACGACGACAAAAACCGTCGGGACCGTGACCGTGACCGTGACCGAGACCGTGAACATGACGGCCACCGATCGCACCACCACGATCGGGATCGTCGCGATGATCGGAGACGGGAGAGGTCTGCTAAGAAGGATCCCTGGGCCGAGGCTCTCGGCGTGGTGGGCATCGGCGGTGCTGCCGCCAGCTTGCTGGGAGTCTTGGCCGAGGCTGCCATGGGAGGCTGATGATGCCGATACAATCTTTCGACACCCGGACATCATTATAAGACGAGATTTCTTTTCCTTTACACGAAGCTGGGAGCCCCTTGCATGGAATACTGGGCATTTCACTGTTACATGGAACGATTTACCGCTTCTGGGGATCTTTGATCTATTTGCGACTTGTGGAAACCAGGCTTGGTTATTTTCCTTTGTATGAGTTCAATAGGGATATATGAGCTGTATGAGATGGAAAGGATGGAAAGCAGCGGTAGATACCCTGGGCTTGCTGCATCTCATATGAAATGGCTTCATTCTGGCTTCAGGCATTGATAGATTGAATGACTTACGAATCATGACCCTATATGACACTTGCAAGCACAAAATGAGGTTCAAGTGATATCAGGACGATTACGAAAATGTAGTGGCGGATGTCATATGCGTCTAGATTTTTATAGACTTATTCCTTCAGACGCGCTCCTCTATGAACGGATAATTCATCTCACACAACCCTTCTATACGTGCTGGTACCTTATTCAACAGAGGTGTCTATCGCATCAACTCCTCTTCCATACTATCCCACCATGCCGCCGCCCTCGACTCCCTCGCTGCCTCACCAGGCGGTCGTCGCGACAGCTCGGATCTCTTCCTGGGCGTCCTCTTCCACTCCAGCACCCTGATGCTCTTGACCTGCGGCCAGGGAAAGTCGGGCTCATCGGAGCCCTCAAAATCGCGCGCGTAAATGCCGGCCTTCTTCTGCGGGAGCGTCGTGCGCCATGCGCCGCCGTCCCAGTCGAACCGGTGCGTAACGTCCTCGTCGGGCCGCTGCAGCACGACGTGGCCCTGGGCGGTGCGGTAGCGGATCTGCGGGTGGAAGAAGTCTGGGAACTCGCGCAGGAGGTCCGGCACGCGGACGCGCATGAAGGAGCCCTGGCGGGCGGACCTGACGGCCGAGGCGGACTTGAGGAGGCGGGCGAGCCAGGCGGCGATGAGGTGGTGGGCGTGGTCGTGGAGGAGCTGGGCGCGGCGGCGGCGGGCGGTGGCGCGGGCGGCGAGGGAGGCCGCGTGGGAGTTGTTGACGGAGGAGAGGGCGTCGAGCTGGAGGATTTCGTCGGCGAGGGCGGTGTGGTGGGATTGCCGGAGGGAGGCGTAGAGGGGGATGGCAGTGGTGCGGATGGCGGCGATGGCGCGGCCGAAGGAGCGCTGGTTGAGGAGCGTCTTGATGTAGATGTCAAGGTCGGCGAGGGTCGGCTGGAAGTTGTATGGGGCGGAGGTCATGACGTCCCAGATGTGGCGGACATCGGCGGCGGAGGTGGAGAGGGTGCTGGTGCCTCCGGAGTAGATGTTGCGGGTGCGCTTGAAGGGCTTGGAGGCGGAGACGTAGGTCCAGCTGAGGAGGTTGGACCACGTCTCGTACGGAATGGGGATGCCGTAGCGGCGGGAGACGAAGTCGAGCAGCTTGGTGCCGAGGACGATGTGGGACATGGAGCCAAATGCCTCGACGATGGCGTGTAGCAGGCGGGGGGTCGGTTTCAGGGGGGAGTTTGGGGAGAATTCGCGGCCTCCGGAGACTTGGAAGTTGGACGGGTGGGTGCCGGTGATGACGATGCCGTAGTAGCTCTCGAGGATCATCTTCTTGATGGCGTTGACGGAGCTGGATCGGGCAAAGGCGACCATCGAAGTGCACAGCAGCTCTTCATCCATCTCGTGGCCGTAGTAGAGGTTGCGTACCCAATGGCCTTTGAAGCTCCTGTAGCCGCTGCGCGGGCGGAGAAGACGCCGCATGTCCTCGTCGAGCTGGTCCGGTCTGCGGTTCCACGGCTCTCTTTTCAGGGCGTTGATGCCGAATCTGATCTTGTCCAGGTGCTTCAGGCTCGACATGGGCAACGTGTTGTGGTTGCTGTAAAGGTCGCGCGCGAGGAAGGCGACCCGCGAGCGGTCGAACTGGTAGTACGCCGGCTCTACCATGAATCGAGCCTTGATGAAGTCAGACCAGGACTTGGATGTGCGCGAATCTTGCAGTCCGTGAGCAGCCATGGCCGTCCAGAACTCCTTGGCCTGCTGGTAGTCGACCGCTGCTCCGGCGCATCTCATGGCCACCTCAAAGTCGGCGGCTGTCGGGCCCTGGGACGGCGGCGCTCGACTGCGTATCTCCAGCAGGGTTCGAACGCCCTGGAGGGTGCCGTGATGGACTTTGCGCACACCAAACTGGTTCACCAGCATGCCGAGATAGGTGAACTGCGCATGGGCCTGTGTGAGATTGAGGCCGTGTGCGATGTCAGTCTCGGGGACCAGCAGGGGGTCGATGCTGCGCAGGATCTCGGAGACGGTGGCTGCGGGGAGCTCTCGGGCCTCACGAACCGCATCCTCGTGATATGGCAGGTTGACGTCGCTGAGAATGTCGGTCCAGGCCGTAAATTCCCAGCTGATCCGCGACAGGTTCCTCCTCCGGATCGAGTCGAGCAGGACCGCCAGCTCGGGCCGGACACTCGACGACATCATATGCTTTGACAGTAGAGTCCCGTGGAGATTGGGAGTCAACGTGTGAGAGGCTAGAGTGCGCCGGCCTCCGCTTTGCAATCCGCATGTCAATGGCGAAGCATCACAACGTTGGAGTTTGATGCCACTGAGCGCTGTCGGCCTGCTGAAGCGGCGTCCAGGCCAGACGATTCGTCGGGGCCTCATGATGCTGTCCCAAGTGTGATCATCGGAGACGCAGCAGACTGGGAAACCGACGACTGACTCTCCAATCAATCAATTGGCCAGTGCTCGAAGCTCAAGAATCTGGGGTAAATAGTGGCTTCAATGGGGCCGCGGGTCTTGAAGCTCGCAGCGCTATGTGGGCGATACTCTGATACTTGCATACACCCTCGTATCGTGATCCGCCGCGATACAAGCACTTACCCAGCAGCCGCCGAAGATTTCCCACGCCATGGAGGGGCAATGCGAAGCTGCCTGTATTTTTTGACAGGCATTTCAGAGCTTCCAGATTCCACCACAGATCCCCAAACCCACGTTGACGAGCTGCGCATCCGACGAAAGAACGCGAAATCTTATCCCGGCTCAGGCATACAGAAAGCGACTATCGACATACAGCCATGGCGGATGTTGGGGAGGAGTCCACTCACGTGGCCGAGCCGCTCGATCTCGTGCGACTGCTGCTGAACGAGGTCGTTTTTGTCAAGCTGCGCGGCGACAGAGAGCTCAAGGGCAAGCTTCATGTATGCGCCGCTGCCGAGAGTCTGGTTTGACGGAGGATGTGTGCTGATTGCGTGACGTAGGCCTACGATAGCCACTGCAACCTGGTGCTGGGCGAGGTGGAGGAGACGATCTACGCTGTCGACGACGACGAGGAGGACAGTGACGAGGTCAAGGTACGGCAAGCGAAGATCCTCTGCCAAATTACAACTCTGACAATTGTCCAGACAATCAGCAGGAAATCAGAAATGTTGTTTGTGAGAGGTTGGTGCTTCCCTTTGGCTGCTGTGGTGAGGCCTAGCTAACTCGTTCATAGGCGATAGCGTCGTCTTGATCTCTCCGCAGGTTCCTTTCTAGAAAACCTTTAGACATCAATGCAGCAATGATACCAATAACAAACCGAGATAAAGCCAGCGATGCGCACGACGCGAACAAACCATGACTAGCCACTGGAAGCATTTTGTCTTGCCATGGAGCGCGATTGCGGCGGTGACACAATGAACGACCTTGGAGGCGACCGATTCTCCGGCGGATGCTAATACTGACTGACTGATGGACAACAAACCTGTCGAATCTCGCTCTACACATACACGGACCTGCGTGATGCTGGGATACAGTTACTGGTGCTTGTCATGGCAGTGGCATAACATGGTATGGATGCAGAAGCATCGACATCTGTTCTTCAGGAGTGATCAATCGTCTTGTCCTTTACAGGTACGGGACACATCCAATGGCATCTTGATCTACTTGCTTCTCTTGACGGAATCATACTACCTTATCCTCCGGGTGTGCTTTTGCAGATATGTAACTACTGGTGGCTTGCTCTAATTGAAAGCTAACCTCAGAGCTCAGTCGTGTCATCGCCCCGTATTTCTGGGCAAACTGGCTTATCGATAACCCAATCCTGGTCATTCGCCGCCTGTGGGAGGCGTTCTGGCTTGAAGCTGAGCCTCAACTTGGACGGACGGTGACTCCTTTTGCCATGACTAACTGCTAAACCGTTCTGAGCAGGCCGAAGAGTCATAGCCAGCTTGTGCTATTGCTTGTTATATACATCTCTATCATGCTTCCCAGCGTCGTCCCCCTTCCAGATCCTCCAGCTTTCCGGTGTCATTCAGTGCGTGTAAAGCGGGTGCGAGTACAAGTGCAGCTCTTGCACGCTCTCCCGGCATAATGGCGACCAAGGCGACCAAGGTGGCAAAGAGCCACGAGCATGAGAAGCGCAAGGGCGAGTCGGTATGCAGGAGATGATGCCCTATGCAATTGGTGTCACAAACGCTAATGGGACACCGCAGGCCCTCAGCGACTTTGCCGAATACGTAGAACAGCAGCAGAACCTCCGGTATCCCGCCTCGACCAAGAAGCCTGTTCCCGACTCGGCAGAGCACGATGCGGAGCTCGACGAGCTGCTAGACAGCCTCAATCTGGTCGACTCCGCGCCGCGGATCAAGCTGAAAGACCTCGTGCTCGGATCGAACGACGACACGCTGCAGAAGCTCGGGGATGTCATCGTCGAGCGGATAGAAGAGGGCGGCGGAGAGACCGTCTTTGACCTCGGCTTCGAGAACAGCGGCGAGTCTATGCAGCTGACGCTCGACGAGTGGAACAAGGCATATGCAAGGCTGGTGGAGGCTGCGAAGAAGGTGCGCGCAGACTGCCAGCTTCTGCTGACGACCAATGTCGGCGGCAAGGAAGAGGCCGAGAGCACGGCCACCAGCCCACCCAAGGACAAGAGCTGCAGCGGCAAGATCCTGATTCGGAGGATACCGGCCAGGGTTGAAGATGTCATTGAGACGAGGATAGCTGTCGTGGGAAATGGTGAGCTTCTCTCCGTCTATCCCTCCTGTCAAGGGGTTCGTGTCGTGACTAATGTTCGCAGTCGACGCCGGAAAGAGCTCGCTGCTGGGCGTCCTGGTGAAGAACGATCTCGACGACGGACGAGGAAAGGCGCGTGTAAACCTCTTCCGCCATAAGCACGAGATGGAGACGGGACGGACAAGCTCCGTGGGCATGGAGATTATGGGATTCGACAGCCACGGCCAGGTCATCACCTCGGACACCCCGGGCCGCAAGTTGTCCTGGGAAGATATTGGGAAGCACAGCGCCAAGGTCATCACGTTCAGCGACCTGGCGGGACACGAAAAGTACTTGCGGACGACGGTCTTCGGCCTGCTGTCTAGCAGCCCCGACTTCTGCCTCCTTATGGTGGCAGCCAATAACGGGCTGGTGGGAATGAGCAAGGAGCATCTGGGGATTGCGCTGGCGCTCAACGTCCCCGTCATGGTCATCATCACCAAGATTGACATTTGCCCCCCTAACATCCTCGAACAGACCATCAGCCAGGTCAACAAGATCATGAAGAGCCCCGGGGCGAGGAAGATGCCGATCTTCATCACCAACCGCGAGGAGTGCGTCAACACGGCGACGCAGTTTGTGAGCAAGCGCATCTGCCCCGTCTTCCAGGTGTCCAACGTGACGGGCGAGAACTTGGACCTTGTGCGCATGTTTCTCAACATGCTGCCGCACCACGGACACTACCATGCGGACGCGCCATTCGAGTTTCAGGTTAACGACACGTTCTCGGTGCCGTTCACGGGGACGGTTGTCTCTGGCATTGTCAAATCCGGCATGGTTCACGAGGGCGACAACGTCCTCATCGGGCCCGACTCGCTGGGGCACTTTATGCCAACGGCGGTGCGGTCCATCGAGCGCAAGAGGATACGCGTGCAGGTGGCCGAGGCAGGGCAGTCGGCCTCGTTTGCGCTCAAGAAGATGAAGCGGCGAGACGTGCGCAAGGGCATGGTGATGCTTCACAAGGAGGAGGGACAGACCGCCCCCAAGGTGTTTCGCGAGTTTGTCGCAGAGGGTGAGTCGCAGAATGCCTTTGTCATGATTCTTGAGTCTGAATCCGTCCGTTCTAATCTCTCTTCAACAGTTCTTATCCTGTCTCACGCGACCACAATCAAGAAGCGGTATCAGGCCATGCTGCATGTTGGCGCCGTGTCGCAGACGTGTGCCATCATCGACATTGACCGCGAGCTGATCCGCACCGGTGACCGAGCCAACGTGGCCTTTCGCTTTGTCCAGCGTCCAGAGTACATCGCGCCCGGAGACCGTCTGCTGTTCCGCGAAGGCCGCACCAGGGGCTTGGGCATTGTGAAGTCGGTGGGATATGACGCGTCACACCCGCTGTCGAGTACTCTGGACGATGGAGACAAGACGGCGGAGACTGAGAAACAGGCGGCTCCTATAGCGACGAACGATGTTGCGAGCGGGACATGAGACATGGCTGAAGATGAATGCTCTCACGATGTGTTTACTTGTTCACTTGTCTTTCAGGTTGTGGTTTACCCAGCGATAGAGCGATGTGCTTGATTTCTCATCTAGTTTATTGTCTTATATATCATTAGTTTGTACTTGAGGGCATACGCCACGGTTCATTATACATTATTATCATTGGCATCATTCAAGCTTTGACCCATCATGTTCTTTCACGATCCCCCTTTCCAACCTCGCCCTGGGAACCTCCAGCAACTCCATGATATCCTCATCGTCCGCACAATTCCGCTCAACGTAGATCAAAATCGCCCTGGCCTCCACGTCACATCGTCTACGCAACCACCATTTGTCGTGATGCATCACGATGGAATGCCAGTACAGCAGTAGCAACAGCGCGCGAGGGTCCTTTTCTTCGACGAGGGAGCGGTAGCGCGGGTCGATTTGGGTGATGAAGCTGAGGAAGAAGATGACGTTATCATCATTGATGCGGATATTCCAGATGGTCGCTAGGATGGAGCAGGGGCTGTGGTACGGGTTTCCTAGAATATCTTCTGGAGAAGAGGACAGATTGAAGACTGTGTAAAAGGCCTTGGGTAAAGCATCTGGAGGGATCGGTGCGGAAGTAGCAAAATGGTTGCGCTGCATGGGGGTGTTGTCGAGGATGTTATGGAAGACGCTTTCCGGGCGAGTCGGATCGGTGATGGACCAGACGGCGCGCTTTCCGTGGCCCATCTTGAGCCAGTCGAGGTCGCTTGCGGGATCTGGATCGGCGAGTGGCCAAGCTGCGTAAGGGTCTTGCGTGCGGATAGAGGCGAAGGATGCGGCGCCGAGGATGGCTGCGGATATCCAGAGGGCATCTCGGTGGGAGGAGGAGAGGGTCGTCGAGGGGGAAGGGAGGGAGAGGAAGTGGGAGAGGAGGGCGGTGCCATGGTACCAGTGGAAGGCGAGGGAGGACTGGTGAGATGCGGATGGGGGTGTGGGGGAGAGGTGGACGTCGTGGAGGAGGGAGAGGAGGAGGAAGAAGTGGTAGAGGAAGGGGTGCTTTTGATGGTGTTGTTAGTGATGATGTATGCATATGGGTTTATGAAATAAGGGGACGTACTTCTTTGGCGAGGCTGGCCATGACTTTGCTGTAACATTTCCTCGAGGCGGCATTCCCAAGCGTCTCTCCTGTCCTTGTTTGGAAACGGCTGAGAGCGGCGTAGTCTTGTGGTCGGAGGGTATAAGTGCCCATTTTGCCCTGTAGGGGCAAGACGATGGGGATCTGGAGACCCGGCTGAAGGAAAGACTCCTTCAACATGCTGTCCGTCGCATAGGAGTCTGCTTGAACGGTGTGAGGTTTGGTATGCCCGAGATCGAGACTGAGGCTGAAAACGTTTGCGTGGGAGAGCTGGAGGGCTGGGATGGTGCGGGAGTAGTTGCATGTGAAGCCTGATGCGTGGCAGCGGCGACAGGAGGGCTTTGATTCATCGCACTGCGGGCGGCGTGTAAGTGATTGTTTTCATACACACTTCATATCGCGGATTGGTTGGACCAGTTATTACAGTATGTAGATGTCGCTACGAGGCAGAATAGGGGGGAAGAGAGACGAGATGATGGATTGGTTTACCTTGATACTGCGAATCTTGCAGTTGCCGCAGCCGAGGCGAGACTTGCGATGTGTCTTTCGCTTGCGGACTGCCATGATGTCGTTGCTGGTGACGGGGTTGTTCATTGTGCATGAGATGATCCGGAAGTATATGGTAATCGCAAATATGTTGAGTGTTGTTTACGCTTAAGTTGAGCGACAGCTACACCTTGAGGTCACTTGGAGCACGGTATGAGATTTTGATGAAACGAGAGTTGGAGATGGTGTGACTACGTGCGTGAGATCATATGAGCCTTTGTGAAGGATTGTGGCATGAGGCTTTGGGAAACCAATATGTATTGTTTACATAGGTAGTGAGTTATGGTCGGGGTTAATGGAGTTTGGAGTTTAGGGTAGACTGTCGCCGTGAAGTCGAGATGTAAGGCATAATATGCCGACAGACTCAATGAGCAGCCATCGACTCAATGCGAAAAGAAACGATCAATGTCTGTGTGCATACGATTTCGGAGCCTTCTTCACGAGGCAGAGCGATTGTTCATGGTCACTCGTTTTTGGCGAGCCTTCTCACATAATACAACTCCTCGCATACCTGGCTTGAAATCCAACAGTCCGGCGAATTACCACAAAGGGGAAGCAATCTTCAGGTCGCATTCACACTCACAGCTGAACTGCGCATGATAGCTCGTAGCTCATACAAATCTCGCCTCAATGCAGTGACGACTCATCACATACCAACATGATTTCACACCTTTTTTTGCCGCCCACTGAGTGAGTGATGAGTGGTGAGTGATGAGTGATGAGTGACGAGATGGATTCTGACCGGGATATTGACACGACTTGGCGAACGGAAGTCCGGCGCTTCAAATTGCCGAGGACAAAAAGGCCGCTAAGCCGGATTTCGCATTTTTGCGAATCGACGCGAATCGCGAGAAAAAAGCGACTGCATCGTATGTAAGCCGGAAAGAAGCTGGAGGAAAAGCGGCAAAAGGGACAGGGTCCTGGTTGGTGTGCCTTTTCTCTGCTCCACCAGAACTGTTGTTGGTATGGTCGAGGACTGGGACTGGGGGGGCTTTGCCACCTGTTCTGGGGCTCGAGTAAGTTCGTTCAAGTACATGCGATTGGCGTGTTTGGGTGTGCTATCGTGGGTTGTTATTCGGTAGGTGACGACGGATAGGCCGAGCAGAATAATGGCTCATGTTGTTGTTTTGGCGGTCCGGAGAAAGAAGCTGAATGATGTTGTTTACATTTACATACGATACCTACACACTGACACTACAATACGCGCCGCACCACTCTATGTTTCATTGCTAAAGACGGGCCGTTGCAGACAATGGACGCTTTGACAATGACTTTCATGAGGCTCGGTTTCACATCGATCATTCCCACCTGACCAAGACATTCTGCACGTCTTTTGCCAAGGCGATGAGGCGGCCGTGCCTCTGGACTTGGCGATGCTAGGGCTGTTTATCGGTGGCTGGGCGTCTTCGCTTGTACCGGCTTGACAGCGGTTGCTAACATGGATGTGCGCCCGCTAAAGAGACGCGCACTGACCGTGTAAGAGTTGGGGATATTGCTTGGCAGACGTCGTCATCTTCTACTTATACTCTTGACGATGATACTGGTAAAAAGTGAGAGTGAGAGTGAGAGTGAGAAGTGAGTGAGTGAGACAGAGGGCCGGACCGGTGTTGGCGATGCTTGTGTGTAAGTAAGACAGTCCATGCAGTAGCTGGCATCGTCAGCAAACTGCCTGTTGGAGGCTCATGACCCTCATCAACACGAACATGGCATCATTCATCCCATCTGTCTCTTATTACCGAAGTTGATCCGTTTCCGCCGGATTGCCCTTGAATCAGTTGTCCTCGGCTCCGCAAAGTCCCCATCGTCAGAATCGCCTCTGCCCAATAGCTGCCAGCCGTCTATCGTTGTTTCCGAGCCGTGTGTGTTGTCCCTTGTGTCATGTTAGTGCCGGCCGGCGAGTGGATACAAGGCATCAGGAAGCCGAACAAAAGCAGGAAAGAGGCAGAAACAGGGAAAATTAGAAGACGAGACCCCTGGGACTAGAACAACTATTTTGTGGTTCGCCGCGGTTCCCAGCGGTTCCGGATGTACGATAGATATTGCTAGTACGAGTACTACTACTATCACAAAGGAAGAGAGAAAGGCCTGGACTTTTCCTCTGCTGGTTGTGCGTTTCGGGTCAAGGAGATGGTCGGAGAAGTGAAAGCTGGGTTGCGAGGCTATTGCGGGATAATGCCTGTCTTGTCTCTGCTGCGAGTAGATACGAGCGTGTGATAGTGAGATGATGTCAGGTCCTATTGTTGGAGCGAGCGAGCATGTAGGAATGATCATGGGATATTCTTCCTCATCAGGCCCCTGGACGGAAGTACTCCGTCTGATGGAATCGGCGAAAATGGCAACCTCGGCAGGTAGTCCGTAGTATGAGGTCTTGCTAATGTACCCCGTACTCTGCTAATCTTGGGATGTTACCACTCTGCATGCACACTCCGTATGCGTACATGAAGCTATTTATGCGTCTAGAGGACGCAAGACTCCATCATGTCCGTGGAGTATAGTACTACTACTACGTATATTGCGCTCTACTACGCAGTCCCCCTGCATTTAGAAGGCGCCGTCTCCCCCTTTTTTAATGAAGATGGGCAGATAGACGCTCAGAAGGTGAAGCTTGCTTCAGGTGAAGGTTCATGCTCAGATAAGGGCTGAGGCTACAGGTGTTCTGGGAGTATCGCCCGCCACGGGAATAACACAAAAAAGAGGCATTGGTCGTGCGACATTTTTTGGTCTGGCCTGCTGTGCGCCCCCCCAGGCCCTTAGTAAGACGTTCAATGTGGGACAGGGCCTGTGAAAATGCCCGTAGTCTAGGACGGAGAACGGAGTATCTACGATGGGTGCCTGGGCCACTCGCTACGTTCTGTGAGACGGTCCGTGATGGCTTCATCGAGTGAGAGTCGTGATGTTCAGACGATAGAGGAGCAGTGATAAGCTGTTTGCCTCCCGTGGCCATGTTATCGATCGAGGGATGGCAAATGGTGGTTGACGTAGTGTTGATCCGGCACTTCACATGCACAAAACTCGTGTTCAAAATTTTCTCTTGCCTTCCCTTCTCATGTCAGTGACCGGTGATCATGAACTTTGTTGCCTTCAAGGCCAGCCACCAATCCAGCCGCCCTCGGACTGGGCAAAGTCAATTGGCCAACGGAGCAAGCCGTGTTTCCAAACAACGCTTTGTGCCACTGCCGTGCCCCAAGTTTTAGCCCGTTTGTTCGTTTTTTTTCTTCTGTTTCTTCTTCACGTAATACGTCGATGTGAGGTTTGGCTATCTGCTAGTAGTAGTACGGGACTTCGAATCTGCTGGTGGTTCTTGATGTAGGGGGCGTGAGTCTACGAGGCAAAAAGACAATCGCCCCTTTTGCTATGGCCCAACTTGCGTCAACACTTTCGTGCCTCGATCGTGATGCTCGCAATTCGGCAGACGATTATCCTGCCATCGTCTCATCACCGCCCTTCCTGATTCTCTCCCAAACGTCTCTCTCGCGCTCTTGCTCTCGCAGTATTTTGGAGTACGGGAGTAATCAGTCATACCCGTCGATGGCAATTAAATCACAAATCCACTTTGCGACTTGTCCCCCCAAATCCGGCATGCCGGCGCCGCGGTCGATATCAGCTCTAGCCTTGAAGCAATAGTCTGGATCAGTAATTCCTTGTCTCGTACACACGCACGGATGTTCCTGTTCGGCCCTTGGGGGGGATCCTAGCGCGGCTCTGACGGGCTGTGGGGGAGCTGGTTTGTCTTTGTCCGTGGAGGTTGCTTGCCTTTCGCTGAGCTGGCTCGCCAGCTTCGTGCGTTTCGTATAAAATTCAGTAGGACGATGATGCATTGAATGCTCGAAGGTCGAAAGGGGGAGGCGATGACAATGTCAGTAGTCATCAGCAGATGTGTTGTCATCCCCCTTTTTTTCCAATTCCGTTTCTATTTTCTGTTCGCCGGATTGCCGTTTCACCGTCTTATTCGTGTTTTTCGACTTTCTTTACGCCGCGGCTTTAATCGGGAAACTCCTGAAAGTGGCAGGGCCACAAGGCGCGAAATCTCCATGGACATTTTGCTTGCGGCTTGACCCATCAATTCGCGCATACAACAAGCAAGATGATTTGCCTCTTCTTCCTCGGCGAGTGAGCGAGCAGGATCCCAGGACCAGGCCAGAGCCAGCCAATTGATGCCCCCTGCCAGCATCAGAAAAAGCCGCGGTCGGCACTAGATTGAACCGGCCGATCTGATGGATCCTGGTCTAGCTTCAGCCCCAAGAGACACGCCCCCCCCCCTACCCTTGACCCTTACCAACCCTTGACCGATTGCGCTTTACGGGTACATGTCGGTAAGCTCTGCTTCTCCTGCGCTGGACAAGTAGAAGTACGATGCCTTACTGGGGAGGTAGCAGTCGCCTCGCCTTGTCGGTAGGCCAGGTGATGTGTTATCCGGGGAATACCTGCCTGGAAACGGGCTCGCTTGGGGGGAGACGGGGAAGTTGTGGGAGCAGTACGGAGTAGGTAGGTAAGGGGTCAAACGATTGTCATTGTTCCCGATGCTGGCTCATGGTAGTAGCTGATGGAGAGGCCTTGGGGCCTGGATCCGGGGTTCCATTGCGTCAAGAGGTGATGGCATGATGCTCCCAGTACTTTGTATGTATCCAAGTGGTGGCGATGGCTCCTGAGTCGGCAGCAATCCCGGCTTTGGTCCGTCTGGCTTGGGTGCCTCGAAGGATGTAGATACGCAGATTATTTCCAAGCGCTCCAGAGCTCGAGCGCTGCCATGTCCTTCCAGCTCCTATGTATGAAGATGTTCAACGTCAGGTCGCGCGAATGAAGCCGTCACGATGACCTGTCCCGATTGTCGATTCTCGTCCCGACGATTGTGGTACGCCCCCCTCCATGCCCCCTTCACTTTCGGCTATCGAGAATCCAGCAAGGGATCTGCGTGGCCTAGACGATGTGTATGGGTGTCCGCAATGGTGTGCGTGTACGGGCCTGTCAATACTACTGGAAATTGTGAAAAAAAATATAAACAAGAAGGATAAGAGTTATATGCAATGATCGTATAGAGAGCTTGACCATCTCTTGTTCGCTACGTTACGCCTCGAGGCGTCGTGTTGGGGTTGATTTGGACGAGACCAGGTTGGTCATGTAGCGCAGGCGGAGGAATCGAGCTGCGAATCGCTTGACTGATAATCACCAAACGGTTTTGTTAGCGTCGCGTGACAATGTCTCACTGGATGACGTGCATGGTGCATTCGACCATGGAAATTGAAGCTGGTAATAAGAAAGGAATTCTCAAATTGTGATATACCTCTGGAGCGGCCCATGGGAGGGCTGCCGAGCGACTTTTGCGCCTGCTTCCACAGACGAGCGGTCCAGCATGTCACCAGCAGATCCAGGTCCTTTTCGTCCAGCATGCGCAGCAGCTTCAAGCACGGCACGGATGTTGCTGTTCCCGCAGCGCTGTCTGTGTCCGAAGCCCCAGGTCCAGAGGGGCCGGCATCAGCAGAAACCGGTGGAGGCGTAGCTGCGGAATCCTCCATGGCGACGATGCGGCCGCTGTTGTCCTTCCAGATCACCTGGTGCTGATGTCGCCAGCGATCCTTGAGCCCCGTCCTGGCCGTGAAGTGTCCCGGCGCAGAGCACGCCGACCATCCCATCAGCCCCGGCGCCATCTTGACCTCGCGATAGCACCGGGCATCGCTGGCCCGGCCGTCAATGACGACGCGCCGGGGCGCCGGGGCGTACAACTTGACGTAGGCATCGCGGAAGAGGTAGATGTCGTCGTGGCGGGTGCGCAGCCTGGCGCTCTCGTCCCCCGGCACGAGGCGGTACTTGACCTTTTTCACGACGTAGATGAGCGAGGTGGCCTGCAAGGGAGCGGCGCTGAGCTCGTAGTAGACCAGCGACGGGTTGGTGGCCGAGTAGACGCAGCGGCCGTCGAGGGCCAGCGAGAGGAGCTCGCCAATGGGCAGCTGGACGCGCGGACCGTGGTTGGAGACGTCGTGATATGAGGGGGGAGCGTGCTCTCGTATCAGCGGCGGCATCGAGGCTGTCTTTTTGGTTGTTTGTACGGAGTAGTGCTCGGTAGTCTCTACAGCTTCTATGGCTGGAGCTTTGGGGGTCCGGGTGGAAGCTTGCTACGGGAGCTGCCGACTTGCTGCCGCGCGAATTGCCGGCATCAAAGCTGTTTTTGGCGGTAGGCGGTCCCGTCGAGCTGATCTTCTTCTTTCTCTTGATCCGTATGGTTGCTCTCCTCTGGCTCGTTCGCCTTGCTGCAGCTAATAATACACTTCCACACTTCAACTTACATCGGACGCCCCGGCCGGGGGGCCAGGAGCGATTATGTCTACTTTTGGGCAGCTGCCGTAGCCTGCATCTTAGTGCAGCACAGCTGATGGCCAGCTGCGAGAGCTGCCCGCCCTGTTCGGGGTACGAGGCACATGTATAATGATGATGTCTGCCCGCGCTGCTCCTCAGTTTATCGGTGTCTGTATCTGTAATATCTGCATGGCGGTACGGTGTAAGTGGTGCGGGTACGACGGCTCAGGCATCGCGCACGCCAACGGCTATGGCGGAATCAGCGGCCAAACGGCGGCTACCGGAGCAAAATTGCGACCGTGCCGATCGGCAGGTACGTACCGAGCGGCGAGCGCTTACAGGTGCTCTGTACCTGACGCTCATCGCGGCTCGAAGCCTACAGACCCGTACTGTCTACTTCAAAGGCTCCATATCAGTCCAGCACGGCCAATGGCTAAAAGCGCGCACGCCCTGGCAGAAAAGGTACGAGTCCCCACGTAGCCGTTCGAGTGTCTTTGCATGTACCTTACTCTCCGAAGGTCCCTTGAAGCTTCGAGTTGAAGCCCGTCTCTCTCGTTCAGCCCCGTCGCGTGAGCTAGACTGTGCGCCCGAAGCAGCGCGCAACGGCGGCCAAAACGACGCTCTGAAAGGTGCCATTCCCAGCAGAGAGCCCCGGCGGATGGCTCTGTGAATGTCGTCTTTTCTTCGTGCCATCTCCCTGCATTCAATGGCAGGCTGTTGCTTCTTTTTCTCGCGTCAGCCGCGAGAATCGCCAAGTCGCCCAAGCGAGACTTTTGTGATCGCATGGAAGCGCTAGAAAAATGCAGCGAAGCCGCCAAGTTTGCGGGGCAGCGGCGCTAGTACCAGTTCGGGGAGGGGTGTGGGTTTAGCTCGCTCTAGTGCACATGGCCAGATGACGTCGTATCTGTGGGGCTTCTCCCAGGCAGAGACGAAAGAGAGCGAAGAGAGAGCAAATGAGAGGGCGTAATGACAGGCTGAGAGAGAGGCATATTCGCGCCGGAATTGGGGAAAGGAAAATCCGTGGGAATGAGAATGACTTGTCGTATCGTGTCGTGTGCCGTGTCGATTCGTAGGGAAATGGAGGATTGCCGTGGCCATGACTGGACTGGAAACGGAAACATGACGAGGTGGGCTAATTGAGGTTATTCCATCCTATTCTACCAGTATGAACGTTGGATTCTTGTTCGTCTCCTGCGGTTTGGCCGACCCGTGAGGCAAAAAATTGGGAATTGGAAAAAGTGCCCGGATTAAGCGTTTTTACTTTTGCATCTACCGGCATTGCCATGGGGGTCTAAGGAAAGGCGATCCCGGGACGCACCGAGTAGCGAATTGGATCGCGAGAGAGGGCAAGCAGAGGCGAAAATAAACACGACGGTGAGGCTGCTGGCTGACGTCTGCGGCAAACATGCATCGTTCGTCCCTCCATCGAGGGGTGTGTGAGTTTGACGACGTTCTGAGTTTTGATTTTAGGGGTTCTGGGAATTGGTGATGGCATCTCCGAGGCTGCGGCATTTGCATGGTGGAGGATCTACTTGTACATGTAAATGCAGGACTCGATACTCGTATTCTACGTGTAAAGCACTCGCGATGGTGTGTATCATGGCATCTGTCACTTGTACATATCTTGTCTGGGGTCAATAAACCTTCAGCTTGACCTCAGGTATGCTGCCGTTCACCAGCCCGCGGCTAACAGTCGCCTCCGACGTCGCTGTCACGTCGCGTTCCTCTGTATAATACTAGTAGCCGACTGAAATGAAGAGCCGCATGCAAACAGGGCTTCTCGAAATGACGGCGGCTGATACAAAGGGCGTGCTCGGCGTGCTCTCTATGTAACCGGTCCAGGCACACCTACAATTTAGAGTATCGCACCGCTGCGTGATGCGGGTAATAATGGCAACACAAAAACGCCCATTCCAGTGGTTTTAACGTGCGGCATTTCCTTCGTAGAATTTTCTGGCCCTCTTGGAGTCGGCCGGCTGTCCCGGGACCTCCAGCTTTTGCCCTCTGCTGAAGCTCGGCTTTGCGTGTTATTCGCTCTCTGTGCCTTCTCTCTCTCTCATTCAGGGCTGGCGGGTCCCCCATATCCCATCGTGCCCATCTGCATCGCTCCAAGACCGAAGCAGCATAACGGGGTGGCCCTGAATAATATTTTCTTTTTCCTGCTCCATTTTATTTTTCTTCAGGCCGGTCCCAGCTTCTCCGGGCGCACAGGCAGTCTGCGCTGGCTGGATGGGGCCTAGACTGGAGCAGAGGCGTCGAGGCCAAGAGATGGGGAGGGGGGTTAAATCGGATATCGGCATCCCGTTCGACAGCTCGGTTGCGCCGGGACCTGGACCAGGTTCTCTGCTAGGACGAGCGCAGCAAGTCCTTCGTAGCAGCAGGTTGGCCAGCATCGTATCCACCGAGGGTAAACAGTGCCTTTGCTCTTTTGGGGCCTAGCGAGCTCAGGATAACTCGGCCTACCGAGTACGGGGGCAGGATGGGTACGGAGTAACCTTGGTAAAGGGACATGGGCTGCTGTGGCTGGTCTCGCGATTCCGCTTCTCTTTTGCCCGTGGACACGACCTTTGCTCGAATCAGCCTAGTCCCAGGCGACAATCTGCCGTCGGTCTTCGCTGGCCGATGGGGGGCGTGCGTGTAAGTCGCCATTATGGCGGGAGGACAGCAGACGGCGCCTGCTTCGGGGGTTGGGGGGGCGTGAATTGGGATAGGATGGATGGATGGAGACCAAGTTTCTGGCGTCTCATCGAAAAAAAGGCGACTGGAGAGAGACTGAGCGAGAACGCGAAGAGAGGGAAAAAAAAAATAGGAACCACGGCATTGGACCGAATTGACCTTGACTAGGGGTGGAGAGCGCAGGTTGGCCTGGAATAAATATCTCTGGTCGGCCACCCTCGGTGGATTGAAGTTTTTCTCTTCCCTCCCTCCTCCTCAGTTGCGACTTGTTTGCGTCTCTTCTGCCTCCCATTGTCAGTTGCCAGTCAGTTTTCCCGCGGGCTGCTTCGAAGGGGCGCAATCTCTTCCCAACAATGTCTGCTTTTCACCGCCGCAAGGGCTCCCCCGGGGAGGACGACCTCGAGGCCGGTGGTCGCGAAGACCACTCCGGCAGCACGGTCGCCCCCCCGGAGCAGGAGCTGCCCGAGTACGCCGCCCTGGAGCGATACATCAGCACCTACCGCGAGGGTTCGCGCATGGGCGACGACGACGACTCCAAGAAGCGTCGCCCCAAGTGGTGGCAGTTCTGGAAGTCATCGGGCCCGGATGTTGTCGATGCCCAGCCGGCCAAGAGGGTCGTGCCTGAGGCCTGGCTCGAGACGGACATTCGCACCGGTATCCGCATCAACGAGGTTGATGAGCGCCGCTCATGGGCTGGCTGGAACGAGCTGAGCTCCGAGAAGGAGAACATGTTTGCCAAGTTCCTGGGTTTCTTCACTGGTCCTATTCTTTATGGTGAGTTTCAGCAATTCCCGCTTGAGATGAGAGATGAGAATGAGTGATTGGTGGATGGATGAGAGCATCTCAGCTAACGCATTCCCTCAACAGTCATGGAAGTCGCTGCTCTGCTGGCTGTCGGTTTGGGTGACTGGATCGATTTCGGTGTCATCTGCGGTATCCTGCTGCTCAACGCCTTCGTCGCCTTCTACCAGGAAAAGTCTGCCGCCGATATCGTCGCCTCGCTCAAGGGCAACATTGCCATGCGCTGTACCGTTGTTCGTGACGGCCAGGAGCAGAACATCCTGGCCCGTGAGCTGGTTCCCGGTGATATTGTAAGTTTTTTGCAACCAATTCACTTTGGTCAACAAATCTGTGACAGGACGCTAATTGTGATCTTTTACAGCTCATTGTCCAAGAAGGTGACACCGTCGCCGCCGACGTTCTCCTCATCTGCGACTACACCCGCCCCGAGGACTTCGAGGTCTTCAAGCAGCTCCGTGCTGAGGGCAAGCTGGGTAGCAGCGACGACGAGCCCGAGGACGAGGATGAGAAGAACCAGGAGAGCCCTCTGGCCAACCACCGCTCCACTCCCCTCGTCGCCGTCGACCAGTCTGCCATCACTGGTGAATCCCTCGCTGTCGACAAGTACATCGGAGACACTGCCTACTACACCACCGGCTGCAAGCGCGGAAAGGCTTACGCTGTCGTTACCGCTACCGCCAAGGACTCTTTCGTCGGTAAGACGGCTGATCTCGTCCAGGGCGCCAAGGACCAGGGTCACTTCAAGGCTGTCATGAACAACATCGGTACCACCCTGCTGGTTCTCGTCATGTTCTGGATTCTCATTGCCTGGATCGGCGGCTTCTTCCACCACCTCAAGATCGCCAAGCCCGGCTCCCAGAACCTGCTTCACTATGCCCTTGTCCTGCTCATCGTCGGTGTCCCTGTCGGTCTGCCCGTCGTCACCACCACCACCCTCGCTGTCGGCGCTGCCTACCTCGCCAAGCAGAAGGCCATTGTCCAGAAGCTCACTGCCATCGAGTCGCTTGCCGGTGTCGATATCCTGTGCTCTGACAAGACCGGTACCCTCACTGCCAACAAGCTGTCCATCCGCGACCCCTTCGTCTGCGAGGGCCAGGACGTCAACTGGATGATGGCTGTTGCCGCTCTTGCCTCTTCCCACAACCTCAAGACTCTCGACCCCATCGACAAGGTCACCATCCTGACCCTCAAGCGCTACCCCAAGGCTCGTGAGATCCTTCAGCAGGGCTGGGTTACCGAGAAGTTCACTCCCTTCGACCCCGTCTCCAAGCGTATCACCGCTGAGTGCCGTCTCGGCAAGGACAAGTTCGTCTGCGCCAAGGGTGCCCCCAAGGCTATCCTCAAGCTCGCCAACCCCCCTGAGGAGCTCGCCTCCGTCTACCGTGAGAAGGATCGTGAGTTCGCCCGCCGTGGTTTCCGATCTCTCGGTGTCGCCTACAAGAAGAACGACGAGGAGTGGGTCCTGCTCGGTCTCCTGTCCATGTTCGACCCCCCTCGTGAGGACACCGCCCAGACCATCCTTGAGGCTGCCCAGCTCGGTGTTCCCGTCAAGATGCTCACTGGTGACGCCATTGCCATCGCCAAGGAGACTTGCAAGATGCTGGCTCTCGGTACCAAGGTCTACAACTCTGAGAAGCTCATCCACGGTGGTCTTGCCGGCAGCGTCCAGCACGACTTCGTTGAGCGTGCCGATGGTTTCGCTGAGGTCTTCCCCGAGCACAAGTACCGTGTCGTCGAGATGCTCCAGCAGCGTGGCCACCTTACTGCCATGACTGGTGACGGTGTCAACGACGCTCCCTCTCTGAAGAAGGCTGACTGCGGTATTGCCGTCGAGGGTTCCACCGAGGCTGCCCAGGCTGCCGCCGATATCGTCTTCCTTGCCCCCGGTCTCTCCACCATCGTCCTGGCCATCAAGACCTCTCGCCAGATCTTCCAGCGCATGAAGGCCTACGTCCAGTACCGTATCGCCCTGTGTCTGCATCTCGAGATCTACCTGACTCTGTCCATGATCATCATAAACGAGACCATCCGTGTCGACCTCATCGTCTTCCTCGCCCTGTTCGCTGATTTGGCCACCGTCGCTGTCGCCTACGACAACGCCCACTACGAGCCTCGCCCCGTCGAGTGGCAGCTGCCCAAGATCTGGCTGATCTCCGTCGTCCTCGGTGTCTTGCTCGCCCTCGGAACCTGGGTCCTTCGTGGAACCATGTACCTCCCCAACGGTGGCATCATCCAGAACTTCGGCTCTGTCCAGGAGATCCTCTTCCTTGAGGTCGCCCTCACTGAGAACTGGCTCATCTTCGTTACCCGTGGTGGCCGCACCTGGCCCTCGTGGCAGCTGGTCGGTGCCATCTTCGGTGTCGATGTCATGGCTACTCTCTTCTGTCTCTTCGGCTGGCTGTCTGGTGCCCCTGAGATCGACAACCCCGTCGACCTGGCCACTCAGCGCCACGACGGCTGGACCGACATCGTCACCGTTGTCATCGTCTGGCTGTACTCCTTCGGTGTCACCATCGTCATCGCCATTGTCTACTTCATCCTCAACCAGATCCCTGCGCTCAACGACCTTGGCCGCAAGGACCGCAAGAAGAAGGACACCATTGTCGAGAACGTCATCACCGCTCTCCAGAAGCTCGCCATTGAGCACGAGAGAGATGACATCAAGGGCGTGGACCGATACCTCCTCGCTGACAAGACCATTGACGAGGAGGATGAGTAAATGGGACTCTTATCCTATTAATATAATGTCGCGGATGTATATACGGCCTTCTACATGGTGATCTTGGGGAAGAAAAGAAAGGTCGGTCATAGAGGGACCGAACTCCTTTCTTTTGGAGAGAGATGAAAGAGAGGAGCAAAGCCAAGATGGGGACGGAGAAGAGGACGGCGTCAATCGTTGTTCTCTTCTCCAGCCGTGGATGCATTGTTGACCTTTTTTGATTCCCCCAGTCGCTAACTTAATTTTATAACTCTAGTATAAACTTATTTAGTTACTATAGACTTTTCATATCTCGTTAATGTGTTACGTTGTTAAAAGATAATATCTCTTCGTCTCAGTGTCTTCTTTGGTGATGCCTTCAATAGAAACATGTTTCACGGCTTTAGCTCTCCTTCTCTGATGGCAGCTATTTTGGGTAGGCTGACTTTAGTTCGACACGCCCCGACCCTCAAGGCTCCAAACACGATGAAAAGAAACAAATGGCGCAGGCCTAGCAAAAGTTTTCCCCTACGTGCACTCTTCTCCGTTTCCCCCAGTGGTGAAACTACGGGCCAGCGCCACCGGAGCTGGCGAGCTGGAACTAGATCGTATAGAGAGTTTCGGAATCGCGGATCTAGTTTGTCTTCAGCTATTGTTTTAGTGGGAAGCCTTGGTGACATGACTGGCATTCACCTTGGTTTGGTTCGGGTTTAGCTAACATGTCATGTGTGGTGTGAGGCCTTTTCCTTTGTGTTTTCTTTTACTATTGCTTCTGTCTGCATTTTCTCTCCTGCGAGATGGGTGCCCGTTCCTTGGATATGAGGACGATCGGTGTGTAGATTGTTGTCCGTGAACGGAGGCGATGTGGCATTGCCTCGGCAGTCGGACTGGTCGGGGCGAGAAACCACCAAGGCCTGCTCCAGATAACTTTATTCACCTCTAATGGAATCATATTGCCAGTTCTTACACTTGTTTACAAATATTCTGTCCGCGTAAATCTGCTCCCAACGGCTTCATGCCGTCCCGGCGGCTGAGTTCTAACCCGTCCATATTCCAACGACAGAGTTCTGCTATAATACGGGAAGCAAGTCGCCCGGCTGAGCACTGGCCGAAATGCCCGGCCCAGGCCCATCACTAGATGAGATCACCAGAGGATGCTTATGGTGTGAAAAACTTGTAAAAAGAGGTCCCAGAAGCTAGGGATGGCGGTCTCCCGTGCCCGGTTCTCGGTGTGATTGGTTGGCTTGGATGTATTGGAGGCTGGACGTTACCGAGGTGAGCCGGAAATGGTTCCGGGTTTGGAGAAGCTGTCAGAATGGGATGCTATTCCGTTTTGGTACATCTCTGTGTAGGCTTGGATGATTCAGTCCTTATATAATGGATGTGGTTTGTGGTTTGTGGCATTGGTATTGGCTAATTGGTGGGTGAAGACGAGACCTTAGACATTGACAGCTTCGTCGCGTGATATGGGCCCTGAACGGGGGAGATCCCGGGCGACGCTCAACGGCTATACGGATGAGCATGTAGCAGATGAAAACTGGAATCTGGGTATGATTGGAGCAGCAAGAACCTTGATACGCAGCATATGGCTTGTCAGAAGTTCAGTTGTGACCAGAAATCATGGTCTATCTACGGACGGAGTATCATCACCGGCATTTCAATGCTTTCGCTATCTATCTTTAGACGCTGGATTATGGACTGAATCTACATTCTGTCTCATCTATGGACCGGCAGCAGAGTGGAAAGCGGCAGCCTTCTGGCCGCCCAGCGACAGGTAGTAGCTCGTGTCGGGGAAGTCGTTGTCAAGCCCAACAAACTTGGCGTTGGTGGGCAGCTGGTTGTTCTTGAGAGCCGGCATGCTTTGGGTACCTGACCGAGGATCTGTTAGGTGGCTGATGACAATAAAAGCACAAGAGTGAAACTCACCCTCGTTGACTTCGTCAAACATGGCGTTGAAGATGAACAGAGGCTTGATGTCCATGGAGGTCAGGGCATCGGCCTGAGCGGAGAAGAAAGTGCCGTTGTAGCGAGGGAAGTAGTCATAGGCGGCAGGGTTGGTGTTGCCGTTGAGGTGGTAGGCTGAAGTGCCGGGGAAGATGACGGGAGCATACTTCTTGCCGAGAGACTGAAGAAGCCTGTTGGACGTTGCTTGTTAGCAAATGAGCCTTGAAGATTAGCACGACAGCCTGGTCATCACGTACTGAGAGTCTGGGATCTGGGTGTTGGTGTGGAAGCTCGAGTATCCAGCGTCGGAGTAGCCACCGACGGTCCAGGGGCTGATAAAGTCCGCCGCCTTGAACGCCTGGACATAGCCCGTGTTGCCGTTGACATCGTCCGCCCACTGCTCTGGCACGCCGAATCCGACGTACGCACCGGCATTCTGGAGCTGGGTGGCAATGTCGACGCTGTCCGAGGCGCTGGTCTTCATGCCCTGGAAGCCGATGCCAAAGATCATGACGACGGGCTTTCCGTCCTGGTGGATGTAGGCCGGGGACGAGGTGTACTGCTTGATCTGGGAGTTGTAGTCGTTAAGCACAAGCGAGGCGACGCTGCCCTGGGAAGAATCGGCACCGGAGACATCCCATTCGACGATGAAGCCGCGGCCGTACTTCTCAGCGGCGGCCTGAACTTGGTTGAGGACCTGAATAAATGTTAGGATGGGTGGCTTCTTCACATCAAATTATATCATGGAGGTTCATCACTGACCGTGATGAAGGACTGGTCACTGAGGGATCCAGAAAATCTCTGCACAATCACGCCGTCAATGCCATACTGCTGCATCCACTGAAAGTGCAGGTCGATGACACCGTCGCAAGTGCTGTCGTAGAACTGAGCCGGCTGGCCGTTGGGCAGCGTGAGGGTCGTGTCGAAGAGACAGTTGGCCGGGTACTGGCTGACATCCGGGATGAAGTCAATCTCGACTTTCACAAAACTGTCAGCCACACTAACACCCCGTATACTCATGATCTTAGGGAAGCGCCCTACTGTTGTTGGGTCCCGGCGTCTGGCCGTCGGCGGACCAGTGGTTGTTCACACCGGGTCCTGGTTTGCGGAACCAGCCCTGATAGCCGTACAGCCATTTGCCCTGGATCGTCGAGGCGTCGATGGCGGCAGCGGCTCGGCCAGCGTGGGGGTGCTGATGCGCTGCCGCCGAGGCCGTGGTGGCGTAGAGGAGCCAGGACAGAGATGCCTTCATGGTGGATGGTCCTTGTGAGAGATGTTCGTCAGACTTGGGTCCAACTTACCGATGCAAGGCCTCGAAGAGGCGTTCAAAGGTCGGTATATATAACGGGTGAGATCTATACCCCGTCCCTCTCCCCTCAAACCCCTACGGGTGATTCCTTGTCCGATCCCTACAATGGCATGAGCCACGCGTGTCAAGCTGGTTGGAAAATGGGTGATTACTCTCTGTTTCAGTCCCACAGCCGCCGTCCATCTACCACTAACGCATAAAAAGGCAGCTCGTGTGCCGATCATGTCCCAATTGCTTTCGCGCAAATATCCGGAAGACATAAGAGTCATGAAGTGAGCTGCTTTCATGACAGCGGAAATGCCCATTTTGATGCCGATTGGGCCTCGGATGTCATCGTATTCACGGTATTATCCGTAGGCTCTTGTCTTCCAAACTCCGCTTATATCAGCTCTAAAGTCCTTGTTCCAAGGAAACGCAAAGTAACATCACCTGGAGGGATTAACTAATCAATTGCCGGGCCGGTACAGATGCGATCGTGACGAGAAGAAGCACGTTCGTCAGGAACAGGGCACAGAACTGGAAACGGCCCGAACAGGTTGAGCTAGAGTAAGGGATGGCCGACGGGGGGGAGCACTGCAAACGGTCGTCGCTGCTACCATCTTGTGTGGGCAATTCGTATGCCATGCCGGTCAACCGGTATAGTGCTTGTAGGCGCAGTATCAGTATCTTTGGTACTAGCTGTATAGACGGAATGTAGTTTCACTCGATTGGCGTGTTTGATGCTGGTGTCTTCGATTGACAAGGAAGTAATCATTGTTTCAAGTGTCACATAAGCCATCCGGGCGAAAGCGATCCTGAATTATTCGCAAACTGGAGTAAACGAATCGCCTATGATGCACAAAGTAGACGGGAGGAATTGGGGGTCAATGGGGGTGAGTGAGCCAATTAAGCTGAATCATTCAGGAGCTCCAAAAGAATAATACGTCTTGATCCGATCCCGTCGGTATATTGCCAGGGCTTCGTGTTTTTGTTTCGTTTATATGCTGTCTTACAAGGCTCAGGCTGCCATTGCTGTAATCCCCTACGGGGTTTGACCTATGTACCGTTCTTTTCAAACATTGTTGTGTCAATAACATTGACATGTCCTCCTTCCCATGCAACAAGGCTATAAGCCCTTCGTTAATGAAAAAACAGCTGACTATGAGATGGAATTATCACTTCAAAATCTGGTAGTCGCTGACAGGTGGGCCCTTCGTACAAAGAGCAGTCGACAGTTTTTGCACTATATATCCTGGGCCGTTTGTTATGGGGAAGGCATCACAATTGACTCCATATAAATGTCATGCTCTGAAACCTCCTAAGCTCACGATTGAGTTCACTGGAACGCAGGTAATCTTTGCCTCTAATGCAGAACACAGAAGACCGTTTGGTGAAAGAGGTTGACAGAAACAGCATATCATTTCTCACCAGCAATATGATTAGCAGCCACAAGCCGCATTACGTTCTGGAAGCCATTGCAAGTTCCGCACTATTACCACTGCAGCTAAACCAAAGGCCCCTGGTTCACAGCTTCACTGTTGCTGTCATCCGTGAGGCGAGAGCTGACATTAGCGCTACAACTTGGAAAACAAAGTTTCACAGTATCGTGATTTTGAGCAGTCTCTAGCGCCATATAGGCTGAGGCTTGACAAGCTGATGATGATGGCTTTATGTCATTATGATAGTCTCAGTTACACAGAATTCGTCTCTCATATATAGCTTTGAGCTCTTGGATAGTACGGATCGGAATTGTGTAGATGACCTCTTGGACCAAGCAAAGTCGACACATCGTTCTCACCACAGGTACAGCTGTCCATCGTAAACCGACATGTCACCAACCAAAGACTCCAAACCGCCCTCATTCTTCGTCTCCCTCCCCGTCGAATCCGTCAATTCCTCCACCGATTTCTACAAAGCCCTAAACTTCACCCCTCTGTCCGACTTCTCCGATGACAACACCACCGCCCTCCGCTTCCCCTACTCCGCAAACTCCAACATCTGCCTCATGCTACATGCTCCATCGCGCTTCCAAGAGTTTATCCGCAAGGGCTCAGAGATTGCACAGGCGAAGAAGGCGACAGGCGCAATATTCACCCTCGGGGTGGGCAGCAGGGAGACCGTAGACGGACTGCTGGATAAGGCACAAAAGGCGGGCGGCAAAAAAGATCCGTTTAAGATGAAAGAGTACGGAAAATCCCTGGGGATATACACGAGGAGTTTCGAGGACCCGGATGGACACATTTGGGAAGCGACAACGATGCTGGAGGAGAAAGGAAAGGATGAAGAATGAGCTGATGAGCTTGAGCTGTGATACGACAAGTCAGACGCAGCTACTCGACTCTGGAGAAATGATCATGATTTGCAACTTTTCAGTATATATTGACTTCCGAACGAAGTTTTTCGTTGACAATATTAACGCTGTGTTACGCTGTTATATCCAAGAGTCAAGGCTTTGAGAGTTCCTTACCACCAATAGATATCCTGGTCGCCATCGTCACGGGTGTCATCCGTGTCCTCGGAAATGCCGTTAACAGCTCTCAAGACTGACGGAATGACATCAAAGGAGATGCCTTTCAACCCATTCCCTGCCGTTTCGTCCCACAGGTCACGCAACCTGGCCGCCTCCGAACGACTCTCCGAGGGGTGTATGCTAGTATCCATTGGCAGTTGTGCAAAATACAAGTCGAAGTCAATATGTTGCAGACTTGGAAACAGATGAGCCGTATTTGCCGATAGCCATTCTAGATCTGACGGGATGCAAGGTCCGTAAGATAGCATTACGAGCTTTCTGACGCGAGGGAACAGCTGATTGTTATTTTCATCGTAGAGCGGACGATCTGATTCCATGGTCGCGTCAAATAGTGGGTTGCGATATATGTTTCTCGACGGCCTGATCTTGCTCTGTGTGTCCCTCTGACCGAGGCAAGGTAGAGGCGCAGTCGCTAGTGTAGGCCAATGTCGATATGTAGATACGGGGTATCTTGGCGTCGGGGCGAGCAGAAACATGTCGCCCACAATCAAGGTTTCCAACGCCTCTAAACCTTTGAGCGCTTTCAGCATGTCCTTTCCGAAAGAAGGAGGCCACTGGTCATAAGGTGAGTAGTCCAGGTACAGCCACTTCAGAGTGTGACGCACTCGCTCCAAGGGACGGACAACGTCAGTCGGATGAAAGTACGGTCGAGTTCTGAAGGCAGGTCTCAGGCACGACAGAAAGAACGAGTGGAGATTTGGCGCTCGGCTCAGGAGCTCGTCGAGGCTCTTGGGATCCAGATTGCATGTGTCCAAGTACAGCTCCGTCAAGTTGTCCAACCTTGCCGGCAAAGGGGCCAAGTTCTCCAGGCCGAAGCCCCTGAAAATTTGGAGACGGGGCGCTGCTTGCAGAATACCCTCGATGCTGCCGAGAGATGATGCTGCTGTGGGGTCGATCCAGCAGCGTCTGTCGACATAATTTAGCTCCGCCAGTCGAGGGAGAGAGAGCGGCAGGCCTTGGGGATATCCCATACCATCCACGACGATCGTGAGGCGCTCGACGTTGCATATGAGCGGCAAGACTCCCATGCAATAGGCCCTGACCCACGTCTGTGGTCCGTCGATGTACTCTTTGTGGTTGACCGAGGGAATAGACTGCATGATACAGAACAGCTCGAACAATTCTCCATCCAGCGGCTGCCATGCTATGAGTTCTTCCCGACCCAGAGTTTCCAGCGTGTTGTCGAGATGCATGTCTCTCACTGCTCTGGCAAGATCGGGCCGCTGAAACAGCGTTCGAAGAAGAGAAAAGCAACGGCCCTGGGAGGGAGGCAACAAGCGATGGTAGAGAATTGGCTGTGCAATGTCTCGGAAAATCCTGCAGGTTCGCGACAGGCGGGACAGCGCTTGGGTCCTTTGCCTATTTTTGGGTGGGTTCTACCATGCCCAGGTGCTGAAGAAGTGAGGCGCATTTCCTCGCTTGGGATCTGGTTGGGGATTCACGCGGTCCCAGCTGGGGGTGCAACAGTGATTGCATAGGCTTTCGGCGATGAGGTGGAGGATCTCTGGAGGTAAACGTTCGACGAGACCAGCCATGATGAGGTCGGAAAGTAGCGGACGCTGGCTTCCGAGATGTTTTGAGCAGGGTAAAAGATTGGTCGAGCAGGGCGAGAGATGCTTGCTGCTAAAAGTATGGGCTATAGATGCTGCGGAATAGGTGGGAAGAATGCCTTGACTGTTGAACGAACGAAGATAGAGTGAGTGATGGAACGTGTGAGAAAGGAAGGATACAGCCGGAGACTTGAAGTATATTGTTGACAACTGGAAGATCTGGTAGGTGCGGACCAAAGCTGCCGTTTACACCTACCTGTGGTAGTCCTTGATGCCTCAACAAGCCCTAGATAGCTCATCTAAGCTTCAAACATACGGGTCTCTGGGGGCAGCAAGAGGTAGTGCTCCAGAGTCTTTGTCGTGGCTGCCCGTCGACGATACAATTGTCGATAAGAAGAGATAAGTATGTCCTGCGACTGCTTCTGCAATGCTACTGAAGATTTCGAGACAGTCTCTCAACTTCTCAATTAGGTAGCATCACTCTCGGCTGCTGGTAACCTCGCTCGGATGAAACAACGTCTTCATCAATTTAGGTGACTGTCGTAGCATTGCAGTGCAGAGATCACGGACCCTTGACGTTTCCCCCTCAATCCCGAACCTCCAACCAACCATTGGCATTGCTCGCCTCATCGCGGGGAATGTTAGATCGCAGATTAGACCCCGCTTGCAAGGTTACACTCGGGGCTGCAATGTCGCGAACATGCCGATGTAATTCTTCTCGGGAACGATTGCAACGGTGAGTCATGACGGGGAACTTCTTATACGTGGAGTGCAAGTGAAGAGACTTGTTGTGACTCTTCAAAGGTACGAATGATGGTACTCTGCAGCAATTGGCAATGTTTTTCAACACGCTTGTTGTGCTTCTCACCAGCTTTGGGCTCTCAGTTGGTCCATCACTTGCAGCTGTAAGAGACCAGGACCCTAGCTGGCACCAATATGCCAGGTCTCCCGTTTCCAAGATTGTCAAGCCAGTTGCGATTGTTGCGGACAGTATCATTGGCAATGTTTCCAACCCAACTGGGTTGCTTGATGGCCAAGGCGCGACTGTGCTGAGTCGGAGCGATCAAGATGACCTGCTGCCCGCAATAGTGGTGGACTTTGGGCAGAATGTAGTCGGCATCCTCAGTCTAGAATTCAGTGGATCGCAGAATATGTCTACTGGACTGCCGGGGCTTAAATTGGCGTTTTCTGAGACGATGGAGTATCTCACAAACCGGAGCGACTTCACGAGGTCTGACAATGCCAGCGGGGTATGCCACGGATGACAGTCCCTGTGTCTCTGAGCTTGAGATGACTGACGTGCTTGCTTGAGTAGAATGAGAAATTGACCAATGGAACAGACCAGGTAAGCACGAAATAGCTTCATCTGGTGTTACCACGACACAGAAACGCTCATCTCCGACATTGTTAAAACAGGTGGCTGTCAAGAACGCATCTTATACTTGGACAGACTTTAATGGGTGTCAAGAAGATACCAAAGTCTGCTCAGATGGACTCCACGGCTTCCGGTATGTCAAAATCTGGCTCGAAGCCCTGCCATCAGATGCGCCGTACACGTCCTCCTTTGGCTCTGTTTCTATCTCCGGCATGAGTCTCGAGTGGTCTGCATATCTGGGGACAGCAGATACGTTCACAGGTTGGTTCGAGTGCTCGGATCAAGAGCTTACGCAATGGTGGTATGACGGAGTCTACACGGTTGATCTGGGTACGGATACGTTCTTTGCCAACGAGACGGAGCCCAGAGGAGCTTCCAGTCCGACCTTGGAGGGCAAGCAAGTGCTCTTCGATGGGGCCAAACGTGACAGGGACCCGTACGTTGGCGACTTGGCTGTTGCGGCACTGACTTCGTATCTGTCTCAAGATTTTGCCGAGCCGACGCGCAATGTGTTGGAGGATCTGGCGCGGCATCAACGCGATGATGGATGGATACCCCCGGCAAGCATGTAAGTCAAACTTCGCTAATGGCCGATTCTTTTGTCAAGTATGCTTACCATGACATTTGTACATAGAAACAACTACACCCTCCCTCTCTTTGACTATCCCCTCTGGTGGGTTGTTTGCAGCGTTGATTTGGTCCTGTACACCGGCAACACTTCATATGCAGACGCATACTGGAATACGCTCGCCAAAGTGCTTGACGGCTACTACCCTTCCAATACAGATAACACAACTGGGCTTCTGGATAATAATGCAGACACGGGCTACGGTGACTACGCATTCCTGCCTCGATCTGGGCCAGTCACTTACTACAACGCCCTGTACGTCCACGCTCTGTCGTATGCCTCGCAGCTAGCGAAGAGCCTTGGCCAAGAAGACGATGCCGCGAGATGGTCCTCTAGAGCTGCTGCGGTCGGCGAAGCGCTTTTGACTCATAACCTCGACGAGAGCATCGGGGCGTTTTATGATGGCGGACCATGTCCTGGAGGAGCAGCAGGCACCGTTTGCGATGTTCACGCACAGGATGGAAATGCCATTGCCATTCTTGCGGGTGTCACAAATGAGACGACTTCGGCTGGTATTCTGGACTATTGGCAGACTGCGACTTCTCAAGTATACGGAAACGCATTCTACGACAGCAGCGTCTTAAGCCCAGGAGACAACTTCGACCAGCGTGTCTACGCTTTCATTTCCTACTTTGAGATTGCTGCCCGTTTCGCCACTCCTGGACAGTCTGCCTCTGCTTTCGACGAGATTCGAAGGCTGTATGGGTGGATGGCTACTCACGATCCTGGAATCACCATGTGGGAGGGCATTGGACCGAACGGGTCAGCTTATGAGGGTGCGTTTACTTCCATGGCCCATGGCTGGTCAACGGGGATTGTGCCCTTGTTGACCGGCCATCTGCTTGGAGTTAAGCCCACATCGCCGGGATTCAAGACGTGGAGGATCTGTCCTGTGGTAGAAGGAGGTGATTTGACATGGGCTAGGGGGGAGGTGCCAACGCCAGGAGGAGTGATTAGAGTCGCATGGGAGATGGAAGATGCACAATCCGGGCCGGTGCTTGTGCTGGAGGTTCAGACGCCCCAAGGGTCTTCTGGCACGGTATGTGTTCCCACTTTGGGGCTGACGGATCCAAAGGTCAACCTGGATGGGAGTCCGATTACGTTTCCCCCGGGCCAAACTCTGGTGACTGTCAATATTTCTGGAGGCAAGCATAACTTTACGGTTGAATCCTGACCAAATACACGATTTCGTCTATTCTAGGATGTCTCGCTGAAGCCGCTTTTATGTAGCTAGTGATGATAACAACATAGTGAGTCGTCTATATCGCGTACCAGATGAAACTGCAAATTGAAGCCCCAACGGCTGTTTCTCAGCCCGCAAAAGCTTACTTCATCCCGGCTATCGGGATGGATTATGTCGTAAATAGTTCATTAGCATGTGTTCGCCCTCATTTTAGTTGTCATTCGCTTCTTCGCTTTCTTCGTTTTCTTCGTCTATCAACGTGCTCCCAGCGGGAGGGAAATTGGAGAACAGCAGCACTGTCATTCCGACTACTGCGATTGCCTTTGCGGGAGGTAAATGTTAGCATTGCAGCAAACGACGTTTCAGAATTGATTCATTGTTGGAGCACTTACAGCATTGCAGTAGAATGTCGCATACGCTTTGCCCACACTCGCCAGGCTGGAGAAGACAAACCCGAACAGTCCCTGCGTGGTTAGTCGAGCGATGTTCTCGACGAGCGTCACGGCGTTGAGGGCATCTGCGCGATGCGATTCTGAACACATGTCTGTGATGACGCCTTTGGCTGCTGGTGCAGAGCCCGACCCGAAGGGGAGGAGGAAGGCGGCTGTCAAGGCTGTCTGTTAGAAACTTGCAGGAGGAAGATTTGTTCAAATCGGTTGAGTAGTGACTCACCAAGATAAATGTGCCATCGTTTGGTAGCAAATGCGACGACAGTGGTGAGCGCTCCGTCGACGACAAGACTGTAACGCAGGAAGATGAGATCAAAGTGGCCGACTTCGTGAGAACGCCCCATAGGAACGGCTTTCGTAGGCTCGAGATCCGCCTGCTCGCCAGTAGCAGCATCGAAGTCGCCAGGTTCAGTTGGCATTTCGTCATCCGCTGGGAAGATGGATGAGGCATCACTGTCTGCTGGTGATGGGCTGGAATTACGCTTCATCAGGTAGCGGCCGAAGTTGATGATGCGTGGGAACAGGAAGATGAGGAATACGCTTCGCATGAAGGCGAACTCGAACATGAGCCATCCGTTGTCTGCCTGGTCAAAGTCGAAAGCCGCGGTGGCATACATTTGCATCAATAGGGGGGCGTAGTCGGTCGCCAGCTGGTATGGCTCTAGTCAGTCACAATACGGGGACACAAGACGAGAGCGATTCTGCGAGCTATACTTACCACTCCGAGAAAGATGCCGGCACAAAGGATGAGAACGCCATAATGTTTCTTGGTGCTGCCCTTGGGCGTGCGTAAACGCTGTGGCACGAGAATTTTAAGAGGGGCGAAAAAGCTTGCAATGCCTTGCGGTCCGGGCTTCTTCTTGTTGCTCATGGATTCTGGTGAGATGTAGGGAAGAGCGAAATGCACATAAGTACAGGAGAGGAGAAAAGTGACAAAGGCAACGTCAAAGGGGGCACGGATATCGATTGCATCCCCAAGCATCCCGCCGACTATCCATCGCGTGAGCAGGTTAGCTGTCCGTATAAGTACAGTCGGGAGTCGAAATCAGGCATACATACCCAGGTAGCCGACGCTCTGTCCCAGCATGATGCTTCCCTGCAGCTTCCCAAAGACGGCTGTTCGTCGAGACGGCTCAACAGTCTCGCTCACAAAGATGTTAGTGATGAGAATGTATCCCGCCGGCCCGCCGATGATGGTGATGAGCTGAGTAGACTGAATGATCAAGATGCCTGTTCGCTTGCCGGCAATGACCCCGAAGATTTGCGCAAGGACTCGGATGGCGGGCACGAGGGTCTGGATCATTAGAGCGGAGCGAGGGCCAATCTTTTTGACTGTCCATCCTGCAATGAATAGATTGAGTGTCCCTGGAGGTTTGAGCGCCTCAGCGATGGGTCCCCTTTTATAAAGAGTAGACACAAAAAAATGATGGAGATTGAGGGGATGTTGCGTCTCATCCGGAGAACTCACCGCACAGCGTCGTACTCATGCCCAGGATACTGAATTGAGTAGCCGTTCCGGCCGCGATTTCGTCGCGACTGCACCGCTGGCCGGGACCCTCAAACGGTGCGTGATGGTCGTAGAACTCGTCGCATACCATAAGATGGAAGACATACATGAGCCTGTTGGGATATTAGCTCTGCTGTCACTGCATTGTCCCGTAACACAGCAGTGACCGTAATCGGCACAGCCGAGAGGCGAGAGAACTCACGGAACTTGAGTGAAGCTAAACGCGACGCAGATAAAGAATCCAGCTGCCAAGATACGGTTCTCGACACTGGTGAAGAAGCTTCTCAGCGACTCTCCGAAGCTCTTTTTCTGGCTGACCGAGTCCGAGGCCCTGCGGCCGGGGAGCAGCGGCGTAGTTTCATCCGTTGCCATTCTGATCGACTGACGCTGGCAGTTCTCGGCCAATGTCTCTCGCAGAGTGACACCTGCTGCTGCTTGGAGCTCAAATGGCGGACTGGACAGGAAGAAGAAGCGCCCTTTGGCTTCTGAGTAACCAAGATCCACTGTCGGCTTTCGGCTGAGCTGTGGAAAGCCGATGGCGGGATGGCGAATGGAGAGGTTTGATTGCGCGACTTTGGCGAACTGTGGGGTGTTCGGCAGGGGGAGGCTGCGGCAGGCGATTACCCATGAGCCGCGGATTGGAGGGAGAAGTGGTTATCTTTGCTGCGTCTTGCTGGGCTGAATCTCTACTGAACGCATGGTAGATGCGAGGCTGTCAATTTGTTATCGAAGTCCAGGTTGGATCGATGACAGGATTTAGTTCTGTCCATTCATCATTCCTTCAAATGTGGCTTTCACTGTAGCACAACATTTCGGCTTACTACTCCTTTGTTATGGTTCTCATTCATTCCTGCTTATATGGAACATCTGCCAAACTCTACTCTACTTGAACGTCAAAAGAACCGCTTGCGAATGCCTGACTTGAACCGTGATATCACCCTTGCTGTTCGGCCGAAGCACGCTCTCATACTGTTTCGCCACTCTCACGGGCATTCCTTCTGCCAGGTCGTAATCGTAACTCAGTCCAGCGACCGTGATGTTCGTCTCCGAAAGCGCGCCCGGAGCCGTCATCAGCTCAACAGTGGCATATTTGATTCCTCTATTGCCGGTGCTGATGGTGAAAGTCGCGGTTGGCGCTCTGGACGCTTCAGCTTCAGCACTGCTCGCAGGGTTCCATTCGTGTAGGTTGAGGATAACCACGCGCGCCAATCGATTGCCTTCATAGGCTGCATATGCGGAATAAAAATCGCTGCCCAAATCAATGTTGTTGATTCTCGTGTTGGGGTGGGCTCCGATGAACTTGGAGACCATGACATGGCCGTAATAGGGAGGGTTTGTCGATGGGCCGGTTCCGTTCTGAGCAATGGGCAGCCAGGCGCCGTAGCGATAGCCTGTTCCTTGATGCATATGCATGCGATTTACGCCCTGTTGTGCTCCGTCAGGGTCCGTTGTGGAATATGTTCGAGAATCTATTGACTTACAAAAGATGCATAGTAGAGCTCGTAGTCGACAACGAACAGAGCAGAGCCAAACACGTTGGAGACGCCAAAGGCACCTTGGCCAGAGACGCTGTTGGTTTCGCCGAGGGTGTAAATGCGACCAGCGTCGTGATTAAGCTTGCAAAGCGATTGATGGACGGTTCCATTAATCACCACACTTGTATGGTTCATGAGAGTACCTGTTCTCTGTCAGCCAGGCTACATGATCGACGGATCTTGATATCAGGGTTCCTTTGGGATTATACCTTGTAGAGTCGGGTTCTGGCCTGTTCCAGAGACATACCTACATTCTTCGTCAATCATTGTGCCTAGAGTACAGGGTCAAATCAACTCACCCGTGCTGGGATACCTCTGCAATCCAACCATCTCGGTCATAGTGAAAAGTGCTGTTCCAGATGGTCCACGGGGAGAAGAAGGAATAAGGCGTCGAGATGTTATAGCAGCATGTTGAAGGAGCAAAGAAACGAAGAGACTTGTCCGGAGTCTGAATATGTCGCGAGCGATCAACCCACTCTTCAACCCAGTCCTCCTGGGTCCATGTGGGGGGTCGGAACCCAGACAATGCGCCGTAATCATTCTCGTTGCCAATCTCGAACAAGTGCAGCCTATCAGCAGGGATCTGCTTCAGGGACTCTGAGACCTGTCCTCTAAGATTCTCAAGATATGTAGAGTCGTTCTTGTAAAAATTGAGTCCAAAGATGTACTTCGTACCTTCAATGGCAGTGAATGCCTCCCAGAAGGTCGGTCCAATGGAGGAATTGCGTGGCTGATCAGAATTGTAGGACGGGTCCCAGAAGTTAATGATCTGCTCTTGTTGATCAGGGACGTAGGTGACATGGTCTCTGAATGATGGTCAGAAGTTATCTACAGAAAGCAATTGACTGGCGTCCATACTGAGTATTTCCTCCAATGCGGAGAATTTGGGGTACGTCCCCATTGAAGGCTCTCAGGTTGGCCAAGAGGTTGTTGGTAAACTTGTTGGGATGAGACTTGTTTCCTGGAGAGCGTAGTGAGCTTGGTGCCTTGTGTCTTGAAAACGGCAATGTCTACCTTGAAAGTCAACTAAAAATGCAAACTCAATGGAGAACGAGTGAAAGTCAAGTGAAATGGGAGGGCTCGATGATGCCGGGGGCGCTCTGGCAACGTTTACATGGACTGTTTCGCCAGAGACGAGACCCAGAGTTGCGAGGGCCGAGACCAGCGAAGTTCGAACCATGGCTGCAACAAATCATGAAACCCGGAAAGGAACTGCAACCCTACGATGGGACTGCTTGACTTGGTTTCTCCAAGTTGCCACGTTCATTTCGAGTCTCTTATACCCCTCGAATATCTGATGTTCATCTAGCGGATGCAACAACGTTGCCTTTTGCGGGGAGGACTGGCTCGACGTCACTGGACTTTCGAATCGAATCATTCAAGTACAAATCAGTCAAAGAAGAATTCAATTAGCCTAAGGATATTTCTGGATGAGAACCGACCCTTGAGTCCTGGTATCGAAGCTTCTTTCACCACGGATACAGGACAGGGTTGTATTCCGACGGATCGGATAACAAGTATCTGGGGTACTCGGAACTGCGGATCCCGACTTACAAGTATGCAGTTGTGGGAGCAGATGTTTTCGTTGTTTCCCAATTATACTTCGTCAGACGGCTTGCTTTTGAAGGTACATAGCATAAGGGGTTATATAGAATGGAACAATCCGCTTTGAATAAGAACCGATTATAGGTCCTCTCGTCTCCTATTGTCATCATTGTCCGCGGACTGGCGATGTCATGTAAGGTATACTCCGTACGAGCAGACATCATGCAAGTCTACTACCCCGCTGATCTTCACATCATATAACACCACGAGATGCAAGCTATAAGTAATCAGGAAACTTCGGGTAAAATAAAGCATATAGCTAAAGTTATACATATCCGGAGGAACCTGAGAAAGAGGCAGAAATGGGTCGACTTTGTGATTGAAGCGAACAGTATCAACACGCTCTAACCGGTCCGTCTCCTGCACGAATGCTCCGCTATTGAACCATGACTGCCGTTGGTACATGCCGCGAAGAATACTGCTTGACTGCATCGTCGCGAGAGGAGGATGAACATCTGCATAGCCTTCTAGCGGTAATACGGTCTGCAGACGGCCTTGGCCACTTGCCACCCCTCATCAAACGCCGCGACAAGCTCATCTGGCAACGGCCCCTTTTCCAAGCTTGTCAGGTTCTCCCTCAACTGCCGCGCACTGCTTGCACCAATAATGATGGCATCACCATGTTCCTTCTTCAACAGGCTGTGGTGGAGAGACCATCGCAAGGCAGCCTCAGCCGTTGGAATGCCGAGCTTCGCAGCGACAGGCCTCACGACGTCCAGTGCTTTGAAGTACGTCTCGTTCCAATATCTCTCGCGATACTGAGCACCTTGTGGTCGCTTAGGGTCAAAGCGGCTGCCCTCTTCGAGCTCCGCTTGGTCGAGCTTGTACTTGTCTGTGAGGATGCCACCAGCCAAGGGATTATACTGGTAAAAGGCAATGCCGTAGTGTCGGAGACAGCGAAAGAGCTCAGGCTCAACTGCTCGGTGGAGGCCGTTGTACAGGCCTTGATAGACATCGGGCTTCTTCCATCCGTTGCGGATGCTGATTTCGCAAAGCTGGGCCACCTCCCATGCCATGTAGTTGCTAATGCCGAAGCGCTTGAAGTAGCCTTCTTCGTAGAGCTTGTTGACTTCGCGGAGGGTATCCTCATATGGCGTGTTGCGGTCAGGCGCATGCAGGTACCACATGTCAACCTATTGACCAAGGAAGAACTTAAATTAGCCAATTGTGACACTTCCTTGGCAGGTTTGACTCTTCTTCGGCTTACCTTGTCTGTCCCAAGAGCCTTTAAGCTGTCCAACAGACCTTTTCGAAGATTGGCAGGCGTATGGTTGTATTCACCAAAAGGCGCCAGCTTCGTATCCAAGATAATGCCTCTCTTCTGCAACTCCAATTGACCAAGAAACTTCTCAGAGCTTCCTCCGCCGTAGGCACGGGCCGTGTCAATCTCTGAGTGGCCGAATTCCTGAAAGACATCGAGAATCTCGGCACATTCTTCCAAGGTATGGACACGGGCTTGGTTTGCGCCTACGAAGAGGAATGAGTAAAAAGAGATATTCCGGGTGAATCAAATACGGCCAACCTTTTTCTCCCACGGTCATGGCCCCAAAGACGATCTTGAGTGCTGTATTAGGCTTTGAACCCATCTTGAGATGCTTCCTTCTGACTCTGTTTCCTTGGTAAGGCGTTCAAAACTGGCTTGAGGCTCAATGTATTATTTGGTGATACAATCGTAACCACGTCGCGATATTTATCTCGTCAATGGGAGGCCAATTGTTCCACTGCAACATCTCATACATGGCGGGGTATTAATATGGCAGAGATCCAGCCCCGCATCGGTTGATGATGCCATCTTTAGCATGATAAAGTCATGGAGATAGGAGGGATGTACGGGTCGTTCACGGCAATAAGGCTGCTTGTGGCCTTTTTTGAATGCAGTCTGGACCAATACAGCCGGTAAAATCCAGCATTGGGTGCAAAAGATCTACCGATGGACATTGCAAGTCTATGAAGACAAGTGGAAAGTATGAGGAGACAACGGTAATAGGACTTACTCGATGTCGGATTACGGCGTACCGAGGAGACCATATACCCGATGGACGAGGCTGATGTCACACTTTGATGCACAGCTTCCAACCAAGGGTTTTGGCGCGTATATATCGATAATTACAGCTACATCCCAAGATACAAGTATGTTAGATCAGATTAAGCTACCTATCTACTCCTTCAATGGAACGGTGGTTACAAAAAGACCTGCAGACCACCCTGGAGGATACCTGTCTCCAATAATCGTCGCCTTTTCAATAGCCTTCCTGATCTCGGCATTCTCCTCGTCGCTGATCTCAAGCCGCAGTGCCCCCATGTTCTCATCGTAGTACTTGATCTTCTTGGTGCCGGGAATTGGAATAACCATGTCCCACTGCTTCAGGAGCCACGCAAGAACCAACTGCGAACTGGTAGCATTATGCCGAGCCGCAATCGCCTGCAAATCGGCAACGAGCTGCAAGTTCTTCGGGAAGTTTTCAGCAGAGAAGCGAGGAATGTTCTTTCGAAAGTCGCCCTCCTCGAAGTCTTCGGGCCCCTTGATTTGTCCGGTAAGCATGCCGCGGCCGAGAGGAGAGTAGGCAACGACAGCGACGCCGAGCTCTTTGCAAGTGTTAAGCAAGTTTGTCTCTGGCAATTCAATTTCGAGGGCAAAGGGGCTGTACTCCATCTGGACGGCAGCGATGCGATGCACAGCATGGGCTCGTCTGAGAGTATCAGCTGAGACCTCCGAGAGGCCCAGATGCCGAATCCAGCCTTTCCTAAAGACGAGTTAGTATGACTTCCATTATTGGGTTCTGGCTGTCAGACGGGAAGCTAGACTCACTTTTTAAGCTCAACCATGCCCCTAACAGTCTTTTCAATAGGGGTATTAGAGTCGACCCGGTGCACGTAGTACAGATCGATATAATCCGTCTTCAGGCGCCTCAAACTTTCTTCGGCGCACTGCCTAGCATACTCGGGATCATTGTTGGGAGTATCGGTGCCCCGGTTTCCAAACTTGGTTGCCAGCACAATGTCCTTGCGCTTCTCGGGGTTGCGCTCGAACCATTTGCCAATGAGCTCCTCAGAGTCTCCGTAGACATTCGCAGTGTCCCAGAATCTCTCCCCAGTTTCGTAGAGATGGTCAAGGACCTTGAGACGTTGCTCGTCGGGCTCTGTGGATCCGTAGAAGGCGCTGATGCCCATTGCGCCAAAGCCAATGGCTGTGACAAGAGGGCCATCCGTTCCGAGGCGGCGAGTTGGAAGAGACATTGTGAGATGAGTTGATTGCTTATTGCTATCGATGAAGTGTTTGAGAGTGCGAAGGCTGCTGAAATGGTTGCTGTTGTTGTCGTTGTTGTTGCTGAGTCCTATCTTCAGAAGAAATTGGCTACTCTTATATACTCATGGAGTTTTCTTCTTGAATCTCAACTCTTGAAGATGTCTCCATTCACAATCACATCGGCAATACAGTTCACGGATATCCGGCGGATGTTGGAAGTCGTCGGTCCTTGTGCCCAGCTTTAGAGACATCGGCGTTAGTGGTGGCTCGAAACGCCAAAAGAGGCAATTATGGCTGTTTTGAGAAGAGAGCTGAGTTGGTTGTGATGTCACAAAACGTCAACAACAATTGCCAGAAAGAATATGCCAGAATTCTTTTCTCTAACTTTGTCTAGGAATTCTACCTATTCCTTATAATGTAAGCTGTATCGGGGCCTGATGCAGCCCTACCTAGTGGAGCAGATGCTTGGAAGCTGAAAGGAACGGAGGTGAACCTCTAGCAAACCCGAATTTCCGTGTAAGCGGAACGGGCTTATGGTGAAGACAATAATTGCCCTCGGTTTAGTCAAGGAATTTGTTTATTAATCCAACCTATAGCGTACCAATCAGGCGGCACTTTTATGAAGCCCTTCGGCGTTAAGTCCTTCCACCAAACGCCGAAAGGTAAAGGAGGGAGTTCTCCACCTTCTCCTCTAGGGATTTCCTATTTGTCTGACGGTGACAACGCTGGAACAGCAACGGACAACCTCCAATCTAGTCCATAGTTTCTCTATTCACCGAACATTATAAATTGAACCCCGTTTCCGTGTTATTTGTCTACATCTTCGTCTCGTCCGTACGAGAGGTTCTGGGAGAATTATTAGTAACATAGCTCATAGAGTATAGCTTGCGAGCAGATGAGCTTTGTATAAATAGAGTTTGCTTCGTAGATAGCTCCCAATGCTCAGATATTACAAAGTGCTCTCATTTACCTGTGCGATAATCATCAACATCATCATTATCTTTCAGTCTCCCGCCAAGATCGTAATATGTCGCATGTTATCCCCAAATTTGTCAAACAATGGAACGTCATCAAGGGAGAAGGGTTCGATTCTCTACAATATTCAGAACAGCCTCTTCCTGAAATAGGAGATAGCCATGTTTTAGTCAGGTGTAAGTTATGCAGAAGATCCAGAAACACAATATGCTGACGCAACCTATAGTAGAGGCTGCATCTCTCAACGTGGGTTGATGCAAGATATCTCTGCCATGTGGCATTACCCCTGACTGAGCCAACCCCCAGTATCGCGATCTTGTGATAGCCCAGGGGAAAACTGCCCATGCCGTGGCACCCAACGTCATTCCTGGTTCTGACGGAGCTGGAACTGTTGTCGCGGTGGGAAAGCATGTGCGTCGCTTCGCTCCAGGCGACAGAGTTGTTACGGCATTCTTCCAAGATTTTATCGGAGGGCGCTATCAGCCATCTACGTCCCTTTCCACGCTTGGAGGAGCATTGGATGGCACGTTTCGCACATATGGTGCCTTTAACGAGCAGGGACTTGTACGGATCCCGCCAAGCCTGAGCTTTCTCGAGGCTTCAACTTTGACCTGCGCTGGGGTAACGGCATGGAGCGCGCTCTTTGGACTTTCTGACTATAGGGTGACTGCTGGTAAATGGGTGCTGACGCAAGGTACCGGAGGTGTCAGTGTCTTTGCTCTACAGTTTGCAAAGGCAGTCGGCGCGAGAGTTATCGCAACGACAGGATCCAACGAAAAAGTTGAGTTTCTGAAAAGCCTTGGAGCAGATTATGTTATGAACTACAAGGAGGATGCCCAATGGGGCACCACGGCTAGAGCCGTAACCGGAGGCGAAGGTGTTGATCATGTTGTTGAAGTTTCTGGCCCGGCTTCTATGGCACAAAGTCTCAAGGCCGTCAAAGTGGACGGAGTCATCGACATTGTTGGCTATCTGGGTGGTTCCACGGGCGACCAGCCCGGGTTTTCGGATGCCTTCACGAACAGGTGCATTGTCCGGCCGATTGCCGTAGGATCGAGAACCTTGCTGGAAGATCTGTGCCGCGCCGTCGAGGCGAATCCCGAGAAGCTCAGACCAGTCATCGATTCCAGGGTCTTCCGGCTCGATCAGCTCAAGGAAGCATGTGAATATCAGTGGTCGGGACAGCACAAAGGGAAGGTTTGCATTGAGATTTCTTGAAGGGAGGAAGGCAGATACGGCACAATTCCTCGATATCTACTATAGAATACAATTTCGCATTCTGTTCAAGTCAAAATCTTAAGGTACAAGTAATTTCTGGCTAAATGGCTCGCATAAGATGGCGTCATGAGGCCCTAGGGGTCGGTCGTCCAACCCCGCGATATTTCCGCGACCCCTCCCCCTCTCACTTGCGCTCCCAGCTGCCCTCGACGTTTGCGGGCAGCAGGATGGGCTTCAGGTTGGTGAAGTTGGGAACATCGTCAAAGACGGGCTGTGACTCGGTTGCCGTCAAAACGTTGGCCGCGGCCTCAGGCTTCTCGAAGTTCAAGATGACGCCCCCGTAAAAGGGCGCGTCGGGGCCGTACTTGATGACCTGCCAGCTCTTGAGGCCGAGAGGCGTCCACTTCTCGTTCGCAATGGGCATGTGCTTGTTGACATAATAGTCCATGTCGAAGAACTCGCCCTCTTTGGGCTGGTTGTACAGGACGGTCAGGACGGACGCCATTTTGGATCAGGGACAAGCTGGTTCGGGATTCCTGCCGAGGGAATTAGCTCTGAGTAGCTGTACTCACGGTGCTTCCATGGTGTTTGCTCGTACTTTTGGAATCGAATTTTCGTAACGGACAATAGTTGCAGCTGCAAAAATCTCGAAGACGAACAATGGGAGATGACGAATATGTCTATAGATACAGATAACTATAGATAACTGTCGCAAGCTTCTGCGGCAATTGTGATGGTAAATTCAAGTTCAAGTTATCCCGACTGATGCGGATCCGCACTGGTCCTCGGCACACCGTAAAGCTACCACAACCAATCAGGTTGAATTGCTTCCCAGAGCCGTAGGTTTGCACGTTCTTTGCGGTGGCATAAAGAAAAGCCGATAGTTAGTGAGCTGCGTTTCCTGCAACGGAACAGCAAACACGCCCCAGCTGCTATTCGGCAAGAATTACTTCTAGACATCATTCATTTCTTACGTACCCTTTTCTGGGCTGTAATTATGCACCCCAAAAAGTGCTCAGTTGGATATCAGAGGCATTGTGTACAAACCCGCTGAAGTTCATCTCCTGCCACTATTCCCGGCCTACAGTGATTCTGCGCACCTAACAAACCCTTGTCGCAACCCACCACGAAAAAAAAAAATCCGAAGCAGGGTCAAAATTACTTTGCCAGGCAAAAATACTGGAATCGTCGGGCTTCACAGGTGGCGGGCCAAACGAGTTGGAAATGGTCGAGTAAAAAGCAAAAGTATAATGCCGTAACGAGGAATCGAACCTCGGTCTTCAGTGCTTCAATTATCCACAAACTGATATACTAACCACTATATTATTACGGCTTCTTGTGGTGTTTGAGGGCTTCTAATTTCATACTATAAGCCTATACACTAAGGGCTCCACTACAGCCTACATATTAGCCACAAGCCGTTACAAGCAAAGACGATGAAAGTGGGATGTGACAATCGTGGAATTATTCCAGAACAGATTGTTATATAAAGAATGTGTAACATTTCAGAGAGTAACCAGAGCGCTTACTTTGGCATTTGACCTAGCATTAATCCAGGCTGGACTTTCCGAACACTTATTCGCTGACATATCTACAGTGAATGGGAACAACTACTATGACTTTCGCCGACATCACTTCACAAGTGATCCGTCAAGAACGTTTCATGATTGCATCAAGTATTAGTGTCCAGAATATGAAGCATCACCGTCTCTCTATCGATCTTGTCTTGTCCTTTTCTTACTCAAAATTCATAAATCCCTCACGAATTTACCCGCTAATTGGTCAATAGTAGTGCGGCACCTGGCTCTACCCTGAGCTTCATCACCAGTTAGAGATTGCGTGACAGATTGTAATGGTATTTTGGCAGTGACTCAGGGATAAGCGCAAGAGTTTGCGTCTTTTGTCCTCCGAATGTGAACCACACCGTTTCCGTGCAAAATGTATCCGATAGTACATCTGCTGCCTCCGTTGACTGCCGACGCGGAGACAAACCCGCTTCACCTGCTCCTTTAGCATGGAACTTTCGCAAATGCTACACTTATTCTTGTGTATTTACCACTCCAGGTTCAACCCCTCAGAAGAGACCCGATGCCAAGGACAGGCAATAGGGGCTTATGGTTCAAGGGAGGTGATTCCGGACGGTTGGCGACGGATAGTCTTGACCAATAATTTAAGGTTATATGCTTATATCTTTATTCTCCGCTTAGCAAGGCCTATAAAGTTGGTCCGAATGCCACCTAGCTTTTCTGGGAATGACTTTCGGGGTCGTTTGTCGCTGCGGACTGTAGTTACCGAATCAGGAAGCTCACTTGGGCTTGTGTATCGTCATGCCGTGCTATTACTGGCCTTTCGTATCGTTTAAGGTAGCATGGGATCATTCGGCTGGTATGTGGCGCGAAGTTAAGGTTCGTTTGTCTGTCACTGACACCCAAGGATAAAATGCTCGAGAACTCCTGGTCTACCGGGCCAGACACTCCTTCAGGCTTCTCTACTTCATCCACAATACTAGCTCTACCGGACATCCATAATGGTGACTAAAACTGCCGTTGCTCTGCTCGCAGCGGCTTTCCAGCTCGCTTTTTCTGCACCTCTCACTGGCAGCGGCTCGGAGCTTCGCCTCGTCAAGACGTCGGAACATGACGCTGGACAGTGGGTGACTGAGCAAGAGAAATTCGACAAATTCACCTCCAAGAACATTGGTTTCATTGATATCACTGATATCAAAGACGAAGAAGTCCTATCCATTCTATCTAAGTCACCTTCTGATACATCTCTCGCCGCTCGTGCGGTTGTATACCCAACCAGTGTCGCACATGTAGCCGAAGCAAATGCACTCATCGCAAATGTATCTACAGCCGGTCCGCAATCTTGGCTGACGACATTCACTGGGTAAGTGATTGCAGACGCTCTCTCCCTCTTGTCGATAGTGCAAGTTCCTCACGGCGGATCAGGTTTACCACGCGCCATTACCGCTCGACTACTGGCACGCAGGCCTCGGCTTGGCTGTTCGACCAAGTCTCCAGCATTGCTGCCGCGAGGCCTGAAATCACTGTGCAGAGATTCACTCATACATGGAATCAGCCTTCGATCATTGCTCGGCTGCCCGGACGAACTTCTGATCTTAGTAGGCTCGCCATCACTATACATGAGAAAATGAGTTGCTAACACACGTGAAGTCATCGTCGGTGCTCACTTGGACTCAACCGCCGGCTCAACGACAGCCCGCAGTCCAGGCGCAGACGACAACGGCTCTGGGACTGTCACCATATTGGAGGCCCTCCGCGTTATTGCCCAGTCAGACTTTACCCCCAAGAACACTATTGAGTTTCATTGGTATGCCGGCGAGGAGGGAGGACTTCTCGGTTCCCAGGCAATCTTTGCCAACTACAAGTCCACTCAGAAGACTGTGCTTGCTATGCTTAATCAGGACATGACTGGCTTCTCGCCAAGCAACCAGTTGGCCGTCTATACCGACAACGTCGATGCGGCTCTGACCCAATATGTCAGAGTCATTGCTACTCAGTATACGGGTGCCGCGCCTCTTACCACTCGATGTGGCTACGGCTGCTCCGACCACGCAAGCGCTCGATCAAATGGCTTTCGTAAGTCTACCCGGGCTTTCGATCAATTATACGCGCAATAACTAATACAATACTATTAGCGTCTGCTTTTGTCAACGAAGATACTTTCGAGAGGTCCAATCCCAGCATCCATAGCGCTGCAGACGTAAGTTGAGCTGTCCAAATTTCATGGGCTTCCAGCTGACATGCATGTAGTCGCTCGAGAAGATTCAGTGGCCAGCAGTCCTCCGTCATGCCAAATTCACCGTGGGATTCATTGTCGAAGCCTCGTATCTCTGAAAGCTTTGCGTGGCTAGGGCCTCAGCCCGAAGTAAACAACGTGACACACAAGAGACAATGAAAGCGGAAGCGCATATGAGCTTCAAATAAGGATACAATTATCTATTAAACATTGCAGTCATAAAACCTTTAGTGTACGGTGACAGAGATATGCCACCAATCGACATGCAGGATGCCTCCCATACGGCACTATCCTCGTCCTCCCTTTGAACAGCCATGACCTGCCACTCTCCAAATAGCCGGTGTCCGGGACTTAGATCAAGAACAACGTGCCATATCCGGTGTCATTTCCTCTCTGTACATCAACTGTTTCGGGTGTTCCGTAGCTGTAGCCACTACTGGGATAAGGAGCGTCGTAAGTGGGATAAGGGAGCGACCTCCAGATATCCTGAATCCTCTTGGCCGCCTTCAAGAAGTTCTTGCGGATGCTGGGGTACTCGTCACTGACAAGCTTGCCATCTTTCTTGACGAACTTTCCGTCGACCAAGACGTGCAGCACATCACCGACGCTGGCGTGCATGATGACAGCGGCAACGGGGTCCTGCCATCCGAGCATAGAGGGGGAGTTCTCGGCATCCCAAACGACGACATCGGCTTTAGCGCCGGCCTTGATAACACCGAGATCGTTGCGGCGCAGAGCCAGGCCTCCAGATCGAGTGGCCAGAATGAATGCCTGGTTGACAGTCATGGGAGAGTAGGTCGGGACCTTCCAGTTGTCCAAGACCTGCTCGTAGTAGTGGAGTCTGACGGACTGCAGCCACAAGCGAGCCTGGGTGAGGATGTCGGCCGAGTAAGTGAAGTGAGTGTCGATGCCGAGAGCAGTCTGGTCCTGATAATCGTAGGAGTGAGGGTGACCGTGTCCGTACTGCATCTCCGATTCGGCTGTGATGGAGACGTACTGGTTAGTAGAGCGGAGGAGCGAAACGTCATCGGCGCTGATGAAGCTGGCGTGAGAGAAGACAATGGGGGTGGTTCCGTTGAGGATTCCGTACGGCTGGACGTCGGTAGGAAGATTGCTGATGCCCCAAGGGCCGGCCAGAGCGTGCGTCGTCATGACGGAAACATTATACTCCTTGACGAGATCTGCAATCGCCTGAGCCTCACCAGCGTCTGTGTTTGGCCCCCAGGAGTCATAGGCGATACCCAGCTCAGTGGGGGAATCTCGCAAAAGCTTCTCTTTGTTCCCGGCCATTTCTCGAAATAGGGGAAATTGCTCGGAAATCGTGTAGTTCAGAGATGTGATGTTGTGGAAGGCAAACGACCAAAAGACCCTGGCTCCACTGTCAACGGAGGCGTTCAAGCCTGCGTAAGAGGTGTCATTAGACCAGGTGTGTGAAGCGTGGTCGAGAAGAGTCGTCACTCCGCCATTCATGGCCTCGTAAAGACCGGCAAGCTGGCTGATGTAGACGTCCTCGGCCGTGAACTTGTCAGCTGCGAAAAACTCGCCATAGCGATTGAAGTACTCGGCTAGTGACGTGTTCGAGGCGATAGTCTTGTAGACCGTCTGCCATCCATGGCGATGGGTGTCGATGAATCCAGGGGTCACGATCTGGCCAGAGACATCGACGACTTCGGTTCCATTGGGCAGCTGGGACGGTCGGGGGTCCTTGTTGACAGAGACAATCCGATCATTGGTGATTAAGAGGGAACCATCTCGTATGACCTCAAGATAATTCGCCTCGTCGTCCCAAGCAATGATGGTGCCGCCGGAGAGAAGCGTCGAGGCTGCGCTGACGAAGACATCTGAGAGGCCCAGGGCTCCCAAGAGGAGAGGGGAGTGACGCATCGGGGCTGAAGTTTGGCGGCGTTCTTTCCAAAGCAGAGATATGAAGTGTTGGGGTTTCCCGGCTGTTGATGGGCGATAGATTGTCAATTCCTTGTGGAATTGTTGCCTGGAAGATCTTCTCTTTTCCCTCCTCGGGGCTTCACTCTCGTTGACTTATATAGCTGATCCCAACGCCGTCCGCTCTTGAGCCTTTCTCGCGAGAGTCCCCCGCGGCCCCAGTTAACAGACCTTGGCATCGTCATGTGCACCTGGAGGAAAGCGGAAATATCTCCATTCCGACGTCCATCCAGGCTTGTTGCCGTCTTCCATTGTCGCATCTGGAAAGCTTCCCCTTCTCCTCATCGCCCAAGGAGACTCGAAGCCCGGAGCTACCAAACCCGCAATCTGCAATTCGCAATCCGCAATACCCGCAAATGCAACCGGCTCTGCCTTACTGGCTACAGGCAGCATTAAAGCCTGAACACAAGATGGAGACCGGACCGGCGTATCATTCGTATGGACGCGTGGAACCATCCACTGCTCGCAAAGTGCGGGCCAAAAGTGCTTAGACGAGGAGAAGAGTGTAAAAAGCGTGACATTTCATTGGCATAGGAATTGGTGAAGCCTGTCATTGCGCCAGTGGATCAGCTGGAGCCCTTGACACACCAACCGTCAAGTCGAATAGGCGTTGGTTGGCAAGGGGTTGCAGACCTTTCGTCAAGTGCCGGGCGAGGACGGGGTTTTCTGCCAATTTCCTCCAACCCCCGGCCGAAGCGACCAACCCCCCGGGGCCCGATCGTCACCAGCATTTTCCGGCGTTGCGTTGCCCCACGAACTGGCCCTGATATAGTCTAGCCTTCTGGTCTGGGCAGAGCAAAGATGGCGCGAAAACTCTTGCGTGAGCGTTTGCTGTTGCTTCTGCAAGTCCGATCAACCCAGTCAAGGCCATAGTTCGTGAAGCGCACCTCGCTGACTTCGTCCGAAGTTATAGGGCTGAGCGTCTAAGGGCAGAGTCTCAAATACTAGGTATTACTAGTATGCTCAATGTCACGACGCTCGCACCACACCGAGTAGCAACCATGGCGACCCGGGCGGTGGCGCCCGGTTTTTCTCATCTATTTTACCTGATTTTCACCGCCACTTATCGGTTGCACAGCTGGGGGCCAGCGCCATCGGCGGGCAGCCAAGGTGGTATCCATGTGGGAAGCGTTCGTTGTGACGCAGATGTGAGTTGAGGTCGATCGGAGTTCGGCCGCGGCTGTCTCGCACGGTCTTGTTTCCGGGAGACTCGGGGCTTACCATCTTCTGCTTCCTTTTATTTATATCTCTATCGCATTTCGAGAGCTTCGTTTGGCATGAACCTTTGGCCAAGGATTTGCCAACATGTGATACTTATGTCACATCGTTACCCCAATTCTTTGTTTTCTTGGACACTGCGCGACACGTTGATTCTACCCATGAGAATCAGATGTCAATTGTCACAATGGAGCAGTGGTTTCCCATCATGCTGTTGGTCGAACACGCATGTGTGCAGTTGCATCGCCGGGCATGTATACGAGATTCGGTTACCTCTGGTATCCCGCCAGGGATGCTCGGGAGCTAACTCAGGGGCAACCACGGGCAGCTGAGCACAACCCTTTTTGAGAAACAAGTCCGCGATTCTGGATGCATGTGGAGAGATATGCGTAACATTGTTGGTTGCCGTTTCCTTTTCAGCGCATGGCCTTGGAGTGATCCAACGCGCCGTTGGTGACAACTCCGTTGATCGTGATGCTCGCAAGTTCCTTTCTGCCGTCGACAAGGATTGAAGATGCTCGGGCGGCATCCGCCCGAGCGGTGGAGGGCTAGCCGAGGCCGCCAAGCACCATACTCCGTAATTCGGAGTAACAACAGAATTGCTGTAGAATGTGAAAGCAAATTCGAAGTCTGGTATTCGCACGAAGTACAGACCAGTACAAATGAGTTGGTCTAGTATTGGATGAGCTACTAGTAGTCAGTCAATAAGGTACCCTAGCACAGTGAATACTATATCGTCCGCCTTGCAGCAATCCGAAGCGTGCATGTATACAGGCCAATGCACAATCTACAGAGAAGCCTGGCGGAGCGATCTGAAGCAACGAAATTCAACGAAGGTTTTGATGGCCATTGGGCACGACGGCACAGAAGGCGCTGAAAGGAGGCTGGACGGAGGTGGGTATCAGGCTATGCACTTCATGAATGATGGAGAATGATAGGTGCAGAATTGGGCACTGGAAGAAGCAGAGCTGATTGATGTAGGCTGAGAAAGGCTTGTTTTTATTTTTCCTTGCCCAGAGGTGCGGCCCTCCTTTATATAAGGTAGTTGTGAGCAAATTCAATTCCTCTCACCTGTCGCCCCTCCATTTTGAGTAATGAACCGCCAGCGCAGGGAATGACATGGATTGCTTGACGTGCCCATGGCGAATTTAGTAGGCTTGTCACGTTGCTGGCAAACTCTGTATTGACCGTTGGCAATTCAGCCGTCTTTCAAGTGAAAATCGACATCAGATTCCACATACATATGCACAACTCCACTCACGAGACTCAATTGCATAGACGGCAGTTGCAGGATTTTTAGCCCGTCGACATATCATTGGCCAATGCTTGTGATGCTGGTGAGTGACTAATGGCTGATGCAACAGCGGAAAGACCATCCCAGGCATTGTTGTGTTACCGATAGTCCTGGTGAGAGTCATCATGCCAAGTGTAGTAAGTTCTCTGTATATCAAACAATGGCTAAACGGTTAACAATACCTTTGAGGCAAGTGCACTCTTTGTCCATTAAGACTTGAATAGAATATGATGATAGTTCCTTCACTTTCTCTTACCTCCCTGTTCAATGATTACAATGAACGAGATAGTTGTCGACAAGGAGGTTCCGTTGTCACGCAGCCTTCTCACTCTTTCCAATCCCGGTCCTGAAAGCCACAACGGCAGTTATCGAGCTCCGACTGCTCTTTGTCGGCAGATTGCCTGTCTCGACAACCCACGAACCCTTCACCGGAACAACAAGCTACAATGCCAAGATTGGGTGCCGAAAGACCAAGGGCTTGCCATGTCTGTAATCTGTAAGAAACAGGGCGTATAGTCAGTATGGAGTAGCATGGTTGATCTGTGTAGAACTTTTGCCAGCCATGGGTCAATAGAGCAACTGTCGCTGAGGCGCAATAATGGCGAAGAGGCCAGCCAGCAGCATCAGGCGAGTGAAGAGACAGATACTCCGTTCTGAAGAGGGATATCGACAAAAGAAGAGGCTATAGAAATGTGTGCTTCTGCTTCTTTATACTTTGTGAAAACCTTCTCCAATAGTCACATGAGTGCATTCATGTATCAGACAACATCATGTCGTAATGCAATGGCGATTGGGGGGATTTCTTCTCAGCTGAGATATTCCATCCCTGGACTTTTTCGTAGCGTTGATCCCACGAAGGGCAGGGCATTCCATTCAGCTGGCACGAAACATGCGGCAGTGGAAGTGTGGCCAGTGACAGTAAATGGCAATGACATCGTTGGCTCTCAAGAGGGTGACATAAGCGAACAATGTGTCGTCGGATCTGCCTCTAAATCCATCGCGGCTTGGCTTCATCAATGTCAGCCAGTTGTCAACATGGCATAAGTGCAGATGCGACTGTGTCATTGGTGGAACCTGAGCAACTTTATCTAGTCAAGCTGCACGGCATCCCATCTGGAGCCAATCAAGACACAGCGGCGGAGCTGACGCTGCCATTACAAACATTGCTTGCATGGGTCAGGGACTAGTCATCATTACCAGCCTATCAGCTAATGGCCGTGGAAGCTCATGGCAAGCCGGGCGAGGGACGAGCCGGTTGATCCTGGTATGCAGCTGTCGTGTAAAAGCTTGTATGTGGAAAGTCTGGAATCTGGAAGGAATTGCTGACTGCAGAGATGAAGACTCAGTGGCATATGCAAGGTGAAAATTGCTTGCTGTGGATGGGGGCATCCGTATTGACAAATCGCCTGGTAATGATCAACAAGTACTGAGACCAGGGACCTGATGAGCCATATTCTCGAAAGTCTAGTCCACCAAGGGCCGGATATCATGGGCAATAAACGAAGTATATAGCTCGACTTGTATCCCTTCAGATCTGGTTCCCTTTTTCTTCAAGCCTCAGCTCAGCATCTCCAGTCACAATATTCTTAGACCATCAAGCCCGACTTAGAAACTACTCGCATCAACAACAACAGCAACAACAATATCAACAACAACCATGAAGTTCTTCTCAACCGCCGCCGTTGCCTTGGCATCGCTCTCTGCCACCGTCATGGCAAGCAGTGAGACATGACTGAATCCTGAGTGTCTTCTTCTGATACTGATATTTGTTCTTGCTCAGGATATCCTTATGAGAGACTTGACAAGGACAAGGCTGTAAGTCAAAGTTGTTCCCTTGGATTCAATCCAGCTAACATGGTAAAGGTCCTTCTCGTTGTCGACCTGCAAGTCGGCCTGTACAATGCTGTCCGCGACTTTGATCCGGTCACCTACAAGGAGAGCATCATTGCGCACGCCGCCATCGGAAAGCTGTTCGATCTCCCCGTCATCTTGACCACTTCTGCCGAGCAGGGTATGCAAACATCACCGTGGCGCAAAGTATTACCAAGAGACTAACCCTATGACTAGGCCCGAACGGCCCTCTGCCCAAGGAGATTACTGAGATGTACCCCAACTCCACCTTCATCAAGCGTCAGGGTGAAGTTGATGCCTGGGACAACCCCGACTTCCAGGCCGCCGTCAAGGCCACCAACAAGACCCAAATTATCATGGCCGGCATCGTCACGGATGTGTGCACCACTCACCTTGCCCTGTCTCTCCGAGATGCGGGTTACTCCGTCTGGGCGAATGCCGAAGCCTCCGGCACCTCGTCCACCTTTGTCCGCGAAATCGCCAACGACCGCATGAGGCACGCCGGTGTCCAGATTGTTAGCCTCTTCTCCATTGTCTGCGATCTGATGAGGGACTGGCGAAACGTGCCCGGTGCCGCTGAGGTGCTTCCCTACCTTGACCAGTACTTCCCTGTCTATGGCATGGTTGCTCGCGCTCACGCAGCTGCCAAGACCGACGGTGTTATCCAGCCTGGCGAGGCTGGCCTCATCTAAGCTTCAGGCAGGCTTTTATGACTTATGAGTTGTCCGCAGGGGAGAGAGAGAGGGGGGGTTTGGGGAGAGGGGAAGAAGGATCGATATAGATGACGGGCATAGTATGTATTTAGGCCTTGGCGTGGGTTTTCCCATTTGGGTTTATCCATACCTTCATGCAAATGCGAGGGCTAATTGAAGTTCTGTTCTCCATATATGAAGACTATGTCAATCAGTGATCAATCTGTCAGTGAAAACTGACCTCTGTTAACTGGCCTGCGAGCTTCTTATCTGGTTATGAGGATATGGATATCGCAGACTAGTGGGCTTTTCGTACCTTGAGCAGGCATCCAAGCCATCTACTTTTGACATAAAAGGGTCACATTGCTAAGATATATGGTACAGGACGTAAGGGCTTGCGTGTCCTGAGGCGCCCGTGTTACGCCCCATGGCGGGAGCAGCTTCATGTGCATGTGCAGGTCAAGTATAGGCGCCACTGGAAAGCATTGCCGTGTAGACATACTGGAGCTCATCAATTCATACTACATCAGCAGCCAGCTAATACTATTTACATGACTGTTCTCCAGCCATCCCCTCATGACCGCCTGGGCAATGTGCTAATCTTCGTCGCCGTACCAGTCAAAGTGAAGTTGTACGTCAGCGGCCCATTGACATCCAGTGTAAGGCTATAATCACCGGGGTAGATCCAGCGGTCACCGTTGGTATCTGCACGAGCCAGTGATGCAAGGTTCACGGTCAGTGTCAGCTGCTGAGTTGCTCCAACGCCGACGTTCTTCGCACGACCATACGCGGCCAGCTGCTTGTTAGGGTGAGGCGCAGGGCCGGCGTTTGTAGACTTGAGGAAGAGAAGGCCGACGTAATCGGAGGCCAGGTTGGCTTTACCACCAGTGTTCTGGACGTTGACGACAATGGTTGCGAAAGTTGCTTGGTCTACGTTGGATCCGGCGTTGTTGACGAGAGTGGCGACGTCGCTGCCAGCATTCTTGGTGGACTGGAATGACAGGGAGAAGTTGGTGTAGTGCAGTCCGTAGCCGAACGGGAGAACAGGAGTGCCAGTGTACCACGCGTAAGTCCGTCCAGGGATGCCGTTGCTTGGTCGCAGGTTCATGTCTTGGATGTTGTTGTTGTTAACGTAGTCTGCAGGGTATTGAGTGATGGGAAGTCGGCCAGCGGGCGGGTTGGCTCCAGTGAGGACATCGAAAATGGCATTGCCACCATCTTGACCGGGGTATCCAGCCCACAGGATGGAGTTGACCTTGGAGTTGCTCAGCAAGGCACTGTCATCAATCTGACCGCCACCGAATTGCACAATCACGAGGGGCTTGCCGAGATTGGCCAGCTGAGAGATGAGGTCGAGCTGGTTCCCGGGCCAAGTGATCGAGCTTCGATCAAAGCCTTCGTTCTCAACAGAAATGTCAATTCCTCCGAGGTAAAGAATGACATCGGACGAGCTGGCTGCGGAGAGGGCAGCGTTGAAGCCGCTAGTGTCTTGCGAGTTGATGGCAGTGCCCTGAGCGTACTTGACATTACTCCACTTCTGCTGGAATACGTTCAGAGGATTCACCAAGAGCGGTGCTGTGCCGGCATAGTTGCCCTGCATCTGGGTGGTGACATTGGCCCAAGGTCCAATAATGGCGACGTTGGAGAGGGTTCGAGAAAGAGGAAGAGTGCCATCGTTCTTGAGGAGAGTCATTCCTTCAGTGGCGGCATCGTGCGCAAGAGCCTGGCTCTGCGTCGTGTTGACGTTGCCCCAGCCCAGAGAGCTGTACTCGGCTGGCTGATCAAAGTATCCGACCTTGATCAGTGCAGAATACAGGCGAACCAGTGATTTATCGAGAGTGTCCTCAGTCGTCAAGCCAGCCTCGACAGACGCGTTCAAGACGTTGTAAGAGCTGCCGCAGTCGAGGTCAGTGCCGGCGTTGATGGACATGGCGGCGGCTTGAGTCAGGTTGGCGGCGTAGTGGTGAGGGTCATAGACGTTCTCGACAGCATCGCAGTCGGAGACAACGTAGTTGAAGTCCTCAGTGAAGCCGTATGTGTCGCGCAGCACGTCTTGCAGAAGATAGCTGTCTGCACAGGCTGGGACGCCATCGACCGCGTTGTAAGCGCACATGATGGACCCGACCTTTGCGTCGCGAACGCAAGTCTCGAACATGGGGAGATAGTAATCTGCCATATCCTGCTGGGTAGGTGACAGGTTGTTCGCGGTGCGGCCATTCTCGATATCGTAGGCAGCAAAGTGCTTGCAAGTTGCAATAATTCGGAAGAAGTCGGGGTCAATGCCGCCCTGGAGACCGTCGATCAGAGCCAGAACATAGCCCTGGATACGGAAAGCATCCTCTCCAGGAGTCTCCATCCCTCGGCCCCATCGCGGGTCTCGGAACGGGTTGATGTTTGGTGTCCAGAAGTCCAGTCCTGCAAAGCCGTAGTTGGCAAAGGCACGAGCCTCAGTGCTGATGGCGGTGGCCACGCTCTTGACGAGGGCATCGTCGAAAGCGGCTGACAGGAGGATGGGCATGGGGAAACTGGTCGCCGCGCTGAAGTTGGCTCCCAGAGGCGACTGGAACTGCACACCAGTGCTACCGGCAACGCCGTGCAGAGCTTCGTTTTGCCATTGGTAGGCTGGCAAACCCAGTCTTGCGCTGCCAGATGCGGAACTTCCTACGTTTGCGACCTTCTCATCGAGTGTCATGGGCTGCACGATGGCAGCAGCACGTTCAGCGATGCTCTTGGTGGTGTCACAGACATCGTTGCTGCACAGCGGATCGCGTGTGCAGTCCGGGAATGAAGGCGTCAGAGGGGGATTTGGTGATGGGTTAGAGATGGAGTAGATGTTGATCCTGAAAGCTTATTAATCTTTTATCTCTCATCAACTTCTCTTGTGGTTGGGTTTGGCTTACATGTTACCCCCGCCACATATCTTGCTGCCATCTGCAGGGCAGGGAGAAGAGCATTGGCCCTCATCGGCCTTGACGGAAGTGCTCTCGATGCGATGACCACAGAAGCATTGGCTTAAACAATTGGTGTTAGTCAAAAGTAAACCGCTCCAAAAAGCTTCAGAACCTCTTACACCGTGAACTCGACTCCGCTATACTGGTATCCAGCCGCGCCGCAGACGTTGGCACAGTACTGGGGAGAGTTCAGGTTTCCAACTGTCAACATCGGCCCTGCGAGATCACGAGGGGAGTTGGGGTCATGGTAGCATCCCTGATAAGTAATCTGGGCTTGATACGCAGGTAAACAGGTCCGAGCCTGGGCCAGGTGGAAAAGAGCCATGGAAAACATCCATGGTAGCAAACGTAGGCCAGCCATGGTCGGCTTGATGATGCTGCAAACGACACTCTACACGTATCAGAGCATCCGCCGGCTCACGGAGTTGATGATGAGATCTTTTTCCGCAAGTCTCCATCTTGATAAAGTCTTACCCGTGATATATATACGCGAACTCGTTTCCTTGTGCGTCCGCTCCGCTCATCACCGCCCGCTGCTCTCAGACTAAAGCCATCATCACACAATGGCTTCATGCTCTCATACCCAGTTTCTTGATCGAGCAAGCGTAATGACCCGACGGATATGACCAATACTGGTCCACGAACGACTATTTTTGACCTGCCGATCCTCGCCGTGAGCGGACGTGCCCGCGTACCGCATCTACCGATGCTACGCTGCTCCGGGATACTTGCGCGAGGGGGAGAAACAGGTCGTAAAAGCCATCGCCTTCCCCAGATTTTCCCGTCTCCTTAAAGGATAGATTGCCGGCGGCTCCTCGAGCGAAAGCCGCCACTGGCAAGGCGTTCCCCGCAAGGTTGGGCTGGATCTCGCACCTCTCCGCATTACCTGGTCGCGATGTGTCGACGGGAGGAGCGTCAAGGTTGCAGCCACTACGGGAGCATGGTTAGGCTTCTTGTTTGGACCGATCTTGTTAACGATTTAGCCTAAAGGGCAGAGGCAGAGCAACGTGATATTCGCAAGCTGGCGTTGTATTTGGATATGCCGGCTCCGGGTTCCCCCATGGTTGCCACTATGCATAGTCAATCCGGCACATCGCGCCCAGCAGACCTAGTTTCTCTGTTGCTTCTCCTCCCCTCCCTGTCAATATTCTCCGCGGTCGACCTTGTGTCTTGGCTGACGCGACTGACCGTCATCAGAGGCCGATGCGAGGCGATGGGGGTATGAAGCATGCATCTCCTCGCCACGGAAAACAGCAAGAAATCGACCGAGATTACTGCCGAGCCGAGATGATGCCGACGCAATTTTTCAAGAAGACGTGATTGATAGTACGAGTAGGTTTTGCATAGCAGAACCACGTTTCTCATCTCCCTGGATAGTCCACCATTCACGCGAGTCGTTTCGAGCTGTCAGTTGGGGAGCTCGAAAGTACAGTAAAGGGGCTAGGCGGGGAGCTTCTTGATCTGGCATAGTCGGTGCCTGGCTGTCAGACGCGGCTGGGATCTGCCCTACTCTGGTGGCTGACAACCAGCACCAGACCCAAGCAATCAGCATTTTAGCATCGGGTGATTGTGGATTTGCTCTATGCAAGTCGAGCTGGTTGGCGAAGTACAAGGTGCTGAAACATGTAGACGCCGTCTTTTCCGCTCCGCGGCCAAAGAGCCGCTCGAGAAGCCGATGGAACGGAGTCTTCAGGAGTCAGTAAAAGTCCGTACCAAGTTATCCGAATAGGAGCAACTCAATGGTAACATAAAGACAAGCAAGAGGGCGCTAGGACCTGATCTGTTGAGATCTTCATTACTGCAACCGGCGCCCCAGCTGTTCGCCAATTGAACCGCAGATCTCGAGACTATCTTCTTGCCTAAGACTCATAGCAGCTGTCCTATCAAAGCCCCATCATGAAGGGCATTCTCAAGAACAGCCTGCTCACCGCGGCTGCTCTGCCGGCCTTGGCCTCGGCCGCCTGTATCTCCTCGGGTGATCAGAATACGATCAACAATGCGCTGCAGTCTGGAGGAAACGGCGCTGTTGTCCAGCTCTGCGCCAACGCCGTGATCCAGATCTCAGAGCAGATTAGCTTCACTGCTGACAACCAGGAGATCTCTACCGAGGGCTATCCCACGGGTAGCACGAGAGGTACCATCCAGGTTGCTCCGGGCAGCTCTGCCAGCACCCTGATCTACGGCAAGAACTTCAACAACATCCGCATCAAGAACATCCAGCTTGACGGCAACAGGCCCGGCGCTGGTCTCTTCCCTGGCGGCGCCGCCAACATTGAGATTGGCGGCTTCACCACTGGCCAGACCGTCTCCAATGTGGCTTCCAAGAACCCTCGTGGTTGGAGCTGTCTCCATGCCATTGGCTCTGGAGATGACAACAACCCGTGCAAGAACGTGACCATCATCAACAATGATATTGGCCCTTGCGGTCAGTCTGGCAAGGATGCCAGCGGAAACGCCCAATGGGCGGATGGTGTCTCTCTTGACTGCACCAACTCTCTTGTCCAGGGCAACACTGTAAGTGACCAAGTAGCGGCATGAGAATTCTGAAGAGCTAATATGTTGTCGATAGATCAATGGCCCTACCGACGGTGGTATCGTTATTTTCGGTTCTCCTGGAAGTACAGTCACCGGCAACACCATCATCTCCTCGCCTGACTACGTGGGCTTCGGCGCCATCAACATGGTCGACGCCGAGTATGGTGGTAGCTACGCTGGTGTCACTGTCACCAACAACACCATCCAGGGCCAGAAGCTCTTCAACCTGGGTATCGGAATTGGCGCCTACACCTGGTCTTTCAACGATCCTTCTCCCCTCAAGGGCCCCGCCACTGTCACTGGCAACACCATCACTGGCCATGTCAGCTTCCCCATTGCCATCAACGGATGGACCAACGGTATTACGGTACGACTCGTCTAAGATGCGATTCTCCAATGTCAAGCGACACTAACATGTTCTCACAGATTACCGGCAACACCGTCTCGGGCGTCACCAATCCCAAGTCTAGCTTTGCCGATGCCTCTCACTGCAACTCCGCAATCCAGAGCGTCTTCAACCAGAATGCAAACCTCATCTACTACCCCGCTGGCGTAACCGGACCGCAGACCCTCCAGTCTGGCTTCGTCGCTGCCCCCGGCAATGCGACCAACTTCCTGTGTTCGAGCCTGCCGCTGCCGAACTCGCAAACGTTCAACGCTGGTTCACTGACTCTTGCCCCCGACACTGGCCCATTTGCTGATCTGCACAATGTCATTGCTCAGTACCAGGGAGACAACAACCTCGTCGTCCTTCAGAATGGAAATCCTGTTTGGGCATCGGGTCACACCTTGAGCCAGGGATGCAATGGCGGCTGCCAGCTGAGATTTGATTCATCAGGAAACCTGGGCACTTACTTCAACGGCGCTCTTCAGTGGAGCACCAACACCGGGGGCCGAGGCAAGACCATGGTCGTCATCAACACGGCGCCTTGGATCCAGATCAAGGACGGCTCCGGCGCTGTCATCTGGGACACAACCAAGAGCACCTAGGCACAACCACCTGAGAACGCTCGCTTCTGTATATAGCATGACAAAAGATATAGGACGAATGTATATATCGGAAATCATCGATTAGATGCTTCCGCTGTTAAGCCTATCAAGAATCTCAAGTTAAAAATGCCTCCTAGGTGTGACGAGTTATTCTACAAGCTTCGTCCATACACGGTACCCATGCATACTACAGTGTGCTGTATTGGCATACTGACAGGCAACAATTCATTCAACCTACGGTTAGGGTACAGTAGGGATGTGGTAGAGTTGTTGAACAAGGGTGTCTGGTATGGCTGGCTAAACAAACGACAAACAAAAAAAATCCTCTTTCTTGCCAACTGGGCATAATAATAATACGCAATACAGCCTATTCTGATGTTGCTGGCTCTTTTTAGTCTCTTCACGAGGCTCACGTACGACTTATTGGTTATCAGTGAACTGAGATACAGCAAATGGTTACAAGCAGGCCCCAAATGGCAATTTCCCAAAAGCACCAGTTTGGTTCGTACTCGTATTTATTCGACACCTGGCCAACGGTTCAAGCCACTCAGCCCTAGGAGTTGAATCCGCGGAGGAGCTATTAGTGCTGAGACAGCCGTAAAAGTCTCGCAATAGCGGTCTAGCAGGCTTTTATTACAAGTATCGGCGAGGCGCCACAGCTTCTAAACTCGTTTCACCTTGACTCAATCCCCTTGGCTCTTGGGGTCCTTTTCGCTATTGTTGAGGATAGGTATGGCGACTGATTCGGTTAGAGATGCCTTCGCGTCATCCGGAGGCCACGACGCGTCAACTCCAGCCTCAGTCTATCTCCTCTCCCTAGTTGCTCTTCTTATCGCGTCGGCCTTTACATACTCACGCCTACAAAAAAGCAAGCGAGAAGTGGAGGTTGACTTTCCTCCGTGGGTTCCGCTCGAGGTCGGCATAAGCAGCGCATTGATTCAAGCCGGCGGTACTGCTTCATGGCTTTTGTTCGTATTCTGTCTGGATATCAACCCTAGGACTGTTATACTGACGATAGCATACATAGCTCGTTCATCTGGAGGAAGAAAGGGTCTCTATTTGGGCTCACTTCCCGCCATCGAATCTTGCACAACCTCGAGAATATCGATCGCGTCTTTACCAAGTCGCCGCACATCCTTAGTGCAGATGTTCTGGGACTGCGCTTGGGCATTCGCGTCTTTGGCGCGCGACTGACGAAGGAGACCGGCGACAAGTTCCTGATCATCAACAGAAAGCTGACGCAGATAATTGAGCGATATTTCGTAAACGATGCTTCCGCAACCGCCTCCATCCAGAGCGCCGATGTTCCTGGAAAAGTGGCTCGATTGCTAAGCTTTTCGTCCGATGCTCAGAAGCAACACCAATGGGAGCGCTCAGCAGCTATCAAAGTGCTGTCGACTAATTCCGATGGACATTCGGGAGCTGTTGAAGCGGATCTCGAGTTGCTTATGAGAGACTTTGGCGCATGCGTCTCCATCCCGCGCCTCTATGGACAGGACTTCTTGGATCGCAATCCGCATCTTCTCGAAGACTTTTGGAAATTCGACAACAACGCGTTCCCGCTGCTCATCATTGGTGTGCCGACTTGGGCTCCGATCAAGTCCTTTCGAGAGGCACTCGCAGCTCGCACTCGTCTTCATGATGCACTCGAAGGGTTCTACATCCGTCTCAACCAGTACAAGAGCGGCCAGAAAGTGGACTTCGACGCCGATATGAGCGATGTCAGCGTTGCTGCAATGGAACGAAACAATTGTCTCGAAGAGCATGGCCTGTCTGTTCGTGCGCGAGCAGAGCTTGAGCTGGGCACCTTCTGGGGGCTTAACGCCAACATGCAGCCGATGGTCTTTTGGCTTCTGCTCTACGCCTACTCAACTCCTGGACTGGTAGACGAACTGCGAAAAGAAGTCAGCTCTTGTATAACGGTGGATACGGCAACTTATCCGCCGCAAATTACTGCCTTTGACTTCTCACGCCTGAGCCACGAGTGTCCGCTCTTGAAGTCTTCCCTCTTCGAGACTTTTCGGCTGGTCGAGGACCCGACTTCGCTTCGTTACGTGTCAAAGCCCATGACCGTAGCTGATGGTACTCTTGAGCATCACTTCAAACCGGGAACCTGGCTCTCAGCACCTCACGCCCTTCTACAATCCGACCCTTCGATTTTTCCAGAGCCTGAAAAGTTTATCCCAGACAGATTCATAGAAACAGACAAAGAAACGGGCCATCGAGTCGCCCGATATGGAAGACTTAAGCCATGGGGCTCCGGGTCAGCGGTATGCAAAGGCCGTACTTTTGCCGAGAAGGAAGTCATGGGCATCGTTGCTTGCTTCATCACCCTGTGGGATATGGAAAACGCTGAAGGCTCATGGAAGCTGCCTGGTATGATTCCGGGAACTGGAGTAAAGCGGCCGCAGAAACCGATTCGAGTCCTCCTGAAGCACCGGACTCTCGAGTGAAAAGTTATAATATGATAGTCTAAAAACATGATACTAAGGTATACATTGATAATTGTAATCGGGGCAAAGGTCCAGCCATATATATACTCAACAGATATGGCAGACGCCACCCATAGCCGCAAGGTACCATGTGTTGGGTGACCCATGCTGCTCCATGCATCGGCAAGATAAGGTAGACTGCCCTGCCACTGGAGCAACCGTCCATGTCCAAGAATGTCCGAATGTCCTCTCATTCATGCGGCCAGGGTCGACTTCGACAGATAAAGCTACCAACAGCAACTCGCCAGTGCCATCTCTTGGCCTCAGCGCCCCTGACTAGACCTGCAATACATGGCACCTTTAAATCTTCAATACCACTCCCCGGCTGCACAAGGCCATGCAGTCCCCCTGGAGCTCGGTAGCATATCCGCTCATGATAAGCACAAGTCAACCAGTCAGACTGATGAGGTCGGGACCCGATGGTTGTGGAAGATGACATGTAAAATGATAGCGACCTCGCAGCCTTGAGCTCAAAGCAACCATCTACAGGGAAAAAACGAGAGAGCAAAGCCAGGAACTCCGTGGCCGCCGTTGTTCAGAAAGAAAGACTACGAATGGTAAACGCCGCAGTCTAATATTTATACAGTCGCTAACAGACTTGCCAGCGAGCACAAAGGGCCTACAAGAGACGGGCCGAGACGATAGGCCTTTGCCGTGTCCAGGTTGAGCCCTGCCTCATGCGTGGAGCCTAACAAGCATTGGCGGTTGATTGATGGACTCCAAAGTTGGCTTCCGGCTTCCGCTGGGGCATACAGTGCATGATCCACCCCCAGCTGGTACGGGGCTTTGCGCAATGCGCACATTTGTCTCAGCACCAGCTACCCTATTTCTTCAAGATATCATGAGATCGAAGGGTTTGTTATTCAATGAAAACGAGTTATCTTTCTACAAAGGGGATAGATACTGGCGGAATAGTAGTTTCTCCAAATGCTCACGCAAAGACTGCCTTACTAGGAATTTGGCGTGAGAGAGTCATATGTGAAGTCTGAATTGTATATGATGTACACCCATGGTTTGGATATACCTCCAACAATGCGTCAAGGCAACATGACATGGCCCTGGAATAAAGCGACAAGAGCGTGATAGGGCTTTCCTACCATAACATGTGATGTTGTTATGATGTAGTATGTAACTCTTATTGCTAAGCTTCATGTGCCAATGGAGATCTTGAATCATTTCCGACTTTACTAGACATATGGCGATGCTACCTCGCAAACCAAATCTGCTTCCCCAAGCCCACCACGGCCAGCTACTGTGTGACCCTGCAATGCCGACATAATTCCGCATCAAATATCCAAGCGGAAGGACTGATCTCAAAATAGACACGTGGGATTTAGGGAGTTACCAAGCATGTTGAAGGCTTCTCCAAGTAGACTCGCGTCTCTGGCGCACACTCACGAGTGTGCCGTGTACTCGTCACGTCTTTCTCAATCCTGCACGACATGGATCATCAAAGCAGGTCCGCCTAGCGTCTCGGAGGCAAAAAGTGGCTGCCAATCCCTGCGCATCATCATGGGTCTAGGCACGGCCCGCTCATGGACCAATAGACGAGCCTTGACAGCTACATTTTTGGATCGAAGTCCGGCATACTCAATTGCCCTATGGCCCGATGCCCGAGCGAGGGGGTTTGCACAGCCGTCTAGTGTCTTACATTTATAAAAGAATCAAGGTCCGTTGAACGGATAATCGGAACGGGTTTGCCATGTCGTGTCCATGGGTTGAACAAGACGCTCCACCAGCTTCAAGGAGGACAGACGTCACGATGTGACATGATGGGCTCTGAACGAAGCAAATTCACGGATGTTTCGGCTCGACGAAGACCAATCTCATCTTTGGATCTTTCCAATTCGAGGCATCGTTCTCGGGAAAATGACAGGTCGATGGTTGTACGGGATGGAGAAGGCCTTCGATCTTTCACCGCATGGAGAGATCTCACAGTGCGGCATCAAAGACAGAGTCGAGATGTGTGTATTGACACGCGTTGCTGATACATGTCACAGTGGACTTACAACCAGAAACCCAAATCTCAACACAAGACTTACTCCTCTAGGCCATCCAGACGATGCCAACCACGGATGAGAACCACAGAGCACTCGCCCGAGCATACCTGAACACAGCCTCTGACGAGATTGCCATATTGCAGGGATTGCATCGTACGTATGGAGAATCTCATCGGTGCCTGGGAGTGGATCGCGAGCAGCACTTGGCTACATGGAGTCTGACGTGACACGACTATCCCATACCGTGCGACACAATATCGATTTATGCCGTCCTCGACATTTTACCGAGACTATTTTGTCTCCATCGGTGTTGCTCGGGGAGTCGGAGAGTCCATTCCTACAGACGAGACTGATGGAGTCAATGGATGAGAAGCACGGATCGCGAGCCTCGGGCCTAGAATTGGGATGATGTTGATGATGGCGACTGATATAAAGATGCCAGGAAACTGCTGTTCCAATCAGTTCATCACTCGCTCCTCAGCCTCCGCATCAAAGGCATCCAGCAGACACTTGGAGAGACCAGAACAACTGTCGAGAAAACGAACTTTGCCAAAATGCATCCCAAGCTTTCTTCTGCCGTTGCGGGCCTTTTGCCTGCAATGCTAGCTTTGGCAGCTCCAGCTCCTCAGTATGACAAGATTCTTTTTCACGATTCTCTCATCAAAGAGAAAGTTGCCACTAACAAACTATACAGGATTCAATCTATCGGGGAGAACACTGGACCTGTTGCGGGTGTCACTCCTCCGGTTCCTACCGTGACTGCCCCCGTCGGAAACCTTTACGGAAGCACCGGACTTCAGGGTGGCGTTGCTCCCATTCCTGACACCAGCAAGGGAAGTGCCGTGGTGAAGGACTTCAAGGAGGTGAACGGCCAGGATGCAGATGCCAGCCTTGGTGTGTATCTCGACTTTGACAGCGTCGATGAGCCGCAGCCCATTCGCGGTGAATTCGGTGGCACTGATGCCGGCCCTCGCACCTTCGAGTACGAGAAGTTGAACCCGGATCTGTTTGCAGCTCCCGGCACAGATTCTGGTGCCGTTCCCAACGCGGTCTGGCCCCTCGGCCTGTCCCACAACCGGCCTGGTGCCTCTGGCAGGGCTGGCTGGGCCCGTCAGCAGAACACTGCTGTGCTTCCCAACGCAAAGGCCATGGCTGGTGTCGACATGAAGCTCGAGCCCAACGCCTACCGTGAGCTTCACTGGCACACTGCCGGCGAATGGGCCTTGATGCTCAAGGGCTGCGTCCGAGTTGCGGCTATTAACGACGAGTCCCAGAACTTCGTCGACGATCTTTGCGAGGGTGATGTTTGGTTCTTCCCCGCTGGTGTCCCTCACTCTATCCAGGCATTCGAGAACGGTGCCGAGTTCTTGCTTGTCTTCGACCAGGGCGACTTTGACGAGAACGGAACTTTCCTCATTACTGAAATGTTTGCTCGCACCCCTCGCTCCGTCCTGTCCAAGAACTTCCGCGCCCCTGTCGACACCTTCAAGAACTTGCCCAGCAACCAGCTCTACATCTTCAACGGAACTCCCCAGCCCAAGGACATTAGCAAGCAGAACACAACCGCCCCTGGAGGCTTCCTCAGCGGCCCCAACGGCTACACATACCACTGGTCTCAGCAGAAGGCGTACGAGGTACCTGGTGGCTCCGTCAAGATCCTGGATCCCACGACCTTCCCCATCGCCGCCAAATTCTCCGCTGCTCTTGTCACTATTCAGCCAGGCGCCATGCGAGAACTCCACTGGCACACGACCTCAGACGAGTGGGACTACTTCCTCCAGGGCTCTGGACGCGCTACACTCTACGCTGCCCCGAGCGCTGCCAACACCTTCGACTTTACTGCTGGTGACGTTGGCTACATCCCTCAGGCTGATGCCCACTACATCGAGAACACTGGCACTGAGGACCTCATCTTCCTGGAGGTCCTGCAGGCTACCAAGTTCTCTGACATCTCTGTTGCTCAGTGGCTTGCTTTGACGCCCGAGCAGACTGTCATTGACCACTTGAACATCTCTGCTGAAGTCCTTGAGGCTCTCCCCAAGGAGAAGACCATCATCAAGACTGGCAACACCAACCTCACAGAGATTATCGAGACCGGCAAGGCGTACTAAGCCTGTCCCTGGAGATTTTGTCGAAGCAAGGGTGATGGGGCTTAAAGGATTGGTGATTTGTATCATTCACTGTTTTATTACTAGTTGCTGTAGTTTAGGAAGCAGTACGAAGTAGCATGATATTCAATGTCATTTCCATTTGTGAGCGGAACAGTCCTCGTGATGAGTTACCCTGAAGTAAGAATACAACAAAACCTCAACAATTCTGGTCAATTTCGGAGGAAGCAACATGAAGTAGCCATGTCGATGCATCAGCTTTTAATTCGACACCACATTAAAGCCCGACATATCGTCCAGTGCTTCGCGAATCAATATCGCGTACTTCGGAATTCCGCCTGGGAAACAAACCGGCTCATATACCTTGCCAGGGATACTTCCACCCATATACGTCGATCTGCACGTCGGGAACAGCATCTGGTTGTTGATATCGACCACCTTCTTCTTCCAAGCGACAGCTGACTCAAGCTTCGGGTTGATGTACTTGATATTGTGCTTCTGCATCTTCTGGATGCAGTCAGCGATCCATCTGCCCTGCACCTCAACGGTAGTCGGGCCATTGCTAAGAAGCGTGGGGGCCTGAGGGCCGTATATATGGAACATGTTGGGATATCCGCTGACGGTGAGTCCAAGGTATGTCAGGGCGCCAGTGACCCATTCTTCTTCGAGTTTGGTATTGGAAACACTCTCGAGTCCTAATTGTGTCATGACTGGAATGTGTTAGTACGGTTGAAGTTCATTGCCTAAAACAACGGGGAAGATCTGGTTTGACTGGGATCAGTACCTCCAGTGACGATATCCTGCGAAAACTGTTAGTGATGTGTTGCTAGATATATTCGAAAGCATCTTTGAGGTGACCACTTACAAAGCCTGTTGCTACCGCGATGACATCAAAGTCATAGTGCGTGCCATCTTCGAGGAGGATGCCCGTCTCGTCAATGTCCTTGATGGCATTGTTCTTGATGTCCACGATATCCACATTTGGCCTGTTGAATTGCTCATAGTAATTGTACTCGAGACAGGGCCGCTTGATTCCAAAATAATGAGGCATATCAAGCGGAGCAAGCAAATCGCGCTTCCTGGCGTCTTGGATCCGAGCGCGAGTCTTCTTTGCCCAGAACTTGTACGACTCCTTGTTCGCCTCAGCGCTGTAGAGATTGTCTTTGTATAGGGCGACCCAGTATCGGAATCCGCCATCCTTCCAGATGCTTTCGTAGAACCTTTCGCGCTCCTCAGGGCCAACGTCAAATGTGTTCTTCTCGTCCCAGTCATAGAGGAAACCTGCAAAATTTGCCTCACGGTATCTGAACAACTCTGGATAATGCTTCTTGGCTTTTTCTTGTTCCTCAACGGTGAGATCTTTTCTGCGCATTGGAACGGCGAGGTTGGGGGTGCGTTGGAACACCTTCACCTCTCCAGCCTCGGGACCCCATGCCTGGACGATTTGGACACCGGATGCTCCTGTCCCAATAACGGCGCACTTCTTGCCACGGACATCAATCTTTTCGTCTGGCCAGAACGAGGAGTGATGGATGATCCCTTTGAACTTGGTCATTCCAGGCCAGTTGGGGATATATCTCTTGGCAGCCTTCACAGCTATTAGCATGAGAGCAAAGACTTGAAAGGGGCGAGTAGCCACAAATTGGAAAGTTACTTACGAAGCCAGTCCCCAGAACAAGATACTTGGCCTTGGTTGTGCGACCATCCTCGGTGCGGATGTTCCACTTGCCCTCGTCCTGGTCAAAGTGAGCTCCAACAACGACCGTGTTGAAAGAACAGTCCTTCTTCACTCCAACTATCTTGTCGACGTGATCAAAGTAGTCACGCAGGTTCTGATAGTTAGGATAGTTGTTCGGCCAGTTCCAAGTCTTCCACACTTCGGGCCAGGAGAACTCGTACTCAGGCACCTCAGAGTCGACACCGGCACCTGGATAGCAGTTCCAGCGCCACGTACCGCCAGTATCGTTTCCAGCTTCGAAGATGTACGCCTTCAGACCGCGATCTCGGAGAGTCTTCAGCATGAATATGCCGGCTATATGATACGGAAGAGTTGTCAGTAGCTGCATGAGATGGTCGTTTGCAAGTAATCGGTTCATCGTACCAAAACCTGCTCCAACAATGACGGCGTCAATGTCGAGGTTCTCCGCATAGGGGCCAGTATGTTCTTCATGTTGCACAGAATAGTCTGTCAAATCAGTGTTGAACTTTTTCGTTCCCGAAGCAAAGTTTTCACCCATGTTGGCTGGAATATAGAGTATAGGCTACAGTCAAGGCAGTAAATGTAGAGATGTTTTCTGGTGAGGAAGACGGGGGAAAAAAATCTTCTTTTGAATGTACGAAGGCCTCGAATTTAAAGCCACGGCTTATCCTGTGTTCTCGTCATCACCGCACAGTAATGAAGCGATATCGACTTGCCATCCGCAATACCTCCTACCACCTCAAGCAAGCTTGGACTACCTCAACGAGACAGTGGAGTAAATTCGCATTGCGGTCGCGACGACAGTCTCCCCGCAGCTGAAGATCTGTCTGGGGTCACATCTTGTGGCTGGTTGGAGAAGCCTCGCTGGCAGAACAGGATGAAAAGAGGGGGATCATGCATGCGGAACCGCACGCATATGCGGAAAGGAGTTGCGGACACGCAGCCGCACCGTATTTACCTGATCATGGGACCTTTGAAGGAGCTTGGCAGAGCTTCACGACTCCGAAATTACCTTGGCTCGCAGATCGGGACAAGCATGTCCGAGTATGACGGAGACACAAAAGGCGCACGCGTTCGTGATCTGGCATGCTAATTTCTCACGACACATAGCCTGTTCTTCAATACCTTGTTCAATTGTCAAAATGCCCTTCAACGCCGAGACCGTCTCCAACCTTCAAGAGTCAGTCAACAACGCCTGTGTTGATGCCAAAAACGATATTCCAGGTGTCGCAGTTGTAGTCGTCGGCAAGGATGGAAGCGAGTTGTTCACTCACTCAGCCGGTAAACGGGGCTTGGTCTCGAATGAGCCAATGACCCTCGAAACTATCTTTTGGATCGCATCATGCACCAAGATGCTCACTGGTTTTGCTTGCATGCAGCTCGTAGAGCAGGGAGTCTTGAAGCTTGATGATGGCGACCATCTTGAGGATATCCTTTCTGAGCTCAAGACTGTCAAGGTCTTGCGTGAGGACGGGACTCTTGAGGACAAGAAGAACAAAATCACGCTTCGAATGCTACTGAGCCATACCTCTGGATTCGGCTATACCTTTTCCCATGAACGTCTCAGGAACTGGTCGTTTCCAGCCGGGCTAGACGAGTTCTCTGGGCGGAGTGAAGATGTCCTCTCTACTCCGTTATTATTCCAACCAGGAACAGCTTGGGAATACGGTGTAAGTGCCAATTTATGCTTCTATTTACCTTTCCTGTTCTCCATTTATTCTTCTTTTTCGTTATATTGCCTGGCCTTTGTTTTGTCAAGTTTCCTAACATTTCCTGGGATAGACTGGCATTGATTGGGCTGGACTGGCCGTCGAACGAGTGAGTGGACTCAATCTTGATGCATATATGCAGAAGCACATCTTGCAGCCTCTAGGCATCAAAGATATGTCCATGTTCCCCACCAAGGATATGCGAAATAGGCTTGCCTATATGCACAGTCGAACCCCAGATGGTACAATCAGATCTCGAGACCATCTCCATAGACTGCCGCTGGTCATTGACCCAGACAACGAGTCCGAGGCTCGCCGAGTGTTTAACAGCGGCGGCGCGGGCATGTTTGCGAAGCCTCAAGAGTATTGCAGTAAGTCACGGGCATTCTTACCAGCTTCCCACTTGAGTAGCAAACAGTCTCTAAAGAAGTCAAATAGAGGTACTAGCAGTGCTATTGAACGATGGCACTTGCCCGCGGACAGGAACCAAGTTGCTACGCAAAGAGACAGTGGATGAGATGTTCCGTAACCAGGTCCCCCAGTTTCCGAATCTCGGTCGGCAAATATTCTTCGATGCCAAACCAGACCTGACCAACATTGTTTATGACTTCTATCCAGTGCCTGGGAATCCACCGCAGGGCTGGGGCCTGACCTTCATGAAGTCTAACGGCGGCAGCACCGGCAGATCCAAGGAAGTAGCTCACTGGGCCGGATTGGCAAACTGTTGGTGGTGGTGCGACCGTGAAAAGGGTGTGGCTGGGATATTGTGCACTCAGATCCTCCCATTTGCCGATGGCAAAGTGTTAGGATTGTGGGCTGACGTGGAGACGCAAGTATACGCAGCTCTGAAGTGAGAAATGCATCTCGATACGCTGTATTAGTTTGTCATGGTTTATAATATGGGAGGCGTCTCCCTTCAATGTACGGATACCCCGATTGCCCGAATAGCCTTCTACGCTGTGTGAAACTTGATTTGAAAACGGCTTTTGCAGGCTATAAAGACTGCGCCAGTTCCATGTTAGTTCTGAGTTTGACGAGGGTGGCTGACGACAACACGCGAGACCGACACTTTTGGGGAAGCGGAGAAGCGGGGGAACGGACTGGAGACAAGGGCGAAAATCCGGGGATGGGCAACTACCGCAAGGTAATTGGCCGAAGAGCACATTAGTGGCTTTGTGACATAGTCCAGGTCATATGAGCGTGAGTAGAGCTTGAAGTTAAAGGCTGAGCCTCTGTGGGAGGCGTCTAGGCTCTGCTTCCCACTTAGACAACTCCCAATACGACCGAAGATTCCCAGCTGGACATTCTGCTTCTCCGTGTTCATCGCTTTAACAACCAATTTTAACCAATAGCGACTACAATTGTCTGTTCTCATGAGACGACAGAATCATAGCTGTGACCAGTGTCGAAGGTCAAAGAGAGGATGCGATGCTCCGTCTTTGGGGGCAGGACAACGCAACTCGACTCGGGGGCAACTCAGTAAGTAATTACAGGACTATGCCCCACCCATGTTCTTCGAGGCATTATTCATCAAGTCTAACCTCTCTGAAAAGACATTGGAAATGGTTCCATCAAGTGCTCTTACTGCAACAAGACCAACAAGACATGCACATGGGAATGGGCAAAAGCTCAGACACGACAACGGTCCATCGCATATGGGTCCAAGTCACCCTCGAAAGAAATAGCAGGCAGGAGGCGTGAAAGGACGGATTCTTCGTTTGATTCTCCAGTGGCTCAACAACCGCTTCCTGCGGACAACGATGACGGCTATTTCTCTTCGTTGCCAGCCGACGGCTGGCGAGTTGACGATTCTTTCTACTTCCCTGGCAAAAGTGATTACGAATGGGGCGTCCCGGCACTACAGCCATCAATATTTGCAGACCCTTTCATCGACTGCCTAATTCCGAACGATGTCCCCTCCTTTCGGACTGAGGTATCGGAGGATCCAACCTCGACGCCTGAGCTTGCCGGTGACGCCACCGCTACAATTTCCTACAAAACAGAACCGCAATTATCTGACTATTTGCCTGGGACCGATTCGATTTCACCAGCTCAATATTGTTACCCCGTACAGGATGATGGACTAATGCCGTTGGCCAAGAGGCGGCGAACATCATCAAACGGAACTGGTTCGCAACGCACATCTCTATCCCTCTTTTCCGCCGACCACGAAATGATATCCAACACCAATAGCCAACTTATTTCAACAAACCTGCTTCAAATATACCACGATGTGCTCGAACACAACCTATCATGCTGGCTGACGGAAATAAACAACCCATTGACAGCCCAGTCGCGGCATGGAGATACAGAGAACCGTACGGGCCTAGTCAGGGAATGGGGGACTACGTGGTCTAATAGGATTTATACTCGAGCCATCCAGCTAGACCGCGAATCGATATCGGCAAATCTGGTGCGCCTGACGCCTGCGCAAGATGCCTCCGTCACTAATGCCCTGCACCTTGCCATCATGGCATTTGCCACGCAGTGGGCGCAGGGGAGCCGTCGGCAAAGAGAGCGATATCCCACGTGTTCCATCTCTTCGGGGGATGATTCGGATGGGTTGGCCGAGGAGTTTGATCGTAGCCTTCAGCATCAGATTTGGGCCCAGGCCAAAAGGGCTTTGCAGGATGTCGACGAGCTGGAGTCTTACCGGGTGGCATTGGCTGAGTTGATATTCGGATTAACGCAGAAGGCTTGGAGTCATGAAGCTGAAGACAGAGGTCCCGGAGGAGAAATGAAAGTCTACCCCCGTGGCATTGACTTGGAGACAGAAGTAAAAGCACGACTGGGAACTATCATTGCCAAGGAGGGACCCCCAATTTACATGGAGAGAGCTGCCCGCAAGGTTCAAACCCTACAGGCCCGATACAACGCAGGCAGGCGAGGCCTTGGATCTTCAATTCTGGAGAATGATGCAGTCACAGCCACCGGCAGCACCCAATTTTTCTCCAACAAGGAGAATAGGGAGACTGCAGGACTTCTGTACTGGTTCGCCGTCATGTTTGACACGGTATCATCGTCGATGAACGAACGGCCCGTCGTTGTGCCCGACGAAGACATCCCGCACTATGCCGACGAGGAGCTCCACGAAACAGCACCAGAAGATGACACTCCTTCGCGTGGGAGATGGGACGTGGAGTCGTTCGTCCACGATGACGTGGAAAACCCTGCCTATAAGCCTACATGGCCATGCCCGTACGAGGACGCCGCCAAAGCCGTCACCAAAGCGGCACCGGTCAAGGTTTTGCTATTTCGGCATTTGTCCTATCTTCAGGGCATACTTCGAAGAGGAGCTCGAGGGAAGAGAGTGGAGGACATTATTAGCTCCACACTTTCTCTCTATCGATACTGGAACAAGACATACGGATCATTCTTTCGAGAGTTGATGCTTGATATCGACTCTGTTCCAGAGCGAATACGAAGCTGGTTCTTTTGCATCTCGTGTCATTGGAATCTCGCTGCACTTATGATAGCCGACCTTGTTGCGTTTGTCGACGACAACAAACTTGGGATTGATAGCGAGGCGCGGGCACGTATCGCGGGCAGGATTACATGGAGGATACGAGATGCGAGCACTCAGGAGCTCTCCGAACTTGCGGCCATCTCAATCCCTTGTCAAGGGTTACAGGACGACTCAAACTTCCACCATGCAGTCAACGAAGGTACTATTTTGACGGAGCCTTGGACAATGATTCTCATCAGGGCATTCAGCATGGCATCTGCCATACTTCTTGGGGAGGCAGACGAAGCTCTCCGCCACGGCGCGGCACAGCTGGGATACACGGGCGGGCATTTCGAAGAAACGCTGGGAAAGGTCTTGAACTGTATCAAGGCCTTATGGCATCTTGGGAAAAAGTCGGACATGGCCAGGAAAGCGGCCGACTTCCTGTCTTTAACTACTGAGAGACTGCAGGCTGATTACGGAGCTGGACGACGGGGATAGGATGCTAATACGAATAATATCTATGTTTGTCTGAGAAATCATACGATGCATCAGCTGTAACCACTCTCCTTTGTTTCGTGGTGTTATCGAGTTTGACCTCATCACCTACTTATCGCAATATGTAATCCATGTACTCGAACTTCCTGACAATTACCAATCCAGCATCGGGGCGCTCCTCGCGTCGCGTTCAATCAGTATGTGTGATATAACAGGGTCCGAGCAGCCTTTCCATCTCTTCGGCTTCGTCATATTCGACAAGGTACAGAGCTACTCCGCATTTGCATGTGTCCAAGGCCCAAAACCTGCCTCATTGCGGTTCCGCTTGTGAGGGGAACCCTGGAGGCGCTGCGGCTCCGCAACAGCTTCGGCACGGATGAAGGGCGAAGGAGGCATACGGTGGGAAAAAAATACACCGCCGGTCTGTCGCGGTATTGTGTCTGACAGGTGGCAGTGTTTTCTGTCCACGACGGTGAGGGGTAACGGCTACGGTTCATGCTTGGTCGTTTCTGTCATCAATACCCCTTCGCAATAGCTGTGATCTTGGAGAAGGCGGCTTAGGCGGGCAAGCAGCTCGTGTTGTTGATTGATGTCATACTATTCGTTGCTAATGCCAACTCAACCTCGTATGAAGCAAGACCCCAGCCCTCAACTTGGGCTCCAGTGAGAATACCCGAAGCTCGAATGCCTACGGCTGATGCCTCTTCCGCTTATTACCGCTTTCACCTGTATTACTTTTGGAGAAAAGGTCTTCAAGCTTCTGCTGTCCCTTCTCAGCCGTTTTCACCTTGACTTTTTCACTGCCCAGTACGGGCGGCAGTCCCTGAACACGCCGCTTGGCGTCCTCCAACAGCTCCAGCTCGCGATCGCGCTGTCCCTTGACTGTGGGTATTGACCATGTGTTGGACGCTGCACCTTTATGAGCTAATTTGTACTTTGATCCCTCGAGATGCGTTTCGTAAGTATTGGCATCTATTTTACGGACGTGCTACACAGTACAAGTCAATTAATCTTCTATGTCGGGATACGGTAGATAGTGAAACTCACCTGATGTGCAACGATTAACCAGTGGTACTCGGTCCCTACAGGCGCACCGCTTCTCGCAGGGGCCTTCCTTGCCCTTCTCTTGGTTGTCTTGTAGTCTATCTTCCACAAGTCTGGTTCCTCCTTGGTCTCCTGCCACACTCCCCCGTCGTAGTTCCATGTGTGAGATCCGCCGACAGCCATGCCAGAGTAATACTGGCCGTTGAACGACTTGAGAGAGTTGTAACCGCCGCCGCCGAGGGCGTAGGATTGACCGGCTGCTTTCTTGTTGGCTGGAGCTTGTCCATCGGCTGGCATCGCCTCATCCAGCAGACTGGGATCCGTCAGATCGGTGGCTGCATCGAGTTCGTCGAATTGATCGGCTTCATCGAATTCATCGCTCGGCATAGGGCTACTCTTAGCCGGGCTCTCACGCTCATTTGAATGACTGGACTCGTCGTGTCGCGTTGAAGTTGGTGATGCATGCTCTTCAATATGAGATTGCTTCAATCGCTTCGAGGTTCGAGGCATGGTGAATGATGATGCGCCAGTAATCAATTGTCCATCAAACTATCAATGCGGAAGGTAATGGGTAGCTGTTCAAGTTTACCATTGACAGTTGACATATTATGTTTTCAGTGGCAGTTCAGTCATACAAGCAGGCATGGCGTTGATGATTCGAAGATGACGTCGGCGCTGATCTGGTGCCATTGACATCCCTCAAAATTGTCATGATTGCCCACGATGATCAAAGATCGAATCAACAGGTCACATCGGGTCGCCGAGACTCTAAACAATCGCAAATTCACTTGATTCATTTGATGATAGTTCCTCACATAGAGAAAAGACTTTTTCTCATTAGGGGAAAAGTAAACTCCAGAATATGCATTCTTATTTGTCTGCTTACCTAGGTATCTCAACATATCTCCTAAAGCACACGAATTACATGCGAGCAGCGAGCCGCCTTTTACCTTGAATTCATCAAACATGGTATTTAAAAAGAGCTAACATATTTACTCGATGCAAATTTTGTTCAACCATTTACCACAGTACCACCGTTGCAGTGCAGTGTCTGTCCGCTAACACAAGAGCTGTCCATTGAAGCAAGGAACACGACACAGCTTGCGATTTCGGATGGTTGCGCTGGTCGGCCCATAGGACTGGTGAATTCCTTTTGCGCCTTCTCATTCATCGTCGCGGGAATCAAAGGAGTCCACACTGGGCTTCTGGTTAGCTGCATGCTAAACAGGATTGGAGTGTGTTTTCTTTTACTTACCTGGCCCCGGGGCAACGGCATTGACTCTGATTCCCTTTGAGATATACTGATTACTCAGACCGCGTGTGAAGGATACAATGGCTCCTTTGGTAGAGGTATAATCCAGCAAATCGGGCCGGCCAATGTATGCGTTGATAGAGGCATTGTTGATGATAACAGCACCGCGTTTCATGTGCTTGAGGGAGTACTTTGACATGTAAAAGTACGAGTGAATGTTGACGTTGAAAGTGTGAACCCATTGCTCGTCTGGCAGGTCGAGAATATCCTCAACCATCATTTGATCTAACCGGGGTTAGCATTTCTGTCGTTCCATGATTCGGAAAAGCCACTTACAGGCCGCATTGTTGAAGAGAATATCGATGCCGCCCATCTTTTCCAGAGCAAAGTCCACTGCGGCCTGGCAGTTCTCTTTCTTGACAAGATCCGCAGCGAAGAGATAGCATTTTCCCCCAGCCGCCTCGACCTGCTTCTTGGTGTCTTGTGCATCCTGCTCTTCTTCCGGGAGATATGCAATGGTCGTTACAGCGCCCTCCTTGGCAAACAGCACTGCAGTAGCTGCTCCGATGCCGCTATCGCCGCCGGTGATGAGCGCCCTTTTCCCCTGGAGCTTATTTGCTGCTTTGTACGTCGTGCTAGTTCCGCCTGCCTCGGGTAGCTCGTCGCGAGTCGGCTTTGGATCAGGCATATCCCGGTCCTTGCCCGGGAAGTCCTGCTTGGACACAGGAATGTTCTTCTCTGCGATAGACGGTTAGTAGCGGTTTTTCCTTTTTTGAGAGCATGTCGATGGGAAGATTGTACCGTCTTTGAATTGGGATGCCATGGTGGCTGAATGCGATAATCAACTTCACGTGGCGCGTCTAATAAGTTTCGTGGTTGATACGAACGTCCAACGTTAAGAGATTGAAGAGATCGTGGTATGCAGAGGTTATTTAAAAACTCAGATTGCCGTGCTGCGATGGAGATACATCAATCTCATGATGACACGGGAGCTTGACCAGTGAACATATATGTGTCGTCATGGTGTGGACTCCAATTGGTGATGAGGCCAAGATTACAGGTCGAAGTGGCCAAATGACGTTATGCACTTTACACGTGTGTACAGAATAACACTTGCGATTTGAGGCAAGATGGGAAGAAGATAACCATTCTTTCACCAACCCAGCATAATAATGAACGCAATGATCCGAGCGGGCCGAAATTATCGATCGCGAGAAGCTTAAAGATCTTAGCCAGGGACTCGGATGTGGGAGCCTTATTAGACTAATTGGACTACTAGAATGCTATCGCAATAAAATAGCCAAGCATCGCGACTTAGGGTATTATTGGCAGATACGGACTGAATGCATAAGGTAGTATAGTCTGGCCTCTTATTCATTAGCGATACTTCATTAGACCTGCTTTACAGTCAAAGGATCAAGATGTGTTGTATCCATGACGAGAAGTTGGCGACCTCTTCCATTGTGCTATTCCCGCATTTCCTTCCCACCAGCCAGTCCGCGTTACCCTAAGATTGGTGTGAGCGGTCGTACCGGATGACGGATTTGCCATCAGAGAAGTTTGATAATTCGAAATGAACGGGTCGCTGCTGATTACAGCTATGGAGCGCTCCCATCTCCACCAGCAACCTTGGCAGAGATCTGGTCGTGAGGTAATCATGATGTCCATTCTTGCTTACCCACAAGTCAAGGTGGCGTATTCTCGCATCCGTATAAATGATACACTGCCGTTGCTATGGTGCTTTTCTCATTGTTAAGGCCACTATCTTGGCACGAATTCATATTATCGCTCTGTGTAACTTACTTCTGTTCGCCGCCTTTCTCAACGCAAAGAGAATATTCTATAGATTCCAGACCACGGCGAACAAGTCATCATGGCGGATGTACCGCGGCTCTTCCAATTGAGCGGAACATGCAACAACTATCCATGGGGGAAAAAGGGACACGAATCTCTCGCTGCCAAGCTCTGCGAAAAGACGCCGGGAACTGATTTCACCATCAAAGACGATGAACCTTACTCAGAAATGTGGTTTGGTGACTATCCAGACTTTCCGGCGAGGGTTTTAGAAACCGGCCAGCCACTCGCCGAGCTGTTGCAGAGTCACAAAGAGAAGCTGCTTGGCTCATATTCCGTTGAGACATTCGGAAACAACCTCCCATTTCTACCCAAGGTATGTCGAAATTGTCTCCTTAGCGAGAGTAATGGCGTCTAAGTTGGGTGTCACAGATCCTTTCGATAGCCAAAGCCTTGCCACTGCAAATTCACCCAAACAAATCCCTCGCAGCCACGCTTCACGAGAAGGATCCGGAAAAGTTCACAGACTCCAACCACAAGCCAGAAATCGCAGTGGCGCTGTCAAAGTTTGAGCTCTTTGCCGGCTGGAGAGACATCAACCAGATTTCCGCCATTTTCAACATCCCCAGTCTACGGCGCTTCGTACCCGACGGAACCAAGTCTTGGACCGATGAGACCCTCAGAAGCGTCATCCGCGGAATACTGAAGGCAGATGAACAGACCATCCAAAACATTGAAGAAGACCTGAAGCGACAGTCGCAAGAGGACATCGAGAGTCTCGGCTACCCAAGTGACATGTTTGAGCTTATTCGGCGCATGCAATCGCAATACTCCGCGACGGATCCAGGTCTGTTGGTGGCCGTGTTGTGTATGAACTTCCTTGTCCTGGAACCCGGTGAAGCAATCTTCATCCCGGCTGACGGCATCCACTGTTACTTGTCCGGGGACATCGTGGAGTGCATGGCCCGTTCCAACAATATGCTCAGTGGAGGACTTTGCCCCGTTGCAGACCGCGACAGCATCGATCTCTTCGCCGAGACGCTCAAGATCGATTCAAGCACAAAAGGGGAGAATCTCATTTTGCCGGCAAAGCAAAGCAAAGATGGAGCCAATGGGCATACTCTGGTATATCAGCCGCCCATTGGAGAATTCGACCTGGTTCGAATCGACTTGACGGCTGGGTCGGAGGAACAGATTCAGAGCCACAAAGGCCCGGCGGTCGCGATTGCGATTTCTGGAGAGGGCGCCATTGAAGGTGATGGTAAAAAGCTTGCCGTCAAGAGCGGGTTCATCTTCTTCATTGCAGCCGAAACGGCTGTGACTGTCAAGGCTGATACGGGCTTGCGGTTGTACGCCGCTGTCATACGGTAAATAGAAGCTCAGATTATCAAAGGATCTGTTCTCTCAGGTCAAGGAATTGTGCCAGAAAGAGAAACGCTGGATCGCTTATCGTACTATGCTTTCGAAATATGCAGTGTTCCAGCGAGTCGAATATCTCGACTGCTCGCTCCAACAAATATCTTGTACTCTCCCTCCTGAATAACCCACGACTGAGAAACCACATCCCAAACACTGAAATCTCGCTTCGTAAGCCCGAAGTGAACCGTTCCAGCCTCATGTGGATGCAGGGAGAGTTTGCTGAATCCACGCAATTGCTTCGGTGGACTGTTTGGAATGGCCAAGTACAGTTGTGCAACCTCGCTTCCGGACATATCGCCGCTATTGGTGATGGTTGCGGTGACTTGTGCAGCGGCCTGCCACAAGTCGTCGCTACATCTCGAACGGCGAAGACTTTTGGCCTTCCTGATGGAGAGAGCCGAATAGTCGAACGACGTGTAGCTGAGTCCGTATCCGAACTCGAAGCGGGGAGTGATGTTGTTCGCATCGAAAGCGCGATAATCGAGATAGACGCCTTCCGCGAAATCGCATTGAGGATCGATATCATCTGGAGAGCTGCGCTGGCATGGTGCGTAAACTGAGTAATCGCTCTCGTTCTTCGCAATTGTGTACGGGAGTTTTCCTGAGAAGTTGGCCTCGCCATACAGCAGCTTCACGAGGGCTCTACCGCTGTCTTGACCTGGCAGATGAGCGATGATGGCGGCAGTAACATTGGGATGCTCAATCCATTGATCGACGAGGCGTGTGCCCGCGGCATGAACGACGACAATGGTGTTGGAGCAATTAGCGGCCACATTCAAGACTAAGCCATCGCTGAAATCGTCGTGAAGACCCTCGCGGTCCCAGCCCTCCGTTGCGATGGCGTTGATGAAGACCAAGCAGGCATCAGAAGCAGCATTGACTTCGGGACTGAAGGAATCCAGATCCCAATTCACCCACGTGCCGTCTTTGCGGGCTCGACGCTGAAGAGCAGCAAGCGGCTGGATCAAACTATTAGTCAAGTTCTGCAGCAAATCTTTGAAAGGAGAGTTACGTACATCATCTATATATGATGGGGCATTTGCGCCAGCCCGGCCGCCAGTTACTATTGTCCCTCCCTTCGCCGCCTGGTCGAAATGTGCTTCATTGCCCAGTACGGCCTGACCCATCTCGGGAGATGAGGTGTATCCGAGCTGAAACAGAATATCAGTATTCTTCGTGCGTGGGATCGTGGCATCGTAGCCAAAGACGGAGACCATGGCGAGCTTTTTCTTGAATGGTAGCGCATTGTTCTCGTTCTTTACCAGGACGTGGCCTGCAATTGCGCCCTCGAGAAGAGTAGGCTTCGATGCGGGATCTCGTGCATCGACTTGCTCATGAGGCTTCGTGAGCTCTTTCAGGCCGATGCCAGGTACTGGAAAGTTGTCGCCATCTTGACCAACCAAATACCATGCAGCAACAATTCTTATACGCAAAGTAAAGTCAACATCAAATCTCATGGAGCAATATTGTGGTCAGAGATCCTCACCTCGTGGCCATGTCCGTTATCCGAGACTCGCTGACCGTCCCGTTTGCAACCGCATCTGTCAGATTCTTGCCCCAAGAACCACCAAGAGGCATCACCATGTCGAGCCCAGCATTAGCGCTTTGCACATCGTGCTGGGCATTCCAGTCAAGCATGACGAAACCTCGAAACCCCAACTCCGTCTTGAGGATGCCGTTCATGAGCTTGTCGTTCTCGCACCCGTACGTGTTGTTGATCCTGTTATAGGAGCACATGACAGATCCCACGCCAGCATGCACACTATCCATAAAGGGCCACAGATAGTATTCGTGTAGTGTCTTGTCGTCAATATTTGCAGACACGGCCTCGACACCGAAATACGGACGGCGAAGCGTCTCTTGTTCGTTGGCGATGAAATGCTACGAATCAACAAGGTCAGCAATCCACGTTTAGAAGTTGCGCTTGTAGATCATCCGCAAGCACCTTAATGTTCGCAATAACGCCTGCGTCTTGCATTCCGGTGATTGTCTCCGCGTTCAATTGGCCAGAGAGATACGGATCGATGGAGAATCCCTCCCAATTTCGACCACCCAGAGGTGTTCGTCCTAATGGGCCGGCATTGGGACCAAGTGGAACGTTGACTGAGAGCAGTCATCAGCATACGACGATACCGACGAACGGAGATAAAAGAAATGGACTCTTACCTCCTTTCGCTTTAAACTCCTGGCCCATATAGAACCCCCTCTCATACGTCAAGTTCCGATCCCAGCTCGCCCCGACGTGAATGCCGGATGGATAAGAGTTGACCAAGTCGGTTGCGCGAACTCCGTTGCCAGCATCGTGGACACACATACCGGGCCATCCTAAACGAGGAACGGAGCCAGTGTTGCCGGCACAGACATTGTCGCCAGTATATCCACGCGTGATGTTGGCCTTTTCTTCCAAGGTCATTTGTCGCACCAGGTTTTCGGCGCGACGGTACGCGTGAGCCCACGGCCCGTTTCCCCTGCTTTGCTCTAAAAAAGGTGGAAGATGTTTTAGCATCGGGAGCATAAGAGCGAGATTTCTATCAGTAACGAGATTGAAACGTACGCGTTGAAGGTATTTGTGATGCTCCTTTGGCTGCAGCGCCGCTTGGGGGCAGAGCTGCTGCCACCAGAGCCAAGCTCGCAAGGCTGGATAGCTCATATAGCCGCATGTTGAGAGTCGAGACGTTCGCGGTTGCTCTGAACTGTTTTGGTTGCCTCTGCACTCAGGGCACTTGTCTTATACCGGGGGCATGCCGGGCTTAACATCGGTGGGTAGGAGATGTCAGCTCAAGCTTAAGTTTGAGGATCGTGACGATTGCAGGATCCGTTCACCGCTGCGAGGCCGATGTTCCCCGACAAATAGGAACACGATCCGTTGGCGGGGATGACCCTTGATCACAGCCGTTGGGACCCCCCCACTTCCTCAAATCACCTGCTGCGTCTCGTGAATGTTGCTAAGATCGTTCAACAGTAACATTCTCTATCCCCGCCGTGCTGAGCAGTTGGGTCAATCCTGGGGAGGGAGATGCAAGTGATGAGTTTGAATTGAAGCTCTTAAGACCCTGCGGAGAATCGGAGAATTTCCAAAGGCCTCCAATGTACAAGTGATGCCGGACGTACACGGGATGTCGCACGAATTAGTGCTTCTCTTCGTACTAGGTACTCCGTAGGAACCTTGATGATTCTGTGAAATCATGCTTCTTGGCAGCAACACCATGTACGAGCCCCCTCGCCTTTTCAGCCAAAAGATGCTGTCGAGCCGGGTTTAGGCATCAACGCAAGATTGTAGAATGTTCGTTCACTATCGCTTGACGCAGCCCAACGCCCCCGCTTGAACGAATACCTAGGTGAAGGAGGGCGGTATTTCGTTGATGCTGATGACGGCGTTCAGGATCTTCAAAGCATCTGCTTGTCCACCACCGCAAAGGTCGTGCTGTGCCCATATTCGCCGTATAATTTGCTCTGTCGAGGCGAGGTTGCTCAGTGGCCTCTCGTGTATTGCATTCTTCAGCGAGGAAAGAATCAGTAGCCTGTCGTTGTCATTTTCCGCTTGCAGAGCCAGCATGATCATGATGAACGGTCTTTCGCACAGGCCGAGATCGGCCAAGAGGCTCAGTGCTTCCTCTGCACTGGCGCGTGACAGGCGCGAATCGGAAAAAGAACCGCGAACCACACGATCCAGATAGATGAGAACGGCAAGCTGGTACATGCGAGCGATCGTGAGATACCGCTTCCTGCTCCCAGCCACGTGGTAGTCTTCTCTATCGATGCCGCTGCATAGCTGCTGACCAATGTCTCTGATGTTCCTTTCGAGGTCATAAATGGCGTGTGAATGCCGTTTCGATAAATATTCCGGATCATCCCGGTCTTTGATGAGATTGATGGCTCTGCTCAGGTATTCTAGAAGTTCGAGTGAGCAGCCGAGGGTGCTATGGATCTGTTTATTGCTTGTCAATCGCATCGATCTAGGCGAAGATGGGGACGTCGTACCGTGCTGAAGTGGCTCGTGGACACAATTTTGGCAATGCGCATATCCCGCTGCGCAATCGCTGCCATTTCCGGGGTGCGTCTCTGCCAATGCTGAAGGCTGAATTTGTAGAGGACGTTGTGGTAGAACACCCAATCCAGCAGCGTTGCGTGTTCGCCTTCACTCACTTTATGGCCTTGATAGCTTGACTTGACAATCGTCATGCAACCGTCAAAGTGGACTGACCATACTGTTGTTTTCCCGCCGGGACAGAGGACCTGAGAAGAGAACCAACAAATCATAAGCAAATGCGACCAGAGTGAGGCACAAAGAGCACAGCGATGCTACAAACCTCGTATAGACTGAGAAGCAGGCTCGCGGCAATGGCCTGAGCTCTGCATCGGGCATCTTGGATCCGATCAATTGCACCTTGCAGCGCAGAAACAGCACGCATCTGATGCAGCATCGCTTCGTCTGGCCTTCTAAGATACAGGTATGAAATGGCGTTCATGGCATATCGTACTGCAAGAGACGCGATACCATTATCTGTGAGAGACATTCGGCGAAGAAGACCACACACATCTTGTCGCAGATCACCCCGAGAAGTAATGAGTCGAACAGCAGACGACATGTCGGCATCGTCTATTAAATCAGCATGTTATCCAGAGACATGGCCTACATTCCAGTAGCAACAATCAGATGATAGTGTACTTACATATTGGAGACTTGTTGCTCCCAAATCGGGGTAGTTGCGGTGAGCGGCGTATCGATGGCATCCAGACGGCCAGCTTATCGGCTGCATCGTAAGAAGCTTTCTGTTAGCGGAACAAATAGGAATGGCAGCTATGCTCTCAGAAGCTCACAATCGGATTTGAAAGCCGTGCTGTCGTAGTAAAGCATCATGTCCATATTGGAGGTGTTGAGGAAAGGAAATGCGTTGGCCGGATACTTCCGATTGTGAACCTGGGCGGTCATGGCCCGACGCTCATCACCGTCACGAGGCCATGACAGGTTGTAATCGTAGCCAGAGCAAATCTTCTTCCTTCTCTTGCAAGAAGAGCAGGCTGGCATCAGTCTGTCGCACGCGATCTTGCGAGCTGAGATACGTTAGTCACCAACCTGATTACACCAAGCCGAGGTGGCTGACAGAAATGAGTGTACTTTTACAATTGAGGCATGACTTCTGCCCTCGGGGTACGGTAGTAGAATCGTCCGAGCTGGCCATGATGTGCCGACGATGCCTCCTTCGTTGGTCGTTTCTCTTTGCCTTGTCGTAATGTCAAGCGGGTGACTTGATATCTTTCAAATGACTTGGAAGACGAAGAGATGATGCAACTATTCTAGAACCACACGGTGCGAACGCTGACTCCGGGCCCCGGTTTCTAGGCCGTTTCCCACTAAAGAACGAACCCCGCAGGCCAGAGATTAGCCGCCGAACCCCTTCCGTCCCAAAATAAATACAGTGTTAGAAGAGAATACCGGGGACTGGAAGAGTCTCGAAGCGTGCTGACTACGTGTTTACCAACCTACATATGCATGCTGACGATGATACCAAGCACTCGCTGGGAGGTGTTATATACTGATGGCAGTGTCGTTAAATTTTACAAGACATAAAATCTCAAGAACACGTTCAATAAGCAATCTTTCGACTTGCAAAGCAGTGAACCTTCAATCGCTCACATACGGAGATACGGAATCACACCATGATGTATCACAAGTTTCCTCTTTTGGGCAGAAGAACTACCAAGCTGTTGTCGTTGCTGCTGCGAGTCACAGTCAAGCACCGATGAAAGCGGTTTTGGCTTCTCTGGCCAAGTCGATCAGCAGCATCCAAGACGGTTTGTTCTTAAAGGTACAGGTCCGGTCGCGGAACAACGCTGTTCCACCTCTGCGAAAATCTCTGCCTCGAGCTCACAGCTTCAACTGGGGCTAGCCAGAAACGACCCCTCCATCAGACCATTGCTTGCATCACACCTCTTGACTCTTTTGATGACCTCCAACCCTTCTTCGCAGCCAATTTGTTGTTGACGAATCTCACTCCAACTGCTCATTATTTTACTATATATATCGTGATTTTCTTGTTCTGTTCTGCAGCATTCTCCTCCAATTTCAGCCCCAATCCTATCACTGCCCGCAACATCCCAGTTGCCTCTCTTCGCATCAAGAAATTCCGCAAATATGGCGCCGCAAGAGGAACCTTGCCGCATCCTTGTCATGGCCTCTGGCAACGGCTCAAATTTCCAGGCATTAATAGACGCCATCGCTAGCGACGTCATTCCCAACAGCAGAATCACTCGCCTGATAGTGAACCGCGCAAAGGCATTCGCTACCACTCGAGCAGAGAAAGCAGGCATCCCATGGGAATACTTCAACCTGATCAGCAACGGATTCCTCGCAAAGGGGGAAAAGGATGAGGCAAAGACGGCAGAGGCAAGGAAAAAGTACGATGCTGCCTTGGCAGACAAGATTTTGAAGCTGGACGAAAGGCCGGAATTGATCGTCCTGGCGGGCTGGATGTGGGTGTTTTCGTCCGAGTTCCTGAGGCCGTTGGAAGAGGTGGGCATCAAGGTCATCAACTTGCATCCCGCATTGCCTGGTAAGTGATTTGCATAGGACCGGTGTGTAACTGATAGACTTACCGACTTGATGCGCAGGGCAATTTGACGGAGCTCATGCGATTGAGCGAGCTTACGAGGATCTCAAGGCCGGAAAGATCAAGTACACCGGTATCATGGTTCACTATGTCATTCAAGAAGTCGATAGAGGTGATCCCATCATGATTCAGGAGATTGGCTGGGAAGGAGAGGACCTTGAAGCTTTGGAAGCAAAGATTCATGAACACGAGCACGAGCTCATTGTCAAGGCGACTGCAAAGGTGGTCAGAGAACTTATTGATGCTAGGAGAAAATAAGTAATAATTGATGCTTCACTAAGTTCACTGCGTCGCCAGAGTTTATTGCAACGATGAGAAGAGCGACGTGTAATCATTTCCGGAATAGATGCCGTTTGGATATAGCCGGTTGGTAGGGTGATGTTGATAAATGATTCCCCAGGGTAGCTGCTACACGAAACGGCGCAACTTCCGACCTGCAGAAGGTGAGGTGCTACAAGACATGACCACATGTGTCTTAACGCACTTTTGAGGGTTAATCTTTCGCGTCACTCACTGTCCTACAGACATGTATCTAATTCCTAAGATAATCGCTATGCCTGTATCCATAAGATACATCCAACGCAGCTATGAGAGCTGATCCACCCAATGCGATCCTTCCGCCTCCCTCTACCGGCCGCTTTGTAAAGTCAGCATCATCATGAAGGACTCTGCTATTACTTCTGCATGTCATATGTCCTCAGCTATGGGGTAGGCGTAGAGTATTCTTGAATTGCTTTTACTCAACACCTTGCATCACGTTCTTAATGTAGCACCAACTGAGAAAAGTCCAAATCAAAGAAAATTGTGCAGAATTCCAGAATTAGTACGCTGATTATCTGAGAGAGCGTGATCTTAAAGCCTTCTCCAACTGGCTACACAGGCATCTGCTGCTTATCCATCCACCGAGTATCTGACGTCTCGCTTTCCGTCAAGCCTCCCTTACTGACCACCTGTCGTGTCGGCTACACCATCTAGCTTATACAGAGGCTCAAGCTTCGCCTTACGCTGGAAGAAGATGTACCTTTTGATCCACCAGGGCAGCCATGTACCGACTTGATAAGACATATGACGCCGCGTTGATACACCAAATATGTAGTCAAGCTCCTCCAACGTGCGTTTCCTAAATGCGAATTAGCTCCTACCACGCCTCGTATGAACATGTATATCAAAACATACATTGTCTCTGGAACGATGAAGAAGATGACCACGAAGGCGAGCATGTTGAGTCCAGCGTAGAAGCCAAACGCACCAGTAGGCCCAAGTGCCTTCAGCAGCGAAGGGAAGGTCAAACTCAAAGCACTGCCGACAGCATTGTTGATGCAGATGGTCAGACCAGCGCCGAGCTCTCGATGAGATAAGGGAAAGGCCTCAGAAAAGTAGATGGAGGGCAACGGCCCCATACCTGACTTCTGTTCAGTAACTTGTCATTCCGTCGAAGAACGTGGACACTTACCAGGCCCATAAAAGGCAGTAAAAAGATAGATGAAAAAGGCGATGCAGGGAATCCTGGCACCGTTGGAAGTTGGCATGAGGAAACAAAGCCCAGCGGCCAGAAGGCACCAGGCCATATTCGGGAACGTTGTGAGAAGCAAGTTGCGTCGGCCAAAGGTATCCATGGTGTAAACTGCCGGAAAGGCAAAGACGAAGAGAACAAGGCCGAACCCCATGGAGGCAAGCAGGCTGCTGAGTGTTGAGTAGCCAGCCTCAACAAAGATAGTTGAGCTGTAAAATGCCATGCTTTGTAAATATCAAGTTAGTGACCGAGAACTGAAGCGTCGTCGGATGAATAAGAGTACTTACATGTTGATGCCGGAAAACTGCTGGCTGATGACAATCCATCCACTGGCAACAGCCGCACGCCGTAACCGAGGAACAGTGACAAGCTCTCGCGCTCTTTGCAGATAGCTGACGCCGGCAAAGGCATCTCTTTCTTCCATTACCTGACAGTGAGCGTAGTACAAGTCTCTGGCAGCCTGCATCTCGGTGTTTCTCAGTCGACAGAATGACTGGAACGACTCGGGATATCGTCCTTTCTTCATCAACCATCGAGGTGATTCTGTGTGTAACTGTTAACCTATGATCCTGGATTGTGGGTTTCAGCTGTCAGCGTACCAGGGCAGAACCAAACAAAGATGACCACAGGAATGGCCGGCGCAAAGGCAGAAGCAAGTTGGAATCTCCATGCCAGCTTTCCGACCCGATAAAAGATCAAGTTGCAGCAGTAACCCACGAACATCCCGAACGACACCCAAAGCTGGAAGCTCGTAACCAGGCCACCGCGAATAGACGCCGGTGCAACCTCTGCGGAGAAGACTGGGATCGTCGAGATCTTGATACCCATCCCCAGCCCCATAAACAGACGGCAGATCATGAGACCCCACCAGTTCTGCGTAAATGCTTGGGCAAGAACAGGAAAGATGCAGAACAGCCCTGTGGCAAAGACAGTGCCCCTGCGGCCGAGAAGGTTGTTCACCGGATCAGCCGCCCATGCAGACAGGAGTCCAAAGAGCGTTGGGCCGGAGTTGATGACCCCGACGAGCCAGCCATTGTCTTCAATGCCAAATTCTTGGGGGAACGACAGATTGGCACCGTTGGCACCAGTGTTGTCCCAGCCTTGAATGGCAGAGCCAAGAGAGCAGAGGGCGATGGTGTAGTAAAGAGCTCTAGGCAAGTGCCAGCGATGGGTGACTTCGCGCCTGAGCCAATACTTGTCATCGTCAGTCAGCTCTGGGATATCTTCAAAGTCGACCGGGCTTTGAGCTGCGAGGGCACCTCTGAAGAAGGTGTCCTGCTTCTCTTGAAATCCGTATTCTCTACAGAACGCGATGACCTGAGAACGAAGATTCTCCTTGGATATTCCCATCAAGGGATTCCAAATCCTATGGAATTCATATTAGCCTTGGCACTTTGAGAGAAGGTATCAGGTAAGGGGCCCTACTTTGCGTTGACATTGCGAGAGAAGCTTGGACTTGCGTCTTCCACATGGGAGAGAAACTCGTCCTTTGGTTGCTTCAAATCTGGTGAATGAGCCATGACTGTCTGCTATTCCTGGAAGGATGCGCGTCAGCTCTGGCGAGACTTGACTTGACGGAAGAAGATGAATCTCTAGCAGATCACCATGCCCCATTATATATCTATTTTCAGCCCATCCCGATCATCGTGAGTCTGCTAGAGTCTTTTTCCCCATGGGGTTCGATAGTCGGTTCTCCAACCCCAGATTCTACGTTCGGCTTGTTTTAGGACGGCGCCATGGCTTGCTTGGCTTGCCCCTCCCAGCCACGTCGAAGCCGAAGAGAATGATGGTATGATTAAACTTTATGTGTTACCGCGCAGTGAAGACCAGACATTCCGCCTCCTATAGGGCCATATTGCAGTAATTCTGATGTTTTTTTTGAGGTATTTGGGTTGAGCATTCTTTCCCCGTCCTTCTGACTCCTTGTCAATACGAGGTTATAGTACAATTAAATGCGAAAAGAAGCCCGGGTCGGTGTATGCGCATTTGTAGGTAGACAAGACGTCTTTCACTATAATCACGGCTCCAAACAGAAGAAAACCAACGAAACTGACCACATTCCCATCTAATTCCCTGCGTGTGTCCAACTCACCGATCCGCCACTCGGTACTCGACCGGTCCGGGGTGGAGATGGTCATCCAGCCATATTCGTCTCACGCTGCCCTGCGTGTGCTCTGACTTAGCGGAGGTGTGGGTACCTGGCAACCTGGCTCCTCTCTGCCCTGCGTGTTGTTCCCCAGCAGACAATCCCACTACTACGCGTACAATCTCTATTTAGCCATTTAAGCTGTCGTGCGGTAGCCAACAGCTGTCCGAATCGGCACGGAGAATTAGATTGAGCTTTAACTTTCCCCGCATCTACCTGCTTTAGCGAGGATTACAGAGGTCTGCCCTGCGTGGTTCAGACTCAGCCCTGTGCAGGTCTCCCCAAGGGGCGTGAGGAGACACGAATAGTGTTTGGTGAAGTACAGACTGAATGATGTGTACTATCAATGATGCCGTATGAGTGGTCTCCATCTCGTGAATGTGGGTAGATTTAAGATTGTATCGCTATATAAGCCCGTCCAACCATCGCTATCTGCACAAACATTGACAGAAAGCGTGAACTCAGCCTGAAGCTCTCCTTCTGAACTGCTACAACATACATACATATTGCCATCAACGCTGCCAAACATTGTTTGAAGCTCGCATCTTCCGTCACTGCATACGAAATGGGCAGCAAAGACTCTCAGACATGGCTTGAGAAGCTCGAAGAGCAACGTAAATTCACCTCGGACGAACATAACGAGATATGCTGACGGAAAACGCAGTCAACGTCGACGTCGACTGGATGGACCCCGAATACATCAAGTCCATGCCCATCAAGCCGCACGACCAGACGAGCAACCAGCTCTGGGTCGACATCCAGCTCGGCCACCCTTCCAACGCCGAGCTTCTAGCGCAAACGGCCAAGGAGTTGAAGGACAAAGGCTGGTTGGCAATTTACACCAGAATGGTACTTGGCGATCCGCTTCCCATATCTTCTCAATTTAACGGATTCGTATAATGACATCCTGCAGGCCGTGTTGATGTGCAAGAAGAACATTGATTTGATCCAAGGTCGAGTTTTGCTGCAGACTCTTCCCTCCAAGGCATATGACATGCAAGCGACGCTCGACCACGCTCGGCTGTATGATCAAGAATTTGCCAGAGCCGGCATCGGCCGAGACAGATACTGCATCAAGATTCCATCCACTGGACCAGCTTTGAACGCGGCCAAGGTCTTGAGCGCCGAGGGAATCCCGACACTGGGAACGGCATTGTTCGGCTTGCCTCAGGCTATTGCTTGTAGTCAAGCAGGAATGCTGTACATCAGTCCCTACTTCAATGGTTCGTCCCGGTCCTTGTATGACAGGATTTTGCGGAATAGAAGCTGATGTTCCATATTCCTGAAGAAACTCGAGCCCACGATGATCTATCGCTCTGGCCCGACGTCGAGGACCCGGCCACCCAGCATCCCATGAGCGCCCGCATCTTCCAAATACTCGAAACGTACCGACGCCTATACAGAGAGACTGGCAAAGAGCAGCCGCTGCTCAAGAATGCAAGGTGAGACAAGGCTATCGGCTCCCGATGACTATGGCTGACAGTCCGACTCAGCTTCATCTCGGCCAAAGAGGCGATGGCAGCGGGCGAACTGGGATGCCATTCTGCCACAATCTCCCACACTGTCCTGGACCAGCTTGCAAAGTTGAAGTATGACGGTACGAAACAGCCCGGCGAAGGAACACCCAAGCCTGTCCACGTGTACAAGAACCCTCCGAAGGTTCCCGAAAGGTTGCGTAAGCTTGCGAACATTGATCCGCTTGCTGCCGCGGACTGGGATGGCAAGCTGGCCAGCACCGACATTGACTATCTCGCCAACGGCGGAGAAGAGCTAGGCAAAGCGATTGAAGCTGATCCGATCACCAAGGAGCGCCTGGCAATCGCTCTAGAGCTCTTCACCGGTGGTGAGAACAAGAGCAAGGACAAGATCGACGCAGCGGTTCGGGCCTTGTGAGGGTGTCATATGGCGGGCTCTGTATGTATGTACACTGCGTCCGTGTATGTCGAGGCGCGGGTATAGATTGAGCATTTTTTAGATACATGAAAATGGTATCAGCCAGTATAGACATAATTGTTGTTGTGAAAGGTCGACGGATCAGCCATATGCATAACCGTTGAGTTGAACCGTAGTGCCTCATCGTCGAGGTTGGTGGTTGCCATGTCATACTGCAGTGGCAAATGTGTGTAAGCTGGCGATTTCGGAGGGGCGGCAGCGTTGTAATCGGTGGTCAGAGCGAGTGAATTAGGCATGTTAAAGTCCATCTCGTTTGACATCCACGGGATGTCCATGCTCAACGAAGTCGACGCGACGTTCGGCTCGGCTGCCGGAGCCAGGGGTGGTTCAACTGGTAGAGGATGCTGCTCTGTAGCCACATACGACGACGGCTCATCCAGGAAGATCTGTCCACTGCCGGCTGCTTGGTGCTCATTGTTGGCATCTATGGATGGAACGCCGGGGCCTAATATCGAGACTCCGGCCTCGTCTAGTACTGGAATCGAGGTGGCTTCAGGATCATCCTCTGTAACTCGAGGTTGAAGAGCCTCAAGTCCAGCGTTGAGACGCCATGTATTCAATTCGGAGAGGAGATGATCGCGCTCGGCCACAAGACGATTAATCTTATCGAGGGATTCGGCAATTTGCTGCTGCTCAGCCTTGTGCAGCGCGACGCTCTGATCAATGACGACGTGTTTGGACAGGCGATTGGGGTCCGTGGATCGAAGCGATGGTATGAGGCCGGCGAGTAACTACCAGACTCCGCGTTAGCTGTGTGCAGGCAAAAGAGACAACGGAACGCCAATCATCGTCGGCGCCGCTCACCGTCAGTCGTTCCTTGAACGCCTCTCGTCGGGACCGCTCAAATACTCGATGGGCTGCGCGATCGTCCGCGGTCCAGTTCCTGATGCGCTTCTTCTTATTTCTGTCGGGCGACGGAGGGGTAGCCGTCGAGTTGGCCCGGTCTGCCATGGGAGGCGAGGTGTTTTCTGTCGAGGACATCGAATCGATCGGCTCAAGGTATCCGTGGCGAAAACAACCGCGAACTTGGGGGAAGGATATGAGGCCGACGCCAGTGAAGGTGTTGGCGATGCTTTTGACTGGTCCGGAGCGGTATCTCGGTGCCTGAATAGCGGCATTCAACCTACGGCTGCGTTTAAAGAGCCATCAAATGGATCGAAGCATCGTGAGCTGACAAAGAGGGGAAGCTTTAGAGTTGAGTCGAGCCGGTGGCGATGCTTGTTATGGTCATCCAATAGATGCACAGTGCGCATGTGCAAGTCTGGTCTTAGACCTCCAGCTCCTGGTCCCCGCCATTTTGCAGCACAATCAGCGGCCATGTGCTCAGTTACTCAGTGCGACGTTCCAGCACTTCTACTGGCCGCTTTTTAAGCTCCGATGCTCCCAGCGGGCCAGAATCTGGGGTACATGAAGCGCTAACGGTAGCCGGAAGGCCCTCGAGTTGTATGAGAAGGCTCAGCTGATCATTTGTCACGATGCTGATAGCTACATGCCTGGACAACGGTTGATGTCATGGAAACGGAACTCCGCCAGGTCATTTGAATTGAATTTGAGTGCTTCGACTTGCTGTAAATGTACTATCATTGTTTTTGACATGATGCAGATGCTCATGCTGTTACGCCGTTAAATATTTCCCAAAACGCTCATGTCACCTTGATACCATCCGGATAGATCTGTCGTCATGTCCAGTCCGCCAAAGCCTCCCATATTAGTGTCCATATTCATGCTCCCAAAGTCCTCTGCATTCATAAAGTAAGAAAGCCAATCTGTCGTCATGAAAGAGTCCAGAGTCGTATTCGGATAAGGGGGGAAGTCGGCATTCATGGCTGGTGTGAGATCTGCCATAGACAGTCCATGTGAAACCAATCCCGGGCCTGCTGGGGGTAGCAGCCCGTCTCCGAGTGGCAAAAGCCCATCTCCCGATCCCGAGACGATGCCGTCCCCTGATGTTTGCATTCCGTCCCCATAAGAGCTGCTGCCGGCCTGCGGCGAGATACTCATATTATCGGACAAGCTTGTTGATGCCGCGGCGCTTCCGGGTTGAGAACCCTGTGACGAAAGCAGGGGTTGCATTTTCGGGAATTCTTGTCGGGGAGCGAAGCGCCTCATGGTCGCCGAAAAGATTCGATCCAAGACATCACGGCTTCGCTTCGCCTCAGGCCAGTACTCTCCCGTCGCACTGAGAATATCCGATGCGGCCTTCAAAGAAGTAGTCAAGCAATCGAAATTGACCTGGTCCGCAATACCGTCGGGTGTCCAGACGCAGTAAAACAGGGTCATAATACACAGGAATAGTGAGTGAACCGTCAGCCATCCATACCGCAGCTGGTTTTCGGCGTATAGCTTCGCATACAGCTTGCTGCAGGCAATGGCACTGCTGAAGCATTCGGACAGGGATGCCTTTGTTGGCTTCTGGAATACGGGATTCGGACGGAGCACGAGCATCATCAGTTCGTGGTATCTGATCTCGCAGAGATCATTCAGGTAGTACGTGCGCTCTCCCTCGGCGTGCCTGGGAATCTCCTCTCGCCATTTTTGCAGGCGGCTGATCATGTCCGTCCGCCAGGCTGTCATATCGGTGATGGCCGGACTGACATAGGGCGGGTAGTTTCGATCGGTACAAAACAAGACAGTCTTAATCTCAGAACTAAATCTCGCCCATTTGAAGAGGTGGATGGCGCTTGTCATGGTTGTAAGGCTTCCAGGTGGTCTTGTGGAGGGCCGCACTCCATCTTCCGTCAATTCATCGTCATTCACATCCTTGGGAAGCTAGATAGCGAGATACGTTAACACACATACTCATCGATCCTGACGGGCAAATGCCAACTCACTCTCAATTCGCATTGCTCATCAAAAAATCCCAACGGTCGTCCCATTGTGGTGCAGAGTTGCCGATTGATGGTATATGTGCACCAAAAGATCCTCGTGCGAAGCTCCACCTGAAGAGGGTTGAAATGGCGAGTATTCCGCACGTCACGATGCAAGCCCAGCTCGAGACACGATGCCAGAGAGTGGTAGTGAAGCGTCCAGAGACTCAATCCTGAAGACGGGTCGTGAAGGGTGTACATCTCAAGCAGCAGAAGACACTGGCAAGTGACGAGTGACGGCGTTCTGAACACAGTGTCCAGACGCTGCAGAGCTGAAGCATAATAGCCTTCGCCCAGCATGTGCCGCCTCGAGCGCCGACCGTAGATGGTAGCACCAATGGCCAGGACCATGAATGCGTGAAACTCCTCTAGCGGATCCAGAGTCTCTCCGTTGTAAAGCTTGTGAATGATGGCGTGGTGTGAAGGTTCGTGAAGGAAAGGGAACTGCAGGTGAACGGAGTCAAAGTATATCTGGGTGAGGAACATGGTCTGCCTCTTGTCATTTGGGAAGTCCTTGGCCTGCAGGTCAACTAAATCCCCAGGGAGAAGCGCATCCTCATCATTGCCCGCGGAGCCGCGGAGGTTCACCGTCTCGATGTCTGCAACATGTGCTAAGCCCGCAAGCACGAATTTGGTGAAGAAGAGGCCGCTGGAGGGTCCGAGGTATCGAAGATCAGAGCCACCTGATATGGATATCAAGCTCATCTGCTCTGTGATCTCATGGGGCGACGATTCATCCGGAGACTCCTGAGAGCCCTGGCGCGATGACGATTGACCACGCTCAAGCGTTGATGAGTGAGCTCGTGATGGCCGCCCCGGCCCTGAGTTGAGGTCGACATCTGGACATCTGTCCCGAACAATGGACTCTAGCCACGCAACTCGCGCCTCAAGATCGGTCAAATAGCTGTACAGATGTTACACGGCGTTGATTAGTCAGACTTCGACAAGTACCTAAGCACACATGCGTCGAACGTCTGTCTTACTTTCGAGGTATTTCACGAGATGTGCCGCCATCCACGCATCGGACACCGGCCTTCTGGCAGCCTGAGCATGCTGGCAGCACGCCGTCACACTGAGAACGGCATCTTGGTCAGTCTAAAATGAGATTGCCAGGTCAGGGGCGAGGGAGACGTGCCCGAATCTTTCTCTTCTGACACCGAACACAAGCTGCGCTTATCCGGGCTCGGGTCCTCGGTTTTCGGTGGGGTTGAACATTGGCCGGCGGCGGATCACGGTCTGGGTTGGAAGAGCTCGGACTCGTCTTCGATGGCTCCATTACGATTATTGAGAGCTGAGTAGTGCAACCCCTCTCTCGTCCAAAGAATATATATATGTGTGTGTTAGAGGCGCTCTTTCAGTGAGTGACGACAGGGCCACTGGCTATGTATGAGATTCTGCGGAGCTGGCGGACAATGAGATTACCAAGCAAATTGGGGAGGTAAGCGTCACGTGCGCGTCAGGTGCCTCCGGTCACCTCCATGCTAGGCATTTGTCAGCCTCTCGAACTTCCGGGAATAGTGGCTGCACGTGTGTTCTGCATCGCATCTTCATATCATTCATACGATTTATGCTTCTCAGGCATTAGGGAGATGATGCGTTTATTCTGTGTCTGTCCCTATTTTTGCTTCTCGACGACCAAAGCAACGCCTGTCTTTGTATGAGACTTTGAAGGCGAAGAGGAGGAATCCGCACTACCAGAAGCGCTTGAGCTGGAGCTTGGAAGGACGATTTGGCATCAATGAGCCATGCAAATTCTAGGCCATTTCAGAGAGTCTATCCATTTCAGAGAGTCTATTGATCGCTAAAGTCTATATCTATAGAAAGTTTACTATCCCGACCTGCAATTTCCCAGAAGCCCTCCGCTTGACCAACAGTTCATTACGTCGTTACCAGGCGAGCGAGTTGTCATATTCGTCGTTTTCAGCCGCTTAGTTCTGGGCAACGAGAACAGCGCGGTATCGCACCTTGCCCTCAGTCAGTCGACGCATGGCATCGGTCATGCCAGTCTCGTTGAGCGGGAACTTCTCGATCTGAGGGGTGATCTTGTGGCGAGCGCAGAACTGGAGCATCTTTCGCATCTCGGTAGTCGAGATGACCACGGAGCCCTGGATGCGGATGCCCCTGGCAGCGACGTAGAACATGACAAGCTTGGAAGGGTTGAAGTCGACGGTGAGGGGGTAGATGGTGCTGTTGGGGGCCATAAGAGGGATGAGACTAGAGAGAAGTTTGTCAGCACTGGTGATGCGACGCAATCGGGTATCCTGGGGTGTGGGAACTTACGCATCATAGTCGACGGCGGCACTTCCGCAGAGGAGAAGGTGGTTGATGGGCTCCATCTTTCCCTCAAACTTCTCTCCCTGGCGGAAGACATGGAACTCATTGGCACCGAACTTGAGGGCCTCCTCACGCTTGGACTCGCTGCTAGACAGAACGACAACGTGGCAGCCCATGGCGGCGGCCATCTTAATGGCAAGGTGGCCGAGGCCGCCAATGCCCATGATGGCAACTCGGTCAGTGGGCTTGATGCCGTACTGGTCGAGGACGGTCCAGACCGTGGCACCGCCACACATCAGAGGAGCAGCATCTGCAGGGTCGATCTCATCGGGAATGTGGAAGACGCAGCGGGCATCAAGAACAGCACCTTGCGAGAAGCTACCGGTGTCGAAGTCGGTGTAGCCATATGCGACAGCCTTGGAGCAGTACTGATCCCAGCCTTGAAAGTTCTGTCAGTGTCGTGTTTTCAGTTGGCGTGAGTCTGAAGGTACTTACCAGTCAAGCACTCCATACAGTCGCCGCAAACTTGGCGGATGTATCCGAAGCCAACAACGTCGCCAACCTTGTAGCCGGTCACGGCTGAGCCAACCTCCTTGACCCGTCCGATTCCCTCGTGTCCGAGAGTGAGATCGGTGTGTCTGTAGTGAAGGTCGGTGCCGCAAACACCAGAGTGTGTAATCTCGACGAAGACATCGTTGGGCCGGAGTTGTCTAGTGACAGTCTTGCGAACGGGGACCTCGCCCTCGGCTCCGCGATAGGTATCAAAGGTAACCTGTCCGCTCATTTTGGGTATGGTGATGCGATGTGTGGGTGTTTGTGTTAAGGAGGGTGGTTTATTGAGAAGGTTTGGGTCTTCAGATGATTGACTGGATTGTATTATTGAGGCTGTTCTGGATGATTGAAAGCTCCTTTGAAGAGCAGATGCCCGTCTCTTTAATACTTCCAACGAGAGCAATCTCTCGACCCTCAGTTACCCACCAATTTTCATGCAATGCTACTATCAATACAATGAAGAATGAAACAGAAGAGAAAAAAACTCATTCCCATTTGAGCATTACAAACATGCTTCGTAATTATTTCGGACGTCAATCCGTGCCACTGCACCTGTTTCAAGCACACCGGAAGATCCCATCCACGGAAGGAATTCCTGGACGGCGGATTGTCCCGCCTCGAGGAGACCGCAAAGGGTTTAGTGGCCCGATGTTCAGGGGAGAATGTCTCCTATCTGGAACGTTTCTAGAGCAATCCGTCTGCGATAAGATTGTTATCGAAGATTTTTCCTCGGCACAGAGGCGATTCTGTGGGACTTTCGCCACAGTCTCTGACATCACATCCGGCGCCCGATTATATCATCATCTAAAGGCGCAGTTACAACCAATGGCAGAGAATTTTCGGTTCCATACCGAGGTATGAACGAGATTGAGACCCGCTCAAAGGAGATCCAGAATCTCCAGGACGATCAATTCACCTCTGATATTATCTAGCTTTTTCTGGAATTGCCATTGTTTTCCAGGCGGGTGGAATAGTATGCGGCCAGGGCAAACAGGGGGAAAGAAAACACCGCCGGTCTGCCGCTATAAATTCGTGTGTGATGGGCGGCGGTGTTTTCTTTCCCCCCTTTGCCAGGCATGATTGAGTGTGCTTTCCATGCCAACTGGGCCGTCTCTTGGGTATTGTAGGGATTATCAAGGTTATTTAACATCTATCTGACGGACACTTACCCTCCTATAAACGTAAAGCAGCTGTGCGATGACTCTGCGCTGTGCAAGTTGTAGCTTACAGTCCTGATGGCCAATGAAGCTGCATGCTGACTGTCGGTACACGGAGCCTGGCAGCTATTCTATTCCCAGTTGTTGGATTGAATGATGGTTAATGGTTGGACAGACAGCAACACATTACAACCTCTGGAACCTTCTATCAACTTATATCAGTGGATACAAACGAGCCTTTGTAGAGTACGGTCAATTGCGCGTAGTTGTAGTTGCATAGTAGTTTGCACCCATACTCTCTGGAGTTGGCTACCCTAAGTATCCATTTTAGAGGAGTATTTACGAGGTATGGTCACAAAGACACAATGACACAACTATGTTCTTGAAACAGACAACTCCGACCGGACCATTATCCTTCCAGCCGGTTTCGTACTCATCGCATCTTATCTTTTAGCCTAGGGGCGATCTGTTTACTGAAGCAGGACGGTGGATACCAGGCATGGGTCGCATGAAGAGTTGGGAGTTGCAGGAAGTTACGGCAACGATGCAGGAATTGGGGCATTACCGCTTTGCAATAACGTGCAGTATTATTTCGTTTTTCACCTCGTCTAGTAGCTCCTTTACAAGTATTTAGTTTGTAGGGTTGTAGGGTGGCACATTCTGGTCAAGGCCTTATCCTACTGGTCTGAGGACACGCGTCTTAGGTATTGACAAGAGTATGACCAGACGAATGGGCACCTAAGGGTTGTTTACGGCAGAATGCCCTGAAATGTATGGAAAACTAACAAAAAAACCATGTGCCTCGACCGGGGACGCATAGACTAATAGGTATTATAAGCACTCGGCATTGCAAGCCATACGAGTCTGCCTACCTGGACCAGCCCATTAGCATTTTCTGCATGCGCCGCTCCCGTTGTTCTCTAGACTTTGAAATGACGAGTATAATGGTATGAAAGGATCATGAAATAATAACCTAATCTTGTGGCCCTATGTTTAATGTAGTTGGATGAAACAAGCTGTTCAGACGGTGTTCACCTCGATATTGTTGAACCCATTTCAAAACCGCTAAAACTCAAAATCTTCTGCAGATAAATCCTCGATCCCGGTCATAAAGTCTCTGCTGATATCAGTGATAACGCTCCAGCCCGGATCCCAATCCATTGCCGCCGAAGCCGCATACGATATCGACTCGTCCTGCATACAGGCGACTTCATCCGCCCCTGCGAGTCGGCCCAAATTGGCCCTGTCAAATCCACGATGGCTTATATACTCCAAGGAGAATCCATCGAGACTCCATGGGTTTTCCACGGCTGAAATGGCCGCTGGCTGTTCGGCGGAGTTGTACGGAGGCGGTGGAGGAACATCCACTTCGCCGAGGTCATTACTCGCGTGCCCAACCGACCGAGGAATAGCAACATGCCGAGGATTTGGCTGTGTACGGTGAGAGCGTTTGCGAATTACGGCACCGAAGTACGGGATGACGACTTCCCGATCTTCGTCCGACGCGTCTGGCTCTTTGACACTGAGCATCTGAAGCACTTTGCGGCATTGCGCGGCGACCCTGCAGTCGTTTTCAACTTCTTCCGCCATCAACAGTCTGTCGGTATCTGCCACCAGCTCCAGATCTTCCTCCACAGCGTTGGAAGAGCGATATGGGGCGCTGCTGTGGAACGTGCCGATGAGAAGAACAACAGCGGCGGTGAAGCATGCAAAGTCTGTTGTCTTGCACTCGAACAGGCAGTGCCCTGACTTCATCTTGTAGCGTAAGAGCCGATATCTCTCCAAAATCTGCTTGGCTGCCTCTATGCAGGCCATTCTGCTAAAGTAATGCGGCGAGCTCGTAGTAGTCTCTACCAGGAATGGTAGGTGGAGGAATAGCTTGACCCAGTAGAAGTAGAACTGTTGCAGAAGCTGCTCTCTGAGCTCATTGAGCTCTAACGGTTCAAGCGGCTGATCCAAGGTTGTTGGGATGGCCCACCAGTCCTGAGGCTGCGACGACGCAATGCTTTCCATCTCTTCATCCAACTCCATAGCTCTCGCAAAAGAAGGCTTGCTGACGGTCATGTTCCGATCAATAATCTTTCCACAGAGGATGGCGCACCGGAGGACAAAGTAGAAGCCTGGCGCCATTCCGGGAGCTTGGATGATAGACTGATAATGATTGTCGTTGAGCACGTAAGGCAGGCCAAGGAGCATGCTACAGAATCTGTCGCCATGATATATAGCACACCACAGCCTCATCTCGGTACGAGTGTAGTTACTCCCACAGCAGAGGCCCTAATGACGAGTCAGATAGGCCCACTATGGTTCAATGAAGAAGCAAAGCAAGGAGCGACTCACCATAAGCTGCGCTGCGGAAGCACCTTTTCTCCATACGAGCCAAGCTCGTTTTGGCTGGCCACAGTCGGTATACGACTTTGCAAGAAGGATTAGGCATTCAAGTCCCTCTGCAGTTGTCAGATAGTTGATGTCAGAGATGACCAAGTCATCCACCAGAGTATATAGGTAGCGATGCTTGTTCAAACTCCGAGCAAATGCAATGGCCAGAGCACCTATATCAGCCGGGTTGCTGCTCGTATAGGTCCTCTTCGCGAAGGCCTCGATAGTCTGAGAAGGCGCCTCGGAAATGGCATATGCCTTCGAGCGGAAGCTGTCCCACCACGACCCGTTCTTGATCAGAACAGAGATGATAGTGTCATAGCTGGGTAGCATTGAGCGGATGGTAGAGCACACATATGCGGATTTACTGGCAAGAGGTTGGATGAACCAAGGCCTTGGCTTCTGATCTTTGTCCAGCAGTGGAGTGTATGTCGAGCTATTGTAGGCTGTCTGCGTAATAGAGGCTTCATGTGATCCAGTTTTTGATGATGTCGAGAGCTGTGTATAGATGAAGCCATCAATTAGCTCCCACTCAAGGCGCTTGTACATGCATGCGAGTGTATTTCGTTCTCAACTTTGCTTCACTTACCTTGGCATCCACAAGCAGTGACACGATCGGGGCATTGTTTGCTCTCTCCGACACGAGGACATCTGATGTCTCGGCATCCCCACAGAACTTGGGAGGCTGATCTGTAGATATCCCATTCCGGCCTTGAGAGGTTTTGCCATTGGTAGGGCTTTTCCTCGGTGCGCTAGATCTAGGGTCTAGAAGACCGACGTCCTCGTATCCCTGTTCGATACAGCGGCCATCTCGTGACTTGCACAGCACGCAGACGGGTTCCCCCGGGGAAAATACGCAGCGGGTTTTACGTCTTCGGCCTTGTCAAGAATCTCCGTCAATATCTGCGTCTTCACTAGACATGTCACATATTCGTGGGATATACATTCGGCGCAGCTTCGGGTTCCCTTGCGCATCTTCCTCACCCGATGAGGTAGCGGGTTCGCTGTTGGTACGAGAGAAGGCTCCTCCATTTCGGACGAATGGTGATGTGTGGGTTGCGACGAAACTCGGTAGCTACGGCTACTGCGGGATAATTGAGTTGTAGCGCAGCAGAAGCCTGACTCAAGGAATTCGGTCGCTTTTGGTGCGTGATGATGATATTAGAAGAGGAACATTCTTGTCCGATGGACGAAGGGCTCAAATGTTCATCCATTTAGCTGTGCGGACGTGAACCGCCAACTACTAATATGTCACGGACGAACAACGACTCTGCTCAGCACGGGGGTACTTCAATTAACGACTGATTATTATCGAGTATAAAGTACCTTTCCTCACAGGCGTTTGATAGGCTTCCGTCTACCGATACGGACAGAATAACTGAGCCGAGAAATCGAGCGGCCGCGTACGGGAGATTATATGCGCACACACTATCCGATGAATTTTGCAGCCATTTACAGTGTATCCTTTTCATTTTGTATGTGCACAAACGGCTTACTCCCGAGCTTTCTGTCCGCCAGCTGAGTGTGTGTCGGCTCCGAAGGGCTAAAAAGGGTCTAAGGCGATTTTCGTCCGTTCAATTCGTCCGGTTTTTGGTCCCTGATTGAAGACACGCAAGCCGAATTCTCTTGGCCATGGTCGGATGTAGAATTACGGCATCACGAAATGCTCAAGTAATCCGAACGAATAGTAAACATGAGGGATCAAAGTCAAAGAGAATGTCTTCCCGGCATGCAGCGAAGAAGATATATAATCCCCTCAGGTTCATCTCCTTGAACTCGACTTGACCATCACAATTCCAAACACTTGCAAGCCTCATATAGCAACACTATTCATTAAATCCCTTTGGAGAGATTTACCAAACTACTCAATATTCTCAACACCATAAGTAAAACATCTCGGGATAACATGGCCCCTCAAGTTTTCCTCGTCACTGGATCCACATCCGGCATTGGGGCAGCCTTGGTGGAACACATTCTCGCTCGCGGCGACAAAGTCATCGCAACTGGCAGAAAGGTCGAAGAGAAGCTCGGTCATGTCAAGGCTGGATCGGAAAACGTTGCCCTGTTGGAGTTAGAGGTCACTGCCGGCTTCGAAGAGATCAAGGCCAAAGTCGAGACGGCCTGGAACATCTTTGGCCACATTGACGTCGTGATGAACAATGCTGGCATGTCCGCCATGACCGCCATCGAAGATGCAAAGTACAGAGATCTACTCTCCCCGGGATAATTACTGAGGCCTATGTACTGACTATCTATTTACAATAGCGATGCATATGTGCAAAACATGTTCTCAGTTAACCTCTTCGGCCCGGTTCACATCACCCAGGCTATTCTGCCCCTGTTCCGAGCCCAGGGCCACGGCTGTGTCGCATTTACTTCCTCCAGCTCAAGTTGGATGGCTCTTCCCACCATGTCCCACTACTCAATGACCAAAGCAGCTCTCAGCGCCTTTGCAGAATGCCTTCACAAGGAGGTCAGTGACCTGGGCATTCGCAGTGTTGCTTTTGATTGCGGCGGCTTCATCACCAACCTCATGCAGCCTCGTGGGGAAGCCCGCGCCGCTCCGGCGGGTGCTGGTCCTTCCGATGCATACAAGCCGCTGTTTGGAAGCATTATCGGCATGTTTTCGAACGATCCCATGAGTCTCATGCCGGGATCACCCGCCAAAGCAGCTTCCACCATGATTGATGTTGTCAAGGGAGAGGGAGTTGCAGTCGGCCGACCTTGGGCTGTCCGAGTTGTGTTGGGCTCGGACGCTTATGACAGCGCAGTGAATCGACGACAGGAGGAGCTCAAGCTGCTCAAGGCTTGGCAAGCTGTCAGTGAGAGCACTGATGAACGAAAATTTGAGCCTCGAGAGGATGTTCGCAAGTTTAGCAGAGTGACTGGTGTAGACCAGCTCTGATTCGCCCGATTCTACAATGTCATGTTGGCTATAAACACATAACCGACGGCATATGCTTAGCACATTTGATGACTTCTTGATTTGATAGACATGATTTGAGTGTGTTGCAAATAGAAAAGAGTAACGGTACTGAACTACACATTTGACTGCGTTGATCGCTGATGTCTGTCAGTGTCTGCTACACCGGGCTGCAGAGTGGGCTGTAATGATTTATTGAAGTAGTGACTGTATGCTATCTATTTAGATAGAATCGCCCTGAAATATTGTTTTCTTCTTCTTTTTTATGTATTTTCCTCGTTTTAGTTTTGTAAGCGAAGAGATTGGACTCCACAGATACCAGTGAAGATTCTGGACCTTCTGAAGACCGATCGAAGAACATTATGTCAACATCTGTAGAGACTGTTGAGAAAGAAATGAAACTCAAGCTTTTGCTTGATGGTGAGACCCGGCGATGCTTCCATCGGGATCGTAGGCCGCGAGAGAATCTTTCCTGGGAGCGGTACTAGCCCCGTCAGTAGTCGTCTCCACGGCTAATGACCTCCTTCACGGTAGGTCTGAGCAAAATCGTCTGGTTCAGTTGGTCAGTGGCCGAAGAGGATGCATAGAGGCAATGAGTACTTACATGCTCGAATTGGGCCGTATAGGACCCTTTCTTGTCGACCAAAGGCGGATAAGCTTCCACGATGCCCGATTTTACAAGAGTGTTAAGCTATCGAACTGTTAGCCACTCCAGCAGGATACACACCTTGGGAGAGCGATGCCATACACCGAGGAGATACTTTTCTTGTCCAATTCTATCCAAGTAGCGTCGGCAAAACGGAATCGTGTGGAAGTTCTTCTTGATCACATTCAACAGTGACTTAGCCGAAGACAAGCGCAAGTCCACATTAGGCGCATCTGCGCGCAGGGCATAATGTGAGACGTCGCCTTGATCGTAAACCCGGCCGTTGCCAGTGCTGCCAAAGGTCTCAATGGCAAAGATATCACCCTCTTCCATTTTGGTCATGTCGTCTGACTTTACGGCTGGGATGCTCTTGGTGCCGTGGATGCGATACGGCAAGATCGTATGACCGCCTATGTTGCGAATCGACTTGATTGGGTAGGTTGTTCCGTTGATCTCGCATTCGTAGCTCTCCATGGCTTCTTGGATGAATCCGCCTAGTTCTCCGAGGCGAACATCAATTCCGGCCTCACGGACGCCAGTGTTCGTAGCGTCTTTGACAGCTGCCAGCAGGTTGTCGTACATGGGATCAAAGGCCATTGTGAATGCGCTGTCCACAATACGGCCATTTACATGGACGCCAATGTCAATTTTCATGACATTATTCTGCTGAAGGATAACTTTATCGCCTGCGTTTGGACTGTAATGCGCAGCAATGTCATCAATGTTCAACCCAGTCGGGAAGCCCATGCCGGCAATAATAGAGTCACCTTCAGTCAAACCATCGTGACCGAGTAGACGCCGCACACTGTCTTCGATGCCGTTGGCGATCTCAGTGAGGGTCTGACCCGGCTTGATGTTTCTCTGGGCCCATTGACGGACCTGACGATGAGTTTCGGCCGCCTGGCGGTAATCAGAGAGAAAGTCGCTGTTGAGATTATCAAGATGACGTTTTTCTTCGTCAGTTGTGCGATAGAGGTTGTCGTTTTTATACTCGACCTCTTCGCCCTTGGGGTAGTTGCCCTTTGGAAACAACTTGGAGACAAGGATTGATGGAGGCTCCGTCTGCACTAGAGCCTTCTTCTTCTTGTTCTTCTTCTTCTTGTTCTTCCGCTTCTTTGTGTCACCACCCTCACCGGCAGCAACCGTGATCAGTGTAAGGTGTTGGTCTGGATCGTCATCTGAATCATCACCAGACTGCTCGGCGGCGTTTGCTTTAGCGGCTCCGTTAGCACCGGCAGCGTTGGCCGCCTTTCCAGAGGCTTGAACTATTCAAAACATTAGCATGCTCACCAGCAGTTTGCTCTCACCAAGGCCTAACAAACCATTCGGCCCCTTGTGCTCGTCGTTGGGAGTCTTGGCAGCCATCTCGTTGATGGGAATATTCCACTCTGCGTTGCGTAATCGAAAATTCCCGAGGTTGGCATCTGCATCTTTAAAGACGACGGCTTAGCCTTGGCGATGTAATTCAAAGGGCGCGGGGTTTGACGAGAATGCACCAAGGCGGGAATCAAACCAACCCAGGTATATGCAGCCATAGAGGGATTGCATCTAGCGGGCTTGGTACATGACAAGAGAACATACGTAGATAACTCGTTTGTCTTCGTATATGGCGAAGAAAGTTTGGTGCTGTGCTGGTATCGTGTTGAGGTTGCTGCAGATATGGAGATAGCAGCATGAGAAGTCCCATCAGCATAGCTAAGGAATTCACAGGCCATAGCGGACAACGAGCCAATATGGCGCTTCATTTAGCTTCGCTTTGCTTCCCTTGCCCTCTACAGAAGCAACCATTTCCATTCACCTGTCGCTAGAATTATAGATTTCTCTACTGGTCAGTGTAGAAATAATATTGTCCGTCAATACATTCCCGCTGTGTGTATCATGGCTTGAAGATAACCTTCTGGACCTTCATTTCATCAAACAAGGCATAGCCTTGTACAGCGTCATTAAGCGGCATGATGTTTTCAAACATGAAGCTGCCATTTCCAGTCAGTCGCATTCTGATGTACGACAGGGGAGTAGGGTGGATGGCTTACCCAAGCAGGTGCTGCTTCTTCTCAAGCAGAACAAGTGCCTCGGAAAAGATGCTACGAACTGGACATCGGCCCATTTGTAGGCGGAGGTTTTTGCTATACACCATTCGGTCAGGCATGAAATCAATTCATCTTCGCAGAACGGAAAGTTTAACGACCAAAGGTACTTACCCATATGCCTCGCTCCCAGACCACGGAATCTAGCAATCATCAGCTCAACGTCAACGACAGTTCACTCTGCCCTGGGTACATACCTCTGCATTGTGGACACCAATGCTACTAATCACCCCAAATGGCCTCACAATGTCAAAAGCTGTCCTTAAGGCTGGCGAAAGTCCCACCACCTCAACGCACAAGTCTGCGCCTCTCCCATCGGTGACTCCCAAGATTCTGGCCAACATTCCCTCCTTGTCTTTGGCAAAGTTCAGGGGCTCCGCACCAAGTTGCTTCGCCTGCTCAAGTCTGCTATCGACACTGTCAATTGCAAACAAATGCTTGGGCTTCAACTCGGCCGCCGCAACAATCGCACACAGACCAACGGGACCGCATCCAATAACGACCATGGTGGACTGCTGGACGCTGAGGGTAGGCGGCGCAAGGCTGAGTGCCGACTTGACGCCAAAGAAACCAGTTGGAAAGATGTCCGCCATGAGAATGAGAGCCTCATCAGAGATGGATGGGGGCGCTTTAGAAACTGTTCCATCTGCTAGGGGGACGCGAACATATTCGGCCTGGCCACCATCGAGCTTGGCCGATCCGAAAAGCAGGGACTTCTCGCAACGTGCAGTGGCATCATTGAGGCAGAAGAAACATTTGCCGCTGTCAAAAGCGTAAGTAACAGCAGCATATCAACAGGCTAGGAAACTTCGGCGAGCGAGATGAGCTCGAGCTGAAGCGAAGGCCCGAGGAACATACCAGGATGCTGTGAAGGGAGCCACGACTTTGTCACCAATCGCTACTGACTTGACCGCCGGGCCTGTAGCTACCACAGTGCCAGTGAATTCGTGCCCCATGATGAATCCAGTTCCTGACGGTTGGTGACCACGATAAACATGCAGCTCGCTGATATGGTCAACCCGTGTTAGCCATTTACTCAATCTCTCAAGGGAAGCAAACTTACGAGCCACAAAGAGCAGTGGCGCTCACTTTGACGATGACATCTTCATCGTCCTTGACTGAGCGAGGTTACAGGCCGTTCAAAAGAATAATTCTGGGGACATCAGGCTGAAGGAGCGTACTCTGGGGGACTGGCCGGTCTTGGACAGAGATGCTGCGGGGTCCGTCGAAGACGACGGCCTTCATGGTTTGCGGGAGAGTCATTTCAGTGACGATGGCAGGCAGCTGCTGAGAAGAAAACAGCCGTGAAGAAGATTCCTCTAAGGGTATTACAAGAATCGTCTCGCCAGGGAGGGGTTCAATATATATCCTGAGGCGCCGACGTCAATATGGGTCGAGACGTGGCATTGTTTCCCCACAGTTTGCCCTCAGCTCGTTCGACCCCCTCCGCCATTGGGGACGAAGCGGGCACTACATGTAGAATGGTAACACAACCGCTACCGAGGGTCGGCCCAAAGACCGAAAATACAGACAGCTTATCTCTAAGTGGCAAAGACGACGAATCAGAGGCTGCATACGGTATGCGCCATGAGTTGTTGCAACTCCTACCTCTCAGCATCACTGTGATACAAAGTAGGTAATAGTATCTGCCCCATTGGATCTGGAGATTATATACGTGAGAGGTAAAGAGGGCAATCGTCATGCTGTTGTCAGCCCAGCCACTCCAGCGTCAACCATTTACCTTACTCAACCTCCTTCCATATCATCTCCAGCTGGAACATTTGCATCCATTCGTCCATCCGATTCGCATTTGCGAAGCCAGCCTGCATGTTGTTAAACATTTGCGCGCCCTGCGCTCCCTGCTCAGTGGCATACCAGCCTAGCTGACTGTTGCCGTGAAGGTGCCCATCCACGGCGCCAGACACAGACGCGAGTCCATCCATGCCGTTGTACATGACGCTCAAAAGTCCCTGATGCATGGCGTTTTGCATCTTCAGACGCTTCATATCGCGGATGAATTGCATCTGAGGAACGGTTTGCGTGTATGTCTCCAATCTCTTCGCCGCAAATTCGACAAACTCGGCCAGTTTGGCATCTGACTCGGGTGATCCGGGGGGACCAGCATCGCATACCTGGAGCCACATGGTGCGCATCCGCGACGACCATATCTGGCAGATTTGGGCACGTTCATCATACACTTTCTTGAGAGTGACAAAGCTGCCCAGTTTTGTGTCCATGACGAAGCTCAGATAGCAGTCCTGGCAGAACAGAGCATTAGGATATCCCCACCAGTTGCCCTTTTCAACGGTCTTCAGGCCGGGACAAACTGGAACTGAGGCAAAGGTCCGAACATAGTCGATGTAGTAACTGAAGACTCCCTGATCCAGTGACTGGGCAAACTTTCTGAGGTATTGGCGGAATCGAGGGCTAGCAACGCAGAAATCGCAGACGAGCGTTGCCTCGGGATCGCGCTTTGCAGGCTCAAAAAACTGGCTGACGCCGCACGTCTTGACTATTGAAACATAACAGCTCTCACACACGTCAAAATTATCGCATCCTCCCTGGATCGTCCACCAATTGCCGCGGATAATACCGTGCACCGTGCAGGGCGGGAGTCGACAGGCGACCTCTGCCGAGCTGGCAAAGACGGAGAAGTTGCGTTGATCAATGGCATTCTCCATAGCCCATACCAGGTTGAAGTACTTGGAGTCGCACAGTTTGCATGACCATATCTGGGTCATGTGTTCGAAGTAGGCGTCAAAACCTGTACCCATATTGTACTTCTCGAACTCGTTCTCAAACCGTGTCATACCAGCTCGATCTAGATAGCATGCCTCGCAAGCTCTCATGTTCTCGATCTGGCGGCGTGGCATGTACCAGTTGCAGCTGTTTGACTGGATCTCCTGTCCCTCGCATTTAGGCAATGAGAGACGGCGAGCCGCCTCAGCAACAAAGGCAGCCCAGTCGTTCCGCTTGGCTAGCTTCACAACGGCTCGAGAGATGTATGGCACGGCGAGGTCGCAAGACCAGTTCTCGCCGCCCGGCTGTTCTCGATATGGAGAGAACCTGCTCTCAAATGCTGTGCCTACTATCCGGTCTTCATAACAGGTCTCGCACGAGATGAAGCCATTGACCTCACTGGCTGCCATACCGAACCATTTGATACCATCCGAAGCGGGAGTAGGGTCACGCCCTTTGCATGTCTTCACATTGAGACGCTTTTCCATGAATGCACGCAGTGCATCCAGATTGCTGGTTCGAACAGTCTCTGGCCAAATGACTTCCTTGACCCTTGGAACCCAGAAGCAACAAGACGAGTAAAAGTGATCAGGCCGCTTGATCTTCTCAAATTTGTCTGCCAGCGGTGTAGTTCGAATGTGATCGGCATGACATTTTGTACAGATCAAGAAGTCCGGATTGTCCGGCAAGCGATACCAGTAAAGCGAATAATCCACTGCCCTCGCTTCTGGGCAATATGTGATGACTTCAAGCGGCGTCCCAGAAGCACGAATGGGAGGCGGAGGACGAGGGGCATCGTCATCCAAGATCCTCACAAAGGGCTGGGGTGCTGTATTGGAGTTCACGGGGCCCATATTGAGGGTGCTCATCTGCATATACAGACCTGCCATGGGATCTTGGGAATGCGTCGTGGGAGGCTGACAGACCTCGAGCGGAGACGAAGGAACTGGCGTGGCAGCATTGCTTGTGATCTGAACTGGTGAGCTGTGAACCGGCTGAGACGAATACGCCGGAGAAGACGGTGGAGAAGCCAGAGCTAGTTCGGCAGGCGTCCCCGTTTGTTGCGCATTGGGGGCTGCGACAGGCCTGCGAGGAACTAGATGCTGACTGATGTGTGTTTCTGATGCTGGTGAAGGCTCCGGGTGCTCATTCCGTGCTGATGCTGCCTCCGCTGCTGGAGCTGGAGCAGGAGCTTGTGGTTGTTGCCCTGCTGTTGTTGGGGGAGGAGAATAGTAATTGTTTGAAGTGTCCCGAATTGGAGGCCGAGTCGATGGTGGTGGGACAGGGGGGGGGAACAGGTGAGGCTACGTATGCCGTTTGTTGCTGAGATGACGATGGAACCGTCCCATGTGTCGCAAAATGCCCTGGTGGTGCAGGCTGCTGTGACGGGACAGCGGACAGAGTTGGTGGTAGACCTGGTGCAGGACGGATCTGATGGTATGCTGAGCTTTCCACCGCGGCGCCCGGTCCCGGTGCATACGAAAGCGGTGTGTATGGAGCAGGGGGTGGAGGGCTTTGGTAGTGGGAACTCGGTTGTGGAATATACTGGGTATGAGAAGCTTGAAATTGATGGTTTTGAGCTGGGTTATAAGGCGGATGCGGAGTGTAGTTCGTTGGGCTCTGCTGAACCGGGGGCCTGGCTGGAAGAGGCGGTGGTGGAGGATATGGCTGTGATGGAGATTGCACCGGCGGAGACGGATAGGCTTGAGATGGACCCTGTAGAGGAAGGGTATAAGGATGAGATGGATTCTGAGCTGAAGGGGGAGGATACGCTTGAGATTGGCTCTGGGGAGGAGGGGGGTAGTAGTGAGACACAGGCGTTACTGGGCCAGGAGCTGTCGATGCCGGAGCATGTGAGTAGCCAATGTATCCAGACGGCGGCGGACCTGGAGGCGGAGGGTAATATGGTACCGGGGCAGCCGTAGTTTGATACGACGATGCCGTTGGGTGCCCGTACGGGGGTTGTTGCTGAGGGTTCGCAGTTCCGTACGGATACTGAGCGTTGCTTCCGTATGTTTGCGCTGGAGGGGTTGATGGAGGCATCGACGCGTTACCGCTCCCATTCCGAGGAGGAACCGGTGGTGGCTGATGATAGCCGGACATGATGTCTCAAGTCTATGTAGGTGATCGCTGCTTATGATACGGTCTAGCGTCAATGCCCTTTCGCAACAGAGAGTTTTGCAAGCAACCCTTTAGGTCCCCGAAGTTTTTCGTCCAGATGATGGGGACTGACCATCCTGAGAGATTAAATACACTAGCTTCGTCGGGGACAGACGTCGAAACGTCGAGTCTGGGCCTTCTGTATTACGAAAGGGTGGTTCAGCTGCTGCTCAGCCTCCGGCGGGGAAAACGCACATGCAGATAGAACTGCTTCTCGTAGACTCCGGCGAGGCTCCCACGCCCTTCCGATCATGATTGAATAAGCCTCGCCAACACGTGGATGCAGGGAATTAGCCTGCTTGCACGCGGCACTAGCATCCATAAGGATTCGGAGAGTTTTCATGTATTCAATCACCCAATTGGGACGAGAAGCTGGGTGGGAAATCGTCCTCTGCTGTACTACACGTATTCGATATCGAAACCTCAGACCAGGTCCGATACCATGCTGAAGGGTGGAAATGCTGGATCCCCAGACTTTGTGTGGTCTACCCCGCCACAAATGCAGGGACTTTAAAGCTTCGTGGACTCATAGCCATCTTCGAGCGTCTCTTTTTATCACCAGAATTGGCATCTAAAGAGTCCATCTCGCGCCGATGGATTGTCTATGCGCTTCCAAGATCATGCGGGTATCACGTCCGTTACACGGCTGGTAAACTGCCCCTCGATTTCAGCTCTGGTGGAAAACGAGACTTTACTCGTCGGCGCCACTTCTTCGAGAGACGGGCGAGCCGCGGGGTGGGGGAGGCAGACTGATGAGCTATCGGTCCAATTAATCTGTCACACTCTTAAAATGGCGAAAAGAAAAATATTAGACGTCGGGTATTGATGGGAACAGCCAGCTTTTCTCGTTTGTCCATTTTCAAAAGGGTAAGATAAGGATCTGACGCAAGATAAGATGCAAGATTAGATAACTGTGGGCGTCAGTCGCATCCTCGGCTGGCCCATAGGACACAACAGACGGCTTGTCCCAAGCTCGCGCGATATTCAACGGGTCACACATATCTTCAAATGCGTGCTTGGTAGCAGGGTATAAGGCATACATACTTGGATGACAACGTGCTTCAGCGTTATGTAATTCACCTTGTTCTGCCACTCCAGGCCTGGCTTTTCAGGAAAGGCAGACAGTGAAAAAAAAAAAAAAAAAAAAAAAAAAAAAAAAAAAAAACTCCTACCACATTCAGTGACCGCAAGGAGGACACTCTAGCAGACTCCAAGTAAGTGTCCAAGCCGCTGATAGGGAAGATAGCTTAATATGAGGGAGCATCTGCGACAACCTCCTGGTTCACCGGACGTAAACATGCTTTTCACATGGGCGGATAATGTAATACTTTCATGAGATATTATAGGTAAAAGAAGTGGTCAAACAGCAATGAAGGCGGTCCAGGGTTTCAAGATGCCTAACTTCAGAGAATTCTAGCGCATATAGCTCCACAAGTTCCGTCCCATCTTGTAAGGCAATAGATCTCAAACAAAATGTCTGTTTATCCTGTCTACATCTCCACCACTTTTCCTCCTTGAAGACGTCGCTTAAGATCTCCGGGATGGAATCCACCACATGCGTTAAATCCGAGAGATCTGTGGCCTCAAATTCTCCTAGGTGAACAAAGCGCGTCAGTGAATTCCATTCATTCCATTTAATCTTGGCTCCTCCTGACATTTGTAAGACATGAATGGAGAAGCATGCAGCAAGTTGTCATATCGCGTGGCTCGAGGTGAATTCTAGCGGCGCTTCTCAAACCACAATGTGCCAATCAGAACAAGGCCTTTGCCCAACCGCTCCAGCGTCCCTTTTTTATACCATGGAGATTATATGTCCGAGCAACAGTGCTTGAACACACCAGAGCCATTCTGATGGGCATTTTGTTGGGCCGAAATGTAGGCTGGCAACTTTCATCCTGAAGTCCGAAAAATTTTCACAATCGCCGATCAGTCTCGCATATAGTAGATAGGGCTTGATGTCCACCTACCAAAGTCATGGCGTTGTCGTCGGCGTTAGGCTGGGAGCCCTTTACTAAGCGGCGCAAAACGAGATCACTGCAGATTGCGACTGCTGTCTCCATATGACGGGGTTCATCTGATATGATTACTTGGTAACATCAGATAGAAGTCTCAGCTTTATGAGACAATCGCCGACAACTCCAGTAGACCCAGCCTTGTGTTAGAGGGTAGGGTTATGTGATGGGGACTACAGGCAACGGGGTTTAAGCAAGTGGCAGCGCTTCTGACATCAATGAGAATGTCTGGGACGGAGAGTATAATCCTATGTGATTCCGCTCATATAAAGAGGGCTCCTTGCCCGATGTGAGGCGAAGGAAGTATCAAAAAGCACTCAGACAAAGAAGAAGACAGCAATAACCAGCTACTTATCTCGTGAAAATGTCAACCGACTACAAGTTCGAGGGATGGATGGGCGACGACGCCTCCTCCGCAGATGGGAAAATGGTCTGGAGAGAGTTCGAGCCGAAGCCCTGGGAGGAGACTGATGTTGACATCAAAGTCACGCACTGTGGAGTCTGTGGTTCAGACCTGCACGTTCTGCGATCAGGATGGGTGAGTTTTAGCTCTTCGTTACGAGACTCCTTGGTGTGAAGCAAGCACAATCATCTGACTCTCTGTTGCTGCCCAGGGTGCCACCGAATACCCTTGTGTTGTTGGACATGAAATCCTCGGCATTGCCGTTCGCGTTGGCTCCAAGGCCGTGAATGGCATCAAAGTTGGCGATGTTGTCGGCGTCGGTGCTCAGGGCGATTCGTGCCTTGGCCGCGACGGACCTTGTGCCCCTTGCAGTGAAGGCTTGAATCAGTACTGTCCCAAAGCCATTACCACATACAATGCCAGGCATCGCAACAATGGCAAGGCTTATGGTGGCTATACCACGTATCACCGAAATCCTTCTCACTTTGTCTTCAAGATCCCAAGCGGTCTGGCCCCTGAATCTGCTGCTCCTCTGCTGTGCGGAGGAGTTACGGTGTACTCGCCGCTCAAGTATCACGGCGCAGGCCCCGGCAAGAAAGTCGGTATTGTCGGTATCGGAGGTCTTGGCCATTTTGCTGTGCTGTTTGCCAAGGCATTGAATGCAGATGAGGTAGTCGGCATTTCAAGGAAGGAAAGCAAGAGGGCGGATGCGGTCAGCTTGGGATGCGACGACTACATTGCGACAGGTGATGACGCAGACTGGGTGAAGAAGAACCAGGGGCGATTTGATCTCATCATCTGTACCGCTTCATCTGACAACGTATGTGCAACGGATGGATCGTGTCCATCACTTCTGGCCTTGTGCTAACCCGTGAAACTGACAGATGCCTTTTAACGAATATTTGGCCCTATTGAAGTACGGAGGAACGCTTGTCCAGGTTGGCGTCCCAGAGGGCGCTATCCCTCTCATGCCCTTCAGTCTCATTTCCGGCCGCAAGAGCGTCACCGGCTCAAGCATTGGTACCCCTGACGAGATCCGCGATATGCTTCAGCTTGCCGCCGATAAACAGATCAAGCCATGGGTGGAGCAGCGACCCATGAAAGACGCGAACCAGACACTCAGGGACCTGGAAGCCGGCAAGCCGAGATTCCGTTATGTCTTGGTGAACGAGTGGTGAGGAATTCGACAATTGCGGGATCCAAAGGCGGATGGGAGATTCACCGTTTGGAAAGTGATCAGCAGGTATTGCCGGTTTGGTTTTGCGATAGACTGAATTTAAGCTACATTAGAACTTCACCCATTGTAAACGCCGCCTAATCTAACGTGAATATTATAATGATGCTGCCTGCTACCACAAATTGGTGGCCGACGCTGCACAGCAGCAGAATAAGGACTTTTGGTCACACTTGTGCGATGTGTTGACTGACATCACTGGTCACGCAGACACATGTCCAGTTGCCGGGACTTGAGCTCCTTCAGCAAGAGCTCTTCCATGACACAACTCCTCATAGACGCCCACCAGCATCTCTTTGGCGACAATAGGATACGTGCAGCGCGATAGAAGTGAAACAAAAAGATGAGAGCCCGCGAGTCCCCATTTATCATGAACTTGGAGAATGGTCCGCAACAGAGAATGGGAAATCCGTAGAAGAGCTGCTCGATATCTGCCTCTTCTGGCATGAGACCAGGGCCGGCTGCTCCGTCTGATGCCAATTTGAGAACTGCACAGCATAGCAGAGGCGATATCCGGCGTAAAATATTTTGGAAAGCTGAGCGAGCAGAGTGTGACGAGCCTGGCTTGTCGACCGAGATATAGTTAGTCGTGATTCGTACGACGGCGTCCTTGATATGCCCTAGCTTGTTCTTCTCATCATGCCCATCCGACGTCGAGTTCGAAGTACAGGGCATGGAGCTCCGACATGAGAGCTCTGCCTGCAGCCCAAGAAGAAGACGCCAAGCAAAGGATGTATGCCCAAGGACATCCGCCTCGGTCGCTGCGCCGCCGTAGGTCGCATAGCGTGGATCATCCCATATCCTCATAAAGGGTTCTACAAAGCGTGCCGGATCTTCACCTCTTTCGACCAAGGCCTCGTCTATGCTAAGCCTTGGATTCTGATGGATAATATGGGTAAAGATGCTTTCCTCGTCGACGAAGATGGGAATGGCTTGAAACCACACTTGAATGATACCCGGGCTGAGGAGAAACAGCTGGTCTTGGGCGAGATTCAGATTCTCACCATCTAGGAAGCCAAGGTCGAACCACGAGATGTAATTAATAAGAAGAGCCGTTCCCATTAATGCCTCGCAGTTGCCTTTTGTGAAGGGCCGTGATAAATTCCTGCGAAAGAGCTGGACCGCCTTGGCCATTAGCTGAATGGATGCATGTGCGTATTTTTCGACCTGTGGACAGAGGGACATGAGATGCATAGCGGCAACAGACAATATTGCCGACATGATGAAGTCCTCCTGTAGCAAGTTAGCCTAGGCTTCACTGACCCTTATGGGGCAACTGTACGTGAAATGCCTGCTGCATGACCACTGGCCATATTTGGGGGAACGCGAGGGTCGATCGAGTTTCTTTATCCCAGTGATGGAATAGCTCGAGATGCAAGAGGCTTATTGGATGATTCATGCCCATCTCCCAGTGGGCGCTTAGAGGAATGGACAGACTCGGGGCAATCACATGTTGACGATATGGTGGCAGGCAGTCGATGTTGCGTTTAACGCAGCTGGCGCAAGGAATACGTTCGTCACACTACACGGCAGATCGTTAGAAGGGTACAACATTCGCCGCGTACGAGGCACACCTCAGGGGCGCACCTTGACTCTTCGTCGCTTGCATGCGATACATCCGCGACGGCTCTTGTTATGGGGGCGCTTCTTGCGAGACTGGCCCGCGGCTCCGATGGTCTGGAGCGTTGGGACTTGGCCCGCCTCTCGAGAGACTAAGATGGTGTTGGTAAAGAGGCCGGTGGTATCAGACATTGGATATACACTGAAACGGTGGGATGGACGAGCATGAAAAGAGTAAACGAGGTTGCGGCAAGGAACGAGAAGGGAGAGTTAGTCGAAACCAGCCACTGGGTGGAGAGTGGCTGAATTGGATCATGCTGTCAAGCGGCTCGGCGGGGCGGAGCTGAAGTCTCACGGATCCTGATCTCGCATTCCCGATCGAGAATGCGACGTCGGTTTGGCTGGGATTCAGAACAGGGGATATGTAACTCCGTGAAAACGGTTCATAACACAGCACTGGTGCATCGCACGGCAACCTATAGTTGGACCAAAAGAGAAGTGCTGGTGACTACAAAAGTCTTTGGCGCCTCTTTGTCGACAAGGCATTGGATTGCATTTGCGTTTGAGCGCACCTTGCCCTCTCATCCTCTTTAAGTATACATAAATCACATCGCGGTTTGCCTCTTCGAGCATTGTTCCATTGGCGGCTTCAGAAACTCTTATTGTGGGCGGCGCATATCCGAAATCTGGCAATGCCTTCGAAACAGCGCTCGAAATCACAGACGGTGTTGCTCGTAGTGCCATGGACATGGACATAGACATGAATCTGCGTAACCACGCCATCGACAGGATTAGCAAAAGTGAAATTGACAACTCTTATTAGCCGCCGCTTAAGAGGAATCCAGCGTCAAGAGCGCTACTATCGAGTCTTCTATTGCTGCGTGCGCATGCACTTGCCAACTTGCCGCGACTGGGACGCCCTACAGAATTGTCGAAGAGAGTTGGAGCGTCGTAGCTCTTGACTAAACGGCCCAGCGTTTGAATGGTTAAGGGGACGCGTGGTGGCATTGATGTAAGCATCCCATACGGAGCCTCTAAAGCGTATGCGGAGTACGAGACGTCTGCGTTGGTGCGATGAGCAAAAGCCGTCGCACTCATACACACTCGAGTCGTGCCAGCCGTCAACTTTGGCACCTTTATATCTTCCGAGGATCCGGGCTATCGCAATACGTTCGCACTTGTTGAAGCTGCTGTTAAGGATGTTCTGCTGCGCCGTTGATTTTGCCACCGCAGTGGTGCATTGGTGTCAAGATTCACCACTGCCGCAATTGGGCGCCTTGACACTCGATAATGCGAGGGACAAACGGCCTCTTCCATTTGCAGAGAGGTTTTCCTGGACAAATTCTCTCGGGATTTTGCATGGGCGGTTCCCGTATTAGATTAAGCCGGAGTCTGTCGTGGAGGCAGCTGTCGACGCTAGCAAAGTGGAGAAGAAACGCAGGCTCGAAGTGTTGAAGAAGCTGGGTCAATCAGGATTCACGCCATTGGAGGATACTCTTGTGAAGGCTGTGAATACTGTCATCGCAAGCCAGTCTAAAAACTGGCCTTAGATAGGAATGTTCTTCATTACGAACTCCTAGCTAGCTGAAAGCTGCAGGGAACCAAGAGGACTTCACGGGCATTTGCCAAGATTGGCACTGGAGAGACGTCGTAGATCTTTTTTATTTACAGAGTTCATCAACCAGCTATGTACGTAAAGCATATCAAGGAAGACTCGCTGTGGAAGCCGTCCATAAATTGATAGTCATTATCATCAAGAGAGACTGACATCTCGTCCCGGTTCATGTACAAATGTCGCTACTTAGCAGTGAGCAGGGTTGCTGGGGTAGACGTGGTTGGTGTTGCATGTGTTGGGCGCAACGAAGAGAGGAGTGGCTGGTAGAAATTAGTTATGTCCTTCATCTCTAAGTGTCTGATGAATTAACTTACTGTCAACACCGTAGTTGGTGGGAGGGTTGCGGACAATGGAGTAGCGGCCGCCGAAAGTGAGGTTGTCCTCACAGTTGATCTGATTCTGGCCGCCGTTGACGGTGGGGGAACCAGTCCAGATGTCAATGTGAGGTTGACCGTTGGCCCAGTCAGTGGCTGTTGTAGGAATTAGCAGTCGTTCAACAAGTATCGCCTCGAACTACTTGGAAAGGTTCACGTACTGCACTGAGCGCAATCGTCCTCATATCGACCATACTTGGTCAACAAGGGGAGGTAGACAATCTCGCAAGGGTTGAGCTCTCCCGGAGCCGTGGCAATGGTGATTGGGTCGGCATAAGTTCCGGTACCTGGTCAACTGTACATTAGACGCGATCATTGCTTGTCGGTTGATTATCTGCAACAGAGACTTTACTCACCACCAGCTTGGAAGTTACGACCACCGCAGTTATGCGCAGTCGCAGGTCCGGGGGGAGAATTGTCGGGATATCCATAGAACGTAATGATATAGTTTCCAGGAGTTGAGCATGCCTGGGTGATGCCGGCGATGGCAGAGCCGATGATGAGGGCGGCGACGGACTTCATGGTGGCGGCTTGGAAGATCTGGCTAAACAAACACACTTTTGAATGGCAGTTCAGTTACTCACAATGGCATCCAAGGTGGAAACAACCGACCCTTTTATCATATCCTGAAGTGTAAGTCTTCTGGTTTCCGCCGCCGCCTCGTGGTGCGGAAAGGGGGTTATACTACTAGGGTAATCGGATGCCCATCGTTACGTGGACGGACCGATAGGAGACCATTTCCACCTGTTCTAGAAGCAATGCTCTCTGTACCGGCGCAAAGAAGGAGTAACTCCCTAGCCGGACGTCTTCGCAATGCCGCCATTCTGACGTGGATGTTTGCTTGCTTCAGCTGCTTGTTTGGGAAATGGAGACAGAGCACGACGATGATTTGTGGACTTTTCATACCCCAGATTCTGCGCCCCTGGCTAACGTCTTATCCATACAATTTGAGTTGGGCAGTCGGGCTATAAGGATGGAGCTAGGCTATGCTAGGAAGCTACAACAAAGCATCCGGTGGCAACGAGCGTTAAGTGGGACGAGGGAAACATTCGTTATACGAGCGCAATGTGGTAATAGTAGTAGATGGACGATTTGCAAGGAAGTGCTGCAGTCAGCTAGCATCGGTTCCTGGTACTATGTAACATTGAGGAAGGAAGAATCGCTCAATCTCTAGGGCTTCAAGTATGCATAATAGTGAGCGTAAATTCGAGGAAGGAAAACCGTCGAGACACAATGTGGATGGATTCATTTGAGTACCAAGGTAGTTCACCCTTGTCAACCGACTTTTCCGGCACGGCAACGTCCTCCGAACCAGAAGTGGCAGGCTCCCCCTATTACAGGCGGGTAGGTCAACTAGCGTATTACGAGACTCATGCGATCTATCGGATTGACAGAGCATGAAAATAGCACATGGTCGGCAAATTTACCTTCATCTCCAAGTGGAGAAGTCGGCTGTTGCATGTTGAGTGAGCAGCCCAGACCAGGCCCACGATGCGAGTCAGCCTGTCTTTGCCAATCATCAGCAAACTTTTTGCTCTGACCCCTGATCATGATCTTCATGCCAAGAAGAGATGCCGGCTTACTCACAACGAAGACACGATGCTTCCGGGGGCTGGACGGCAGCTTTTCCGTCCGCCAACTTGGATCTGGTACCACATTATCAGAGCGCTCTGATTTCATCTCGAGCTCGTGATGCCAAGAAGAAAAGTAGTATTAATAAGGAGCTGCTTGTGTCAAGATCTGCACAAGAATCGCTCAAAATATCTGCGATTACTAGCAGCTACTTGAGGGGTTTTTTCCCTACCCGCAACCTTCGCATGCTTCCACGTCTTCTCTCATCTTGATGACTGGATGTCAGACAAGCGTCCGCTGCCCAACTGTCCTGCAGGCACGGAACATCGGTCAATACGGAGCTCGGATTAAAGCATGCCCCTGCCACTCCGCAAACCCGGCATTATCCGAGCCGTATGATCGGCTACTACTACTGTGCCACTGTCTTTCTCAAAGAGTTGTCACCAGTATTACGCGCTTCGCATACAATACTTGTAGCCAAAGTCGGTGCATGCTACATATATACTAGCTTCACTGCTTTTCGTCAGCTGCAGACACCATCTCAGCAGCACCTAAACCCCCCTCCCCCCTGGGTATCCCTCGATGGTTCGCAAAGACGGGTAAGCGAGACAAGTAAATACCCATCTCCCTTGTCTTCTCTCCTTCCATCTTCATCGGCCCGGCTTCCGCAGCCTCGACCGTCACGTTACTGCAGATAGACTCGATATCGCATGTGTTGAGAGTCGGCGCTAGCCCTTCAGGTAAGGTCCCAGGCTTCGAATACAGCCGCGTAAGCATCGCAGACTCTCCATCTTCAACGATCTCCGACCCTTTGCGATACTGCTTGCGACATCATGGAAGCGGTGCTGCTGACAATTAGCGGCTCGGGGATGATCTTAGTGCATTGTTCAAAGGGCATCTCACGCCCTCCGATCTCGTCGTAGCATACTTGATGAAGAATCATGCTATGTCATTGGGAGTAATATTGGGCCTGACTGTGCGAGCTCGTCCACGGCTATCGCCAATCCAGGGTTTATACGCGAGTTGAAGGACCTCGAGGCTCAGTTACGTGGAGCGTCATCATTGGATGCGGATTGGCTGCCGAGACGAGAGCGAGAGCGACTGGCTCTTTTCTGCATGGGTGAAGAGGGAGACAGATAAAGTTTCAAGTCATTGCTACAAAGACTGGCCTGAACAGAGCGGCAAAAACATGCTTGAGACAAAGTGATTTAGCGTCTATTCCAATCCTCTATTCACGCATCTAGATACAGTACATTTAACACTTGACTGATAAAGAAGAAGGAAAAGCCAGGGAGCACAATGGTGGGATACTAGCTTGGAAGGACTCGAATCAGTAGTACAGCGCCTTTTGCCACCAGTTGCATCTTTCGTTCGACGTCGGGTCTCGAATAGCCGAGGTAGCATTAAGCACAAAGTTCAAAATTGAATCATTCTGGCCGTACGAAGGAAACGAAATGCCGCCGGCCGGTGAGTTGATCGGCGAGCCGTTGTTGACGAATCCAGCAACGGCGCCCTTTGCAATGCTCGCAATCTGAGCATCAACACCCGGCGTCGGTCCGTTGGGGAAGAGATAAGGCTGATCACTGCCGTGGATTGCTGGCCAAACAGAGTTTTGGAAGCCAAATGCGGCTACGCCTTGCTTCTGCGCGGCCTTAACCATGGAGTTCTGGTTGCAAGTGAGCGCGGCCTCGGCAATGATCAGCTGTGCTCGCCCCAAGGCATCTGTATACGGCTGAGATCCGTCATATTTCGCGGGATAGAGCGTCTCAAATACATGCTGATAGTCGTCGCTTGTGAGTGAGGTAAAGATGGCACCAAGTTGCTTCCTCAGCAGAGACTCGTTGTCGAAGGCCGAAGGATCAGTGAATAGGATTCCCTCGTGGCTGTTGTAAGTAGAGAAGATCTCAATGTCCTTAGCAAACGCTCCTTGGAGGAACAGTTTTGAGGGCATTCCGGGTACGAAGCTGCCATCGACGACGGGGCCATAAGAAAAGGAACCGTATGGAGCAGCGGCGACTTGCTTCAGATTGGCAGCCAACAGCGCGCTGGAGGGCAGCGCCTTTGCTTCATTCAGTGTCGAAACATTCAGAAGCGCGAGGAAGTCGTTGAAGGTCTGCTCTTGCTCACGATTTCCAGGAACAGGGACAATACCGGCAGACTGCGGGATAGCTCGGCGGAAGGGCGCAGGCCTCGATCCTCCCCAGGCCGTAATATGGTGCATGACTGATCCACCGCCAGCGGAGACACCCATAATAGTCACATTGTCGGGATCGCCTCCAAACAGGTGAATGTTCTCCTGAACCCAATCGAGTGCAAGCCTCTGGTCCAAGAGTCCAGCGTTGGGGGTGCCGCCGTTCTGCTGCAGCGTAGGGCCGGAGAGGAAGCCAAAGGCACCGAGACGGTAATTCATGGCCACCCAGATGGCACCATCTTCACCATTAGATTGGGTTGCTGCCATGAGTTCACTGGGAGTTCCAAACATTGACTTGTCTCCAATGACATATCCGCCTCCCTAGTCAAGTTCTCAGTTCTTGGTTGTTGATAGCAATAGATGGCATTCTACTCACGTATATCCAGACCAAGACAGGAGCTCCCTTGGTAGGCTTCAAGCCCTTCCTGTGGACACTGCTTCTCTTGTCAAACACCTTTTGAGGTACCAAAACGTCCAGGACTAGACAGTCTTCGGTGATTCGATCATCCTCTGGAGGCGGGGGCAGCTGAGATAGCAACTCCTTTGCCTGTGTCACGTTGAATGGCAGCTGGTTGAGTCCATAGGCTGCGGCAAACATTTCGCCCAATGCAAGCCAACCGGGATTCGCCTGTGGACAAACTTTGCCGATACTGCCATTCTGGACTCCCGATTTGCGCCCCTTGGGAGGAACAGGTGCGGTGAATCGCAGAGGGCCCAAAGGAGGCTCGGCGTATGGGATGTTGGTGAAGTTGTACGTCTTGTAGCGTTCCTTTTTAACACATATTGATCAATATCTGCACGCCATGTAAAGTTTAATTCTTTGGAAGGCTTACATCAAACGAGATGGCGCGATGGACTTGATATCCAAGGTCCACCGTCGGTAAGCTTGGCTGATGAACGGCGGCGCCGTTGGCTAAGGCAAGCCCCGAGAGAAGCGTAAAGATAGGCTTCATGGCGATCTTTTTTTGAGATTTTTGGTAAGCTTATTTCTTGTCGTTGGTACCGACAGCATCTTGAGAGGAAGAGGGATTGTCCCAAATATATATCGTGCAACAGCATGCTTCGCGTTCTGTCATTGTGTCCGCCTCGCCAACAACGCGACGATCACTCATGCTGAGGACTCGGCATTGCCCTAACTTGAAGCATCGGGGCAAGTATGAATCCCGCTTCCATGTTTTTTGACCGTACACACATCAATTCGCGTAAGGGCCAAGATCGAAATGGGGTTTAAGGTGCGGAAACTGCCTCGGAACAAGCTGATGGGGCGGAGTTTGGTGTATCTGAGGACCTCAACAGCCCGTCCGACCTAGACTGCATTCCGTTAAAGCATCGTCAGCCGTCAGCCGTTTTTACTCTTTCTGGATGCCCTCCTATTTAGAGTGATGGTGGGGCTATCTCTAAAAGACGCTGACCTCATACAACAAGACAAACTAAGTCCAGTTCAAGGCTGAAAGAAGGCAAGAGAAGAGGGTGATGAAGGTTATCTACTAAGGCCAACCGCCATGGGTTTACCATGTAGCCGGCTAGTAATCTACATATGATCCAGTGATACTCCGTACATGGAAACTGATGGCGGACGGATTGAGCAAGCACGAGCGGGAAGATTCCTGCATGTTGCCCAGATACGGAATAACGATTGTGCTCAAGGTGAAAGGCGGAGGCGGGGGCGGAAATCGTAATAAAATTACGTGCTGATGCGTGGAAGATGAACGGCGTCGTGATTATACAAGCTCCTAACTCCGCTGAACAAAACCCCATCCAGCTGTTACTTGCTATCTAAGGTTGCGGCATGAATGCAGTCTTCACAAAATCCTACTTACCCTGAAACCCATCGCCTGATAGACAGGCACTCTGGCAATGATTTTCAGATTTTTCGCAATCGCAGACATTGATCGCATTTTAACATGCTTATATAAGGAGGGCATGCTGATATACGTCCAAGAAGCCATTCGAGGCACGAAGGCACAGACTTGGGATTCGGTGAGGCGGATGAATAACCCAACCACAGCATACATATACGGAGTGACGCACATGAACAGAGGACATTCTTATTGGCAGTGCAAAAGTGCGTCATTCCTGCGCTGAAGCTGGAAATGAAATGTGTGAGAAACTATGAATTAGAAGAGAAATGAATTTGGAGAAGGTTCCAGCGGAGCAATAAGAGAGATCAACTCCGTCCAATACAGCAACCCATGGCTGACTGCCCATATCGGCTTACATGAATCGGCAGATTGTTCCCCCCAGATTTTACGGCTTATTCTGAAATCGACATTGTGAGAATGGTATTGGTATGACAGGACAGGACATGGAATCTTTTCGCGCCGCTTCACTCACAATTGGCTGCTGAATGACGTTTCTCGATGGACTCACAACGCAAGGTTTTTCACAGAGAAGGCAAAAGCCTAAGAGGCGATACCGGGCGGACTATTCGCCAGATTCTAGTCATTTTGCGTTCACCGTATTGAACGGTAGCCTTGCTTACTGTAAGACCTTTCGGGCTTCGCTACTGTATTTGGTCATGGCTCTTCTCGACCTCACCCAACCGTTCCTATACTGGTTTCACCGCCTTTGACGGTCTTTTCATCCAATTCTACCGTCCAAATGAACTAGATGGCGTTGCAGTGGCGCTGGCGCCACGTTCGGTTCTGCCGAATGAGAAGCCACGCCAGGCACAACTTCTCTGGTTCGGGCGAAGTCGGCCAGGGGCAAAACGCCACCAGGGCGCCTGTCAAGTTGTCCAATGGGCTCAATGAAGTCTTGCAGAAAATTTGCTATAAACGATTTTTTTCTGGAGTCTCCGTCTTGTCTGCTTCTTCACGCAGACAATGATACGGCTGTTGAAAAAACTTCCCTTATGTGGCAACGTACGGATATAATAACATAGGCTATAGCCAAAGCGAAAGGCTGGCGGCAACTGCGGGCTTTACCAGAACTCCCTGTCCACGATCTGCGACAACATGTATGAATGCGAACAACATGTATGAATGCGGCTTGAGGAAATCTTGGCATCGTATTTCCCCAGAATCTGGAACGGTAATCCACCCGCCGCCAGACTCTACAGCGAGGTTCCCTGCACGATTTCCCTTTTTCGCGTGGGCGGCCGCGGGCCTCGCTGCATTAGCCCATCGGCTCCCTCGGTCCGCTGTCTTACCCTAGCATTGCCGGTAAAATGTCCGATCCCTAATAAGTCGGGGCTCAGAAACTGGGACTCATACTGTGGAAGACTTACGTCGTGGGCTATCGTGGGTTTGCCCGTGCTTGTCTTGTAAGAAGCAGCACCAGAACCTGTCCGAGACCCGCTCGGAGAAGAGACACTGGTATCATTGGACGGGAACCGCTCAGGAGACTTACTCATGGATGGACAGTGACATTTCATGGCGATGTTATTGCACCGGGGAATGGCTCCTCCAGTGTGAGGCGCCATACTTCCCCTTTGTCGTCGCGTGCGATTCCATGCAGGGTCTGCTTAGTTCCCGTGATGACTCGCATACAATGGAGAGTTATGAATCGTGTTCCTGAATCCTGACATTGGACTGATAGGTCTCTGTGTGATTTAGAGGGAGTAAAAACTGAGAGGGTACTTACTTAGCCAGGAACTAGCCACTTGCAAGATAACATTGACGCCTCTTTGATGTGTATGAAATCATCAGTACCGATTCGCCAATAGCAAACCCACTCGTCCTTCCAGTAGCTGCCTTCCATACGCCACCGGATTGGTTAGCATTGTGGGATTCCGCAGGTCGCGTGGGATATGCATTCGACGTTGGATGTTGGTGATATAGGCCTTTTAGTGTGTACAGTGTCTTTGGCCAACAAGAACTGGACAGCTGAATCGATTTAGACTTGTACTCCCGTTCCAACCACGATTCATGGTTCGAAAGGGGAGGGGGAAGGAAAATCTTGAGACTTGGTATGGTGGCATAAAGCACATTTTCAATCAGCAAGGGGATTTACAAAGCTAGATAGAATGATCGATATCGCAACTCAGACCACATGATGGGAGGTAATAATCATATCTATCAATTGCCAAGTCGCAACAAGGGATCCCACTTTGTTTGATCACGTCCTCTTACAAGCGACCAATCGGCGTGTCACAATTACCTGTCAGGTGAACAGGGATTCGTGAAAGAAGAAGCCTAGTTCATAAGTCAGGTACGGGGCCTCCAGTCCGTCGAGGTACATTCTGGAATATTGAGACGTACTACTATTCATTTCCCTCTTTATCCACGTGGTTTTGGCGCTACGAGACGCTGTGTATCCACATCCAACGAGTCGGCTTCGAGCCGGATCTTCTTTTGCGAAAGACCCTTCATGTGGCGTTTTTAGACCGAGCCTCGACTAGGACGGGGCAAGTCTTCCGTGTTCGCATCGTGTGAACAACATATCGGCCTTGGTATTGTCGCAGGTCGTTTTTCTCACGGTGCTTCTACTTGCGATGGAGCATGAGGTTTTTTTCCCCCTTTTCTCTTTCTAATCTTGCTCTACTGTAGAAAGATGGCGTTTGCCTTCTTCTCCAGTATGGAGCGCAAGTGGGCAACGTCTTTGTGTTTAGGACTGGAGGCATCAGTAGGGAGGGACGATTCCATGTATAAAAGTCTCATCATATTCCACTCTCCAAGGACTTTGTTATCCTTCTTTTTCATCAAGTTAACCTATAACCGTTCCATTCCTTTACGGCCAACTTCTCCTTCAGACACTCCTTTTTCATATTTTGAAACACGGCAACTGATACCCCTTGGCCTCAAGCAGACCAGTCTTTCCCTTCTACTATATATCTTACCTCATACTTTTTTCTTTTCGAAATATCCAAAATGCTTGCCAACATTGCCATCGTTGTTGCTGGCCTTGCCGCTGTCGGCACTGCTCTCCCCACCAATGGTACTGCTTTCCACAGGAATGGTACTACTCATCACAACAACGGTACTGTTCAGCATACAAACGGCACTGCTTTCCATCCTCATGGTGGCGCTTTCCATACCCATGGTACTACTGTTAAGCGTGGTGCTATTGCGGACAAGTACACCTACTACCAAGGTGACGGATCAACTGCCGCTGGCTGGCCCTCCCAAGACGACTGGGGCTCCTGGGATGATCTTTGGAAAGCCAACGTCCCTCTTATGCAGAAGTCCTGCACCTGGAACGGCTGGGTCGGTGATGACTCCGAAGATGAGATCCAGGACATCGGCACTGCCATCCAGGCCGTCTCCAAGGCTGCTGATATCGACCCTCGCTTCATCCTCGCCATTGTGATGCAGGAGAGCAAGGGATGCGTCCGTGTCCCAACCACCAACAATGGCGTTACCAACCCTGGCCTCATGCAGTCTCACGACGGCGCCGGCAGCTGCTTTGGACTGAACCCCTGCCCTTCATCCACTATCAACCTCATGATCAATGATGGTGTGAGCGGCACTAAGGAGGGCCCGGGCCTCCAGAGCCTTCTGTCTGAGGCTAAGGAGAAGACTCACAACAACGGCAGCCAGGCTTACTATGCTGCTGCTCGGCTCTACAACAGCGGCTCTGCCGATTACTCCGACCTCGATCAAGGCCTTGGTAGTACTGCTTGCTACGCATCTGATGTTGCCAACCGCCTCACGGGCTGGACCCTTGCTGCCAGCACCTGCCATTAAAGGGTTTTTACATCACTATGAAGGACAAGGCTTATTTGGGCTCTTCTGGTCTTTTCCACCAAAACTTTCTTTTCAATCGTATATATTTTTGGGGGTTTTGTCAGTTATGAAACAATTCTGTACTTAATGCTACGGAAACCTGCCTACACTCGTTTGATACGACAGGCTTAAATACAACGCAGGCTGTAAAAGCATACATACATCAATCCTGGGGACTACTGAACGATTCCTAGTCCGTTACGTGATTAGCCCATTTCCTTCGTGATTCTCTACTAGTAGAGTTCGCCGTCGAGTTCGCCGTCGAGCTCTTCGCCATCTTAGCCGTAAGTACAATGTCCTTTTCACCCTGCCACCCTGCGCTTAGATTGCGGTCCACGGGAGAGCATCCACAATCTAGAACAACGATTACTGAAATACGACCAACACTTCAGCCGGCCAATGAGGGAGAAGGTTTACGTCTCATCAAGCGATAGCACTGTGGATATGCTGTTAGTACTGCTCGTCATCAAGGAAATACACTAGTATAACTTTCATCTATTGCCTTTGACTTGTCCAAAGGTGATTAACGACCGGATATCACTCCACCTCTGGCATGTTGGTCGTCTGCCTCTCCTTGTTGGTTGGGCAAATATGACTAAACGCTGCTACAGGATGGCTTACACCGGCACTTTCCAGCTAGTATGTATTCCCCCATACAGTGTGCCACTTTTCGACGCTGACCGGACTAGACCAGCTGGACGTGCTTATGCCACCGCAGATGCCTTCCATTGACACCCTGTACTGTTACACCGTACTGCACCCTCGGTGAGGGGCCAGCTACAGGCCATTGCAAGCATCGCTAATCGCGGGTCGGTAACATAGTATGCAAGATAGTATTTCATATATTGGTTGTGTAAGGCAAGAAGCTACGACATACTGAACGGATGATGTAAAGTTAAGTATGCGAAGTGCCTGTGTAGATGGATCAATCCCTCTATGCACTGCGGGCAGCCTCAATCAGATCTCTCCACAACTCATCCATGATGAACAAAGAAGATATATGGCCTCCAGGAAGCAGTTTGAGCTTTATAGCAGACTTGTAGTTGGCCACAAGCCAATCATTAGTGCTGCCCCCAATGTGATCATTCTTTGATCCCACAACCAAGACAGGTTTTGTAGAATGTTCTTCGTCAAGAGTACGAGGATCAAAGCCCCAGTCAGAATGGATCGTATCTGACACCTACATGAAACCGTCCCAGTTCTGGCAGCATTTGGACTGTGCCCGTGCCATTTTCTCAATGACTGTATGCTCGTCCAACTTATTATTTTGCTACCAGTGTCTGAAAACCTGTTTCTCTCCATCGTCCATCTTATCGAAGACTGTCGCCTTGAGGAATTGCTTTGCGCCTTCAACGGATCTCAATTTGTATCCAATTACAGCTTTGAACAAACGCTGTAACAGACGAAATGGTATGATCCTCGTAGGTGGTCCGATGGATACCCAGTTGTTCCAGCGAAGCGTAGTCGCATAGCCGGCGTGATGTCTCAGCGGAGAGAGGCCGTTGAGCAAAAGCATTCCGGCAATCTTCCGACCAGAGGGGAAGAGGTCGTATGGGGCGCCGTAGAGCATTTGCGCTGGAACAGTACCATATGAGCCTCCCGAGAAATACAGAGCATCGAAGTCTCCAGTGGGAGAAAGGTGGTTGAGCAGCACATTGATATCATTCGCTAGATTAACGTAGTACGGCACTGAACAATCGCGAGTGCCCGACCTTCCCATGCCTGGGAGCGTAGGAGCAATCCAGTGAGCCTGAAGCTCACGGCAAGGCTCAGAAACATTTGCCGCGGTACCAAGGCCCATGATGCCGACGAAGAAGATGATGACCGTGCGTGAGGTTGGGGGCCCGTTGTGGGCGTAGGCGATCCGCCTTTTTGGGGTAGTTGGAGAATGTGTTCTTCATCTCCGTTCACTGTGTCGTATGATTCATCCACGGACATGGCGACGGCGCTTCAGGATAAAGCGAGAGATGAATAATCTGTGTCGTGGACTGTGGTAGATGATAGATATGAAGATTGGTCGAGGGAGATTGATTTCGTGTGAGGACAGCGACACTATGCAAGTGTTAGATGATGTAGTCCGCTTTGCTCTCCCCTGGAGAAAGCTTTAGAATGTTAGCATACAAATGGTATTTTAGTGAGCTTAAAAGCTTTCAGCTGCCTGCTTTGCTATCTGATTTTTGCGGCTTGTTGCCAGAAGGGAGGCTGCGCTAAACAGGATATCGTATTGATCGGGTTACGATTTTTCAATATAACCCACCCATGTATCAGCTCGTTGGTCATGAGCCTGTACAGCCCCTTTCCGATTGAAAGCAAAAACGACAAATTGAATCCTGCACTGATTATTTCAAGGCCCTCTTTATTGAATGACCGTAAACCACGCTACAATCTGCCTTGTTGGTCGGTCCAATGCTATACTCTAGGTGCAGAGAACCTCGTTTCAACCCTTCAACAGCCTCTGGTGTCTACCCAGCCCATCATCTTGCGCGTAATAAACTTGGGCATCACAGGCAAATAGTACGCGCGTCACGCTAGGATCAGGATACTACAGATTGTGACAAATGCACATAGACTGAAAGGCTTGACTGGAAAAGAAAGGCATGCTTTTAATGACCCAGACTACCATACATTTATGCATATTTAATAACTGATTTCTCAGTTAGTCCAACCCTTCGGTCCCCCCCATGTCCCCTTTACCATGTGGTTGTAGTAGACCCAAGGGAAGAAGTTCTTCTTCAGATAATAGAAGGACCTCCGGGGAACCGCCTGGTCAATACCGAACCAGTCGCCAAAGGTCTCCTTTGGCTCACCCCCGTACTTGAATTCAGCAAGGAGCACTTTGCCATACTCTGTCAACAACGGGCACGAAGCGTATCCGTCGTAGGTTGCGTCTGCTGCTTTGCCCTCCATAGCTTGCAACAGGTTGTGGACCAGAACGGGTGACTGTGAGGTGATAGCAGCCGCAGTCTTGGAGGTCGGGAGACTGGATGCATCGCCCGCAGACCAAACATTGGGATACTTCTTGTGGCGAGTTGTGCCGTCGTCAACGTCAACGTAGCCAGCCTCGTTGGCCAGGGCACTGTTCTTGACAAATGCGTGAGGTCCCATCTTAGGAACGACGTGCAAAAGGTCAAATTGCTTCGTCACCGCCTCCTTCCCATCCGGGAGGGCAAAAGTTGCCTTATCGCCATCAATGGCGACAAGATCATGCTGGAAGAGTCCCTCAACTCCCCTCTCCTTGCGGAGCTGCTCCAACGCAGCGTTATACTTGGGAACACCGAACATCACCGGCATGCCCGTAGCGAAGCTGATCTTGACTGCGGATGCGGAAGGACTACTGGGATCATACAGGCCTGCGCGCTTCCAATGGTCCAAGGCGAGCCATAGGATTTTCTGGGGAGCGCCGGCGCACTTGATCGGGCCTGCTGGCTGAGTGAAGATGGCGGTGCCCTTCTGAAGCCTCTGAATGGTGTCGTATGTCTTGTCGCAGGTGTCGTAGTTGTAGATGGAGGAGACGAGGCTTCTTGGATCGGCCAGAGCCTCGGAGAGACCTTTGACACTGCCGTAGTTGATCGAGATCCCGGGCACGACAACCAGCTGCTCGTAGCTGACTTTGTCGCCATTGCTGAGTGTGATGGAGTTGTCTTCAGGTGAGAAGCCAGCCACGCCGTCGTTGTAGAACTTGAATTTGGGGTCGACAAGACTGTTGAGCGGTCGTCGAAGCTCCTCTTTAGTCTTGAGGCCACCACCAACAAGAGTCCATCCGGGCTGGTAATGGTGCCAGGTTGCGGGATCAACAAGAGCAATGTCGTCCTGGGAGAACTTGCCAGACCGAAGGAGCTTATGGCTGATATCCAGACCAGCCGCACCGCCTCCAATCACAACCACTCGATGGCTTCGGCCGGGGGATACATTTGAGGCGGTTGCGAAGCTCCGGGAGACTGACTGGGCAACGGGAGAGCTTGGGGAGCGAGACGCAGCTCTGCAAGCCAGAGAGATTGAGCGGGCCTGGAACATAATGAGGATGAAGAGTAAAGTGAAATGTACGGAAGAAACGAAGACGTAACAAAACGGAGGAATTACAAGAAGACAGAATACAAGTTGAGAAGAAAGTCCTGAGAGAAATAATACCTGGAAAGGTAAAATTCCAGCATAAAAGGCTGAATAATCACCGATCGCGCAATCGACTAATTCGGGTGCTGGAGCAGAACCACCGCCAGCCGTCCTCATCACCGACTTCCGATGCCGTCAAGGAGGACGAGATCCGAGGATTTGCCGCGCCCCGTAGCGACGAGCCGAGATTCAGCGTGGGTCAGGAATCGGACGATGACCCGGCCGGAAGTCGGTGACGGTGCTGACCGGATTTCCCTGGTGAACTGGCTCGAGGATGGCCGAGCGGACGGATCAACTCGGACCAGCGGTGGCATGACCTTGGAGATCCGTCTTGATGAGGCGGCAAATCCGTTTCTAGACGTTGGATATCGGCGTTGCATGACCCGCCAGATCCGAGGGTATCCGCGGTCCTTGAGCTGACGAGGCGAGAAAAGGATAAGTAAGGAGCTATCTCTTCGTCATTCAGCGTATCGCCCACGAGACCGAAGAAGTCGAATATCATCATGTCGCTTCGATCTTGCGCTATTGGCTGCAGAAAGCAACTCGCGACGGGCTTGAATCTCACTTCAAAAACCGCGGCTCGTCCTTTAAACCGCGTTAGGTGCTTTAGCAGCTGTCACGCTCGGTCCCTTTGTCAACAATCCAGGCGGCCATCCCATCCACTCAGCGCGGCACTGGCCAAATCATCTCAGCCCCGAGGTTTACAAAAGCGCACGGGCAGAAAGATGTCCTCTGACGCAAAGTCTATCAAGACCATGGAGCCCATCATTCACGATGTCTTTGAACCCGACACTGGCACATGGCAGTACGTTATTGCGGATCCATCCACGATGAGCGCCGCCATCATCGACCCGGTCCTGGACTATGATCGCACCACCCAGAGCCTCACCACTCGGACCGCCGACTGTTTGCTGGCACTGGTCAAGGAGAAGGGATACAGAGTCGACTGGATCTTGGAAACTCATGTCCATGCAGACCATCTCACGGCGGCGTCGTACCTGCAGAGCCGCCTCGCACGGGAGCAGGGATACAGTCCGTCTATCGCCATTGGCAAACGCATCGGCCAAGTGCAGAAGTTCTTTGGCAAGCGATACGGGGTCCCAGAGGACCAATATGGAGTCGTTTTTGACCATCTCATGGACGATGATGAGACGTTCGAAATTGGCAATATGAGCGCGACAGCGATCCATCTCCCTGGTCACACGCCCGACCATATGGGCTACAAAGTTGGAGGTAAGTTACACTTCAACCACACTTCGCACTCTTTCTTATATACCTATGCCCCGGTAGTCTGACGACTTCATCCCAGACAACGTCTTTTGTGGCGATTCTGTTTTCCACGCCGACATTGGTACTGCTCGGTGCGATTTCCCCGGTGGCAGCGCTGATAGCCTGTTCGCCTCAGGCCGCAAGCTACTCAGTCTGCCAGATCATGTCAAGATATGGACCGGCCACGATTATCCCCCGCAGGATCGCGGCTCTCCCAGGGCGTACATGACCGTCCATGAGCACAGAGAGCAGAATAAGCATCTCAAGGACGGCATCACAGCCGAAGAGTTTGTCGCCATGCGCAATGAGCGTGATGCGAAGCTGGCGGCCCCGAGGATGCTGCATCAGTCGCTGCAAATAAACATTCGAGGAGGACGATTGCCCACCCCGACCGATGAAGGTGATCGAATGTTGCGACTGCCACTCGATTTGAAAGGCACAGAATGGTAGGCGGAATGATGGATATGGATCTGGCACAGGCGGCTCTTATTGAACATCCACCCAGCTTTTTATATCCTCTTCGTTCATCTGCTTTATCAACATTCTCTGGCACGAAGCGACTTTTGAGAACGTAGTGTCTACTCCCACAGCCAGCTCAGTAAGGGAGCCATGCGCACACAGACTTCTATCACCAGAAACTCAAGATGCTTTTAAGAATATCCGTTGTTGGAAGGTCTAGTGGCAATCTATTTGTCTACAAGTATTTCCTAGGTTACACTGTCCCTTAATTCCGTCAATGCAAGTCCGTGTTACGTTATTATTATATGAAGTGACTGTGGATGTACCGAATGCGAAAAGAAGAAGAAGCAGTAGAAGCAGTAAGAAAATTAAGAAAAATCGGAATCGCAACCACTCTTGCAGCACTCCATATCGCAAGTGTCGTATCTCAAGATACACTTCATAGGCGCCAGATGATTTACAAATTGTCGATAGAGAGGGCCGTCAAGGTCGTCTGTGCGCATCAAATTGTCACCATCCATCATCATAGGGCGATTCAATGGCTCGTTGTCGCCGCGTCATCGCTCCAGCTGCCGAGAATCGCCATCAAGGTGCGACCAACAACATCCGTCAGGTGAATCACGAACGCGATAAAAAGCCGTGCACTTCCCCACGTAAGAGGCGAGTGACCCGTGTGCCTGGCTCTGAATGCCTGAAGCAATGGTCCATCTCGTGATAGAAAACAGGAGTGACACAGGATCTCCTACAGGCGAGCTGCTTGGCCTGCGGGTACTTTCACGGACCCTTTCCGGAGACTTTCCTTTCATATAAGTAACACTTCTCTTTCTCTTCAATTCCCGGTGCAACAACGAAGCTCACTATCTTTCTTCTTCTTTCCAAAGAATTATCCAGCGAGTGAACGACATTTGCTTCGAATCGAAATGGAAAAGTCCAAATCAGAGAATGCGGATATGGCGGCAACGAACCGCGAATTTTGGAAGTGAGTTCATCTGCATCTCCTACCTCCTTCTTGCGCATGGGAAATACTAAATTCGAGAAGCACTCACGGTACCAAAATCTTCCAAAACCAGTGGGTTCTCAACATGGCCAAGAAGATTGCCGATTCGCTGTCCGAGAATGTCGAGTGGCTGGGAGTCCGCAGTCGATCAGAGGGCAGCCCGCCCGTGAAGCTTCTGGACTATGCGTGCGGCTTTGGCATGGTCTCCAGCACGCTTCTAGGACACTTCGATATCGTCAGAGGCATCGATATTTCAGACACCAGTGTTGCAGGATACAACGAGATTGCTCGAAAGTCTGGTGTTCCGGCTGAGCAGATGGTCGCGGTCCAGGGCTCTATCCCTTCGACAGAGACGGACACGGTGCTGGCAAAGAAGGAATTCTTCGACTTTGATCTTATTGCAATCAGCATGGCTCTTCACCATATTGATGACCGTGTCGGTGTCCTGTCTGGGCTCTACGAACGATTGCGCAGCGGGGGTGTCTTGGTTGTTATTGACCTGACCCCAGAGGCCGATGCTCACGGCCACTCTCAAAGCCACGGTCATGGACACTCGCACAATCATTCACATGCCCATTCCAAGGATCACGTCCACGACCACTCAGCAGCTCAGCACACAATCTCCAAGCACGGCAGTTTTGGACCTGAAGATATGAAGGCCCTCATGGTCGAAGCTGGCTTCGTCCCTGAAAGTTTCGACTACAAACCGTATCTCAATACAACACCGGTCTTGTCCAATATTCCCGCGCAGGGCAGTTGCGAGAGTGCTAAGCTGAAGCCATTCTTCATTGCCAAGGGCATGAAGCAATAGATATGGGAATATGTTGAGTCAGGGGTTTACGACATGGATGAGGCATACTTGCATCTTAAAACTAGCAGGCAATCAGACACTACCTATCTTTAGGAGCCAAATTCTGAAGCTTTCTTAAACATTCAACTTGGAACTGTCGAGACTTCTCTTCCTTTTTTACCCCGCCCTTTTCACGTACGCGAGCCTGACGGCAATGCTGATAATCTGCTCGTGCCGTATTGCTGTAGAATGGGGGAGAAATTGAGTAAGCATCTGCTGGGTTCTGCATTGTATGTCTTCGTTCGAGGGACACCGTGGCTTTGCAAATCCATATGCCAGAGTGGCCCTATGTTACAGAAGGGCAACATAAGAAAGGTGCCTCATGTGGTTTGGTGATCTACACTTCTGCCGCTGTTGAAAAGCCGAAGGATTCAGGATGCACGTGGGGATTTCAACAAGGAGCCTGTCGAGGTAAGCGACTTCCCCCGCTGTCACCATCCTATTCCCACACTTCCCTTTATATTTCTTACTACGCACAATCTCTCAGCAGAAGGACTTTTGATCAGTTTCCTCCCACATGTGGCAGACGCAAAGCCCGTCATGACGGAAACAACAGTCGAAAAGCCTGTAGCGCACTCACAACCCAAGATATTCCTGCCTCCGCTGGACGCGGCATGGGATCCTTCACTGCCAACTGAAGACGCTGACGAATACTGCTGGACACCCCTGCAACTCGCCTCCAGGAGTGGAGAGCTGCAGATTGTCCAAGAAATTGTCGCCTCAAACCCCTCAGCTGTGAACGATGCCCCGTGCGGTTACTACGGCCAGACGGCCCTGCAGGCGGCGTGCATGCAAGGGCATGAAGACGTCGTCAAATGCTTACTGGATGCGGGGGCAGATGTTCACTTCTGTGGCGGCAACAACTTCCAGCGCACTGGGCTGCAGATTGCATGTGGACAAGGAAACGAAATTGTCGTCCGGCTGCTTCTAGAAGCGGGTTCAGAGATCAACATGAGCCCGATGACGAATCACGGCATCCGGGTATTGACACAAAGCCACTGGGCAGGCCATGGAACGGCTCATTCATTGCCTAAACCCTTCGCCGTCGCTCGATACAACGGCAGAACCGCACTGCAAGCAGCCTCAGAACGCGGCCATCTCAACATCGTGAAGCTACTCTTGCAACTCGGCGCAGAGGTTAACGCCCCTCCGTCGCCAAGTGCCGGCCGCACCGCACTGCAGGCGGCATCCGGAAGCGGCTTCGGTGCGGTCGTGCAGCTGCTGCTCGAACATGGTGCGCATGTCAACGCCCGAGCAGCAGGATACAAGGGATTCACAGCTCTGCAGGGGGCGTGTCTGCAGGGAAGTCCAGAGGTTGTAGATCTCCTGCTCGGGGCCGGTGCCGACGTGCAAGCGTCAGGCGGTGGCTACGATGGCGATGCGACGGCTTTGCATGCGGCTGCGGAAAAGGGACACGTCGAGATCGTGAAGAAACTCGTTGCTGTCGGTGCAGACGTGAATGCGAGCTCGAATCGCAGAGGACAGACTCCAATTCAAGGGGCCAGGGCGGGAGGGCATGAGGCGGTGGTGAGATATCTCCGAGACGAGGGCGCTGTGGGTTGGACGGGGGGAGGCATCTTTATTTTCAATCACTCTGCTGGTCAATGAGTTCGGTCTTCTAGCCTATTACAGACCTCGGTAAGAAAGCCAATTGCTGCAGATGTATAGAGCCCAGTCTATCCCGTGCATTGATCTGACGGAAGCCTGCAATCTTCCAGTATCCCTGGGATAAGAACAATCAATGACAGAAGTCAAACAGGAGCTAGGGCCCACGGCGTCTCAATGAAGATTTTGACGATGCCTGACCACGGGTGATGAACAGTGTCTCAGCATCCGCTACAGCCACTACGGAGTATATGTACATATAAGCGGCAGGTTGACAGCGGGCTTTCGGGGTGGAGCGGTTCTCCGGAATCCGGATAGGCGGTTGATGGTGATGGTCTGTATGTAGTATGTAGTAGTAGTACTGCTAGTAGTGTATGCTTGTCCGAAGTGTCCCGTGCGACATTCCGTCCCTTGACCTGTTATTTCTGGAGAAGCAGCGACATTCCGATCATGATCTGAAAAATGATTGCGAGACACCGTGTACATAGGTCTCCGTCAAGGGAATCGCTTGCATGCGGTACTGTAGTTGTAAGCACCAGTTCTTTTGCTCACATATATGGAGCTGTGCCGGCAACACTGCAGGCTGCAAGTACACCTCCACATATCCTGGAAGGCAAATATCCCGCGAAGCTTAGCTTTGAGCCTCTTGGAATCATCAGTAGCTTTGTGAAACGCGTGGAGCTAGTAGTATGTGACTGTGCTAAGCTTCCACAGCTAATTTGATACAGGGGCTCGAGCGTGGAGTACCGAGCAATCCCGAGCAATCTCGTATCCGGCTTGTGTCTCTCCACCAATAAAGAGCCTTGACCGGCAAACAGCATACCGGAGAAAACAACGACATTGAAAAAACTCCGTACACCGTAGTGGCTCTCTGGCCGGCCATCAGCATGCAATAGGGGTAGGCATACAACCGCATGAAGAGTAGTAGCTCGAGATTTGGCAAGTCCAGTGTTCTACTCAATGAGATGGACGAGCTATTACTATTCTTAATTTGAGGACCACGAATCAAGCTGTCGGAATAGTATACGGTCCTCCCGCACCAGAAAACTCACAATGGACTGCTTCAGGCCCGTGAAAGCTGGGTACACCGACATACAGTTTGTTGCACATTGACCAGGCAAGATAATCTGCGTGTTGAATATAGACTTTGCTTAACACCCTATGGAATGCGGATGACGTAAGAGTTCCCCGACGGCAGATTTTACTGCTGAATCAGGTTCAATACTACCTACCTTCTACGTTGGATCGCAACACGGCACTGCCGTTGCCAGAATTGCAATCAAAAGATGTGATACTTCATATCAAGGACCTAATCCTCCGAGCAAGGGGCCAGAAGAACAGAATGCTGCTTTGCAAATATTGTTTAGCCTAATTGTTTGACAAGCCATGGTGAATCGGGTAGAATAGAAACATGCTTTGCTACCCTGCAGGTGAAATTAGAGTAGAGGTGGGAGGCGGCAGAGTGACAACGCTCCTGGTAAGATATGTTGCCCATTGTTTCGAGTCTCCTTGGCCTGAATCTTATTTCCATTTTAGAAAGATAAATGCCGTCTGTTGCACGAATGAGGCTGTCAGCTGTTGTCAGGATCAATTCTTCGTACGAGGTTTTGTAGAATGCTGCCGCGATTAATGATGGCACGAGAATGTCTCTAGAGTTCTCCCTTCTTACTGGGTTCGAAATCTTGATGCTCTCAACATGAATGATGACACAATCCCCCCAGCCTACTCAGAGAGTCCGTATAGACATTAAGAGGCGGCCAATGCTGAGTTAACCTCTGTAGATGGGCAAATCTCCATCAATCCGGGATCGTGTTCAGTGCCCGAATGGTATTAGCCCCTACTCAACTTCCAGATCTTGGCGATTGATGGCGATCACGACTTGATGATTACTAGCTCTTCGTATGAATCATGTCCTCGATGACTAGTTCTCAATATGAATCATGCGGTCTGCAGTACATGAAGTAGTATATGCAACTTAGCGCGGCCGAAGAGACGCCTTTCACTTAATTTGTTGACGCATTCCGTAACCAAGATATACGAGATATCCTGCTGCTCAAGAGTGATATACAACTTGCCTACAATCGGCATATACCCATCGGCTCTTTATCTAGAAGGAACATCAACGACGTTGCATGATATAGGAGTACCTCGGGTGGGCGCCTGTATCCGCCTCGATGACAAGGTTGAGAATTTGTTTTACGCTCTACTTCGTACAAACCTATGAAATGAACCAAAGTTCCTATGAATACTCTAATTGTCATTTGTAGAGATTTCCCTCTGAATGTACGTGTTCATATCTCATTGTAGCGTCCGCTCGAGAATAACCTCTGAAGTGAAACTCCGTATGCTTAGTGATGATATTCGGAAACACTGGTGGAATGGGTAATGCCGTAACCAGTCAGTCGTGGATCATGTTCGCCGGTGTGATGGTGAAAACGAAGTAAGCGGCTGTCCTGTTTGCAAAATCCCGATTTCTACACTGCCTTCTATTCGCCATACAGAAGCCCTTCACAGTCGGAAGCTACGCAGTACTCAACGAGCTTCGTATATGTGCGGCGTGGTATGTAGGGTCAATTGTTCCTCTTGGAATCCCGGCGCCGGTGTCAGAAAAGCGGATCTGACAGCAGCTTCCCTGCCGCAATGGCAAGAGCAGGGGTTCTTCAAACTTGGATGTTCGCTGTGATGAGATCGGAAAGAGTAATTCGTAAAAGCCACTCTCTTTCGATGCCAAATTTTAGCTAGTTTCACGGAGAAGGGTACCTAAGCGCTAACCTTGAACCTCTGAACAACCTCGTTGAGAACAGTAGCGCCAACGTTGGGCGATAATTCAAGTGCTTGCTTGTTTGAAACGGGCCGACCTGGCGCGTAGAGGAGGAGGAGTGAAGATGCACGATTCAACCGGAGGAGCGCAGATACAACGTCTGTTGAGATGGGCTTCTTTTCGTGTTTCCTTGGCTTTGGTGTGGAAGCAATATCCGCGACAGCCTCGTGATAATATTCGCTGCTCTGACGGTCTCATCGACCTGCCGTTTTCTGTTGTAAGATTCGGTCAGCAGATTTATTGTACGGCAGTTGGAACAGACAGTGGCGACTGCTAAGCCGCCGACGGAGCCGCGATTTGCTGCCACGGATGTCGCCGCTGTATGTACGAATGATCGCGTTGCATACCCAAGGCATGGTATGGTATGATAGGCGGGAAAAAAGAGAGATGCTAGTCTGATGCTTATTTTCTTCAAAGTCTTGCCATATACGGATGAAGTCGCCAAGTTCCTGGATTCTAGTGGAGCATATCTGGGTGGACCAGGATGCCCGGCTTGTTTCGTTTCGAAACAGTAGGTGTCACATCGATAGTACGCAGAAGCGTCCGCAATCTGGTTCTCGGGGCTCCAAAACAATGCTTTGCTCAAATTCCGGACTCCACGGCGCCCAAAGAACACATCCCGGCGGTTAATTAAGCGGCTGCGCCTTATTTTGGGGTGCCTTGCTCCCCTGCTTCAAGCCCGTCGGCCGCATTGGGGGCTACAATCTCGGTACCGCTTCACTGGACAGGTTGCATCCGAGTCTAAAACAAGCAAGAGGCAAACCCGCAGTCAACCTTGACCTGGAAAGGGGTGAGCGGTCCAAGTGGTCCATAATCCGCACATCCGCATGGGTGGTAGAATGGCAGATCTTTAGTCCCTTTCGGAAGCCCAGTTCCAAGGCTGATCCACAGGGAAATGCCCCGTTTCTTGCGATCTCTTCCTGGCCAGCTTCCTAGTTCGGCTCCGGACAAGATGGTAGGGCAAGAGGATTTTCAGGAGTATGAACCATAGTCGTAGAAGAGTAAGATGGAAATAGCTATATAAGTATCTGATCATCGCGTCGATCCCTCGATTCTTTTGACATCAAGCCAGTTCGAAGCAATCCTTCTTCTGTTTCATTAGTTCCATTCCTGTTTCCTTCCAGCCAACTGCTTTTTCATTCACTCTATTACTTTTGACCAAATTCGATTCTTGAGACTTACTTCAAGATGTTCTGGACTGTTCCCGTTGCACTGGCTCTCGCCTCTGGGGCTTCTGCCCATACTTCTGCCTTCGTGAAGGGCATGTACTGCGAGGTTTGTTATTCTCTTCTATATACTATTGATGATTGCATGGCCTTTACTTACTCGAATCACGCAGGGTGGCCCCGATCCCAACAACTACAACCCCAACTCCAACACTCCCGTGAACCCTCTCTATGACCTGCCTTTCGAGCAGTGGTGGATGCAGGCCGACCGTGGCTGCGACAAGGCCCCTCCTCCGGACGGTGCCTCTGTTGCTCTGCCTGCCGGCGGCCAGTTCACTGTCGAGCTCGCCCACAACCAGGCCCAGACGACCCTGTCTTTCAACGGACAGTTCGCTGGCGAGTGGCCTGATGGCCAGCCCCACCCCGAGGACTGGAGTGGTCCTGGCAACCCTCCTGATTGCATCCAGGACGACGGTGCCATGCACACCCAAAACCAGACCATGGCCGCTGGCACTGCCTGGGCCATCTCCTACAATGATGACATCAGCAAGGTGACCCTGGACAACCTGGTTGTCTTCTCTGTCCTTGAGCAGTAAGTCTACATATCTTCCAATGCCTTCAGGTAGATCGAACTCGTCCGCTAACGCAAGCAACAGCACCCCTTGGAAGCGCATCGCCACCTACGATGTCCCCCAGGATCTTCCTGCTTGCCCTGCTGGCGGCTGTTACTGCGCCTGGCTCTGGGTCCCCAACGGCTGTGGCACGCCCAACATGTACATGTCCAACTTCAAGTGCCATGTCACCAACACCACCTCGACCAAGCAGGTTGCTCCGGCTAAGCCCCCCACCTGGTGCGCCGGTGACACTTCCAGGTGCACCCCGGGCGCCAAGCAGATGATTGCTTGGAACCAGGCTACCGGCAACAACGTCCAGGTCCCTAACGGCGCTTCCCCCGGCTACAACATCAACATGGGCTGGGCTCCTGGTGCTCAGAACGACATCTTCGTGTAAAGCTCCAAAAGCAATGTCAGCTGCGATAGGACCTGCAAAACTACTTAAGGAAGCTCTTGCTCTACTTCACACTGGTTCTAGTGGTGCTTTGGATTCTCATCATTCTTGTTAATATTGCCTGTTACTCCCTTCTATATAAGGTGGATGGTATCGAATATAATCATAGTCTGCTGGACTTTTGACCCAAATGATAATGTGTGCAGCAATCAACACTTTGTGTGACTTGACTCAACATGCTTGCAGTCTCTATAAGAACATTTGGTCGCTACAATGAAGTTTGAAATCGATATTCTGCTCCAAATGACCCAACATGTTGTGAATACCGGAAATCACCATGTAGTGTGTACAGTAAGCTCAATCTGCGCTTGTAACAAACTATTATCCGCTGCCGAAGGACTACATTCCGATAAAGCTCGTCTCCCATTTGACCGATGAGAGCGACATATCATTTAGAGGGTTTCCGAAGTCAGCTAGCTCAAAGTTTGCCGTGTTGATGAAAGGCCCAAACGGATAATCTTCCATTGACGAGAAGTCTCCAACATCTGGGCTCAAGGTAGAACCCTGAAAGTTATACGGATCGGCCCCCACTGGCTTATTCCTCTGATCACAGCTGGATTCTGAAAAGAGTAAAGGAGCCAAGGCGATTTCGCGCGTTGGCAGCTGCTGTACGGTTGCGGTTGGAGGAGGTACTGTCGAAGTGTCGCGTGCGTCTTTGGCTTTGCTGGACTTGCGTTGTCCTCTTGGCCAGAGATTTCTGAGTAGCTGACTGTATCGGTGGCCGATGTGGAACCTGTCAGGCGCAGCTTCATCCAAGGCGGAGACAAACTTGTGGACCAACGCCGCAGTTTCTTGACGTCTCTTGGCAGGTTGAAAGGCTCCAGCGCAATCCGCTCTGTGTAGAAACACTGCTGCATATACGCCGTATCTGCCAGGGGAGGTTAACAGGAAACAAAACACATACATTATGTTGGGTAGCTTACAAGTAGTAGCGGTACGGCAAGAAGCATAACTCTCGTTGAGGGTTGAACTCAGTCATCAGCTTCAGCGTATTAGTAGCCGCCGTGATGGCATCCCAGACATATCGCCCGTCGGCGGATCTCATGATGCCTTTGCTGAAAGGCTTCTCTGGCTGTTTATTGGAGGGACTATGCGCAGAAATTGATCGGGAGGTCGAAATCCTTGTCAAAACGGCTTGAAAAGAGAAGGCGTTTACGTAAAGACATAGGTATTCGTAGACGAGGGATAAAGAACGTTTGACTCTGGGTGACACGGCGAGGCCATTCCAAGCAGCTTGCCAGTTCATTGCTGCTCGCTGAAAGTCGTCGAGGTAGCGACTGTAATCGCCATCGTGGACTATTGCTAAAGTGCGCTTCGGTGAGGCGTAGAGGATGCCCTGGACATTGTGCATGAGCTGGATAAGCTCCATTGTAGCCTGGTGAACAGATGCATAATCATCTTGGCTGTCGCGGGAAGAAGGTTGCAAGCTAGGGAAGTCCTTTGCCGTGAAGCGTGTGGAAAGAGATGGACCGCGTGACCAAAAGGACTGTCCCAAGCGAACAGATATCTGTCGATCTGCAATGTAGACAACTTCATTGGGAAGAGCAAGCCGAGATTAGCGAGAGAGAAGAAAAGAATAGAGCAGGGAAGAAAGAAAGATGGACAACTAAAAGAAGAAGAGAGAGACAAAAAAAAAAAGCAAACAAAAAAAGGAAAGCGTTTATCCTTCTGTAAGGAATGCGACACTCACATGTCCATATAAGCCGCTTATGCTCCGCCTGTTCCTTTGTCTCCTGCTGCATTGTGGCATTCGGGAAAGCACCTTGGTCTAGGCGCATCAAGTAAGCCTGTCGAACAGCCAGACCCACGAGTGACCATGACGTTCTATCTTCAATGAAGATGCTTTTATTCTCGTTCGGCGTCGCATGTGTGAGCTCTATATGTGGAAGCCACTCTGACAAGAGCAGCAAACTTTCAACTGTTCTGGATCTGAGAGTCCAGGGATACCCGAGGAGCACTTCTAGCAAGAGCCTTTGGGCGTAGTCCCAACAGTATCTATGGATGGGCGAGTGGGATGGCGAATCTCTAGACGCAATCGTAAGGATGACTGTCAGCAGGAAGAAGTCCGACCTGCTAATTTTCTCAGTAGCAGACTGGCCAAGCATGTATTGCGGCACAATAGGGCAATAAGGATGATAGTTGTGAGAATAACTACATGTAGTGCCCGCGTTAGCCGCAAGATCGAACAACTTCTGCTTCATGGTGGTGGACCTACATGCATAATAAGTCGAGTATGGTTGTATGGTGGATGAGCCCTTTCTCAACTAGCTCATACTCACTAAGGAATGCTGCACCTGAGGGAATACGTGAGACATCATCGCGCTCCTGTGGTAACGTAGACGATGCAATCGACTCCGGCTTTTCAGATTGAGCCAGTATGTGCAATGCGTCCGAGGGGTTTCTCAGCTCGGACACCAGCTGCTCATCAACGGCATTGTCGCTCAAGCTTTCGATATGATAAGTTGACTTCCTCTCAGTAAGTCCAGCTGCCACAGGTGGCGGGTCCAGGGTGCGCTGGGAAGCCTTGCGATTCCTTGCGGACTGCTTCTTGTTCGGCTCGTAGTTCCGGAAATTCCCCCCTCTGCGAGACTCAGCTAGCACACACTCACTGTTCGACTGCAAGCAGGAAACACAGGGAGTCTTTTTCCGCTCTCCAATGCCGCCTCTGCAAGGACCCGTTTGATTACTCTTAGCAGTGGGATATCGTGTGAACAGGATGAACTTGCTTACAGATCGCATCTTGTCTTCCGACGGCGGCACCTGACGCACGCGCGATAAGATCGCTTTCCTGTGCTCCTTGTCATTCCGTCGTACGTTCGGCAACGGGATTCACGGACGAGAAAATGTAAAATGATGTTCCTTATGTTGCCAATATCAGGTATTGGGACAGATGCGGAACAAAGGACAGCACTGTGAAAAAGCTGAGTCGTTTCGGCTATAGACGGTCGGCCTTCATGCGGGGAGGGCTTGACCGTACTAGCGGGGTGATCGGGTAGGAGTTGGAAACTCGCCTCCGATCTACTACTACATAGGTCGCTTTGCCGTCGAAGAGACAGAAGCATTTACGATCGGATTGGCTTTCATTTCGCAACGACTGCCTCCAAGCTACCAGTTACGGCTACGATTCCCGATCTCGTGGCAGGATCAGTGTGACTCCTGTTCAAACTCCGAGAACAATTTGTTTGGTTGCTCCTTAGTTGCATCGGCAACGCATCAATCGGCTATAGACGGACTTGTACAGCTTCCTAGGCAATCTGGCCGTGATGAAGGATGATGCAAAAACTATTTTAAAGAGAATAGACTCCGCTGAATTGTTGGCCGTTCCCCGTTTCATTCATGGTCCGCTATAATTTGTTTATATCTCTCCATACTCATCATATTGTTCCCGTATCACTACATCGCCCGGCAATTTACAGCCTTAACCCACTATCACCACCCCCGCCAATCATCCATTATGGCTGCTGCCATCAACGGGTTCAAGGTCACAGAGCTCAGCCCAGGCTTTGGAGCAGAGATTTCTGATTTCAATGCCGCCGAAGATATGACGGAAGAGAATTTCGGTTGTCTACAGGAAGTAGTAACCACGGTAGGTGCTCTGATTGAACCGGCGACCACTACCGCCTTGACCAATCGGACGAGTCTCACATCAAACTAGCTCGCATGTTTGGAGAGCTAGACGATGTGAAGCCTTACATCGCTGCTGGGCGAAAAAAACAGACTTCAACACGACGAGCTCTTTGATGTCAGCAACATCGAAGCAGATGGATCGATTGTCCACCCGGATAGTCCTCGGGGACAGGCAAATAAGGTAAGACGATGTTAGAAGCACTAGTCATGAGATATGACTCTAAGTGTATGATGTAGGGAAACAGCCTATTTCACGTTGACTCGAGCTTCAACCCTCGTCGAGCTGGGTACTCACTTTTGCTTGCCCACGAACTACCGCCAGCGGGCACAGGCGGTAAGACGGCATTTGCAGACACCCGAACAGCATTCGATGACTTGGACAGCGAAACAAAGGAGGACCTTTTGGTAAACGATTATGTCGCAGCGCATTCTATTCTGCACTCTCGAAAGTTGGCAGCCCCTGAATACTTTGCCGATGTCGATCCTTCCAAGTTTCCCATGGGTCGACACAAGATCGTCCAACGCCATGAGAGGTCAGGTCGAATGAATCTCTACATTGCGGCACACATACACCACATTGAAAATGTAAGCGAAGAGAAGTCAAGAATTCTCCTTGAGAAGATCTTCAACCATGCAACCCAGCCGAGATATGTGATCGAGGTTGAGTGGAAGCAGCCTGGAGACTTGGTGATCTGGGACAACACTTGTACAATGCACCGCGTCATTTCTGGGCCATACAGTGCAAAGTACAGGCGTGACATGCGGCGCGCGACTGTCCATGATTCCAGCAGTACTGCATGGGGGCTGAATGAGCATTCAACTGTACGACAGGGCTTGCCATAGGAACAATGGTTAAGGGGCGGCATTCAGCTCACTGCAATGTCATCAAGGAATGAGGAACTATGTCCACTTTAGAGACAGGAACAAGTCACTCCGAGGACCAGAAATGAGAGGTGCAAACATTGACATTCTACTAAATATATGTTGTGATTCACCACACATCTACCAAGCCTTATCCATGTCACTGAGCTGTCGCTATAGTTGAGTCAAAAACTTGTAACGAACAGAATAGTCTTGAAACTCTGCAGATTGGATCATAGTAATTCCCCCATTCTAGCACCACGGGCTGGGACAGTCGGCTAGCCATTTAGTGAAGGGTAAGGCGGAAGCAGTTGATAAGCTGCGAGTTGAAGCAGCCAACTAGGGAACATTAATATTTCCATCCATCAGAATAGTATTGATAGGCAAACAACGTACCAGGGGTGTTTTGGCCAGCAGAGTACAGGTACGTGCCGCACCAGTCACTTCCGGACAGGCGGCTGAAGTCAAGCTGCTCATTGCTGCGGAGGCCACGGTAACTGATACCCACAGAAAACATATTCACGGTGACGTAGTGCTGGACATCGTAGGAAACATTGTCGAACCAGCCAGCTTGGCCATTGCCTATGCGTTGGATTAGTTAGGTGAGAACGCTTGAGAATGTAGCCGTCAGAGAGTCTACGTACACCAGTCTTGAGCAAACATGCCAATACCAATGTTGGCAAAGGTCTGGCGCTTCTCAGATTCCGGGTGAGCATGAGCCGGAATGTCAATCTGAGCTCGGATCCATGCCCAAGCATCGGTGCCTTCTTCAGCAGTCCAGTATCCGGCGTCGGTCTTGACAGCATCATCAGGGATCGGTCCAAAGACATCAATTCCCTTGGCCGTGGCATTGGCAATGGACTCGATCTCGGCAAGTTCACGAGGAAGAATGGCGAGGCCGAGGACAGAGCTGGCGGCAAAGAGGCCAGAGGCAATGATGGTGGTGAAACGCATCTTGTAGTTGTTTGAAGTTGAAATTTTGCGGAGAATGGGATATTGCTGTTCAGGACGAGATGCTTGCTGCTTGGAGGAGGTGTTGATGAGGTTGACAGTTCAGAGGCGGTTGAAGAGGAACACACTTCCCTTTTATACCTCGATCTTCTCCCATTGACCTGCTTTGGCATTATTATCAGGGATTCCTTTGCAGCTCGAACCTAAGCCTCTCTCATTGTTGATACCGGCATGGCAATCATGAGACCAAGCGGTTGTGGCTCGATTGCTGCCAATGATCATGGTCAATTTTCACTCGGAACCTAACAAAGGGACAACTGACAAGAGCTATAATCTGACAAGAGAAGATGAAGTTATTTCGACCTGTGCTGTCGGCGTCGGATTGGCTGCCAAGCATCAGGCTTCCGCAACACAGGAGTTCCCACTCCATTATTGGGACTTCTGGCAGGGCAAAGCCTGGTATGTGGCAGGGGACGTGGATAAGCTCAGCCAATGATGGGGTTTCTCCTGCTCCGCGGTGCTTACCATGCTGCCAGCCGCACTCCTTCTCGAGAAATAGCTCTTATTATGGGCTAGGGTAGTTTACTCTATTTTCTACGCTTAATCTCTTATACCGGTAATTGGTCTAATTCGCCAACATGCGACTTGATTGGAACCGCCGTACATAGGGCTGTATAATGGGTAAATTCATGTGCAGTCTTTCCTTCAATTGAGAAAGAGCAACTTATTGCCTTTGATTGAAAACTCGCATGGATGGCGTACGTTATTTTCCCGTCAATCGGTAATCGGAGGCGTAAGCATTTGCAAGACTGGACAAATTAGTCCTTTCAGGGCTAATGAGAATCTGATGAAGGGCACTTTCAGCGTGTTGTTGGAGGCAAAAACCGGGGAAGAGGTCGTTATCGGAACAGGTACTTATGAATGATGCTTTACGTTCAATGTATTAAAGCAGATCACCCAATCCAAGTTCACACGAGAAGAAGTCTCTCCAAGAGGAAATCCCCAGAGTCCTGTGTTTTAACAAAGCAAACAGCTATGTTTTATCAAGTCCTAGCGCTATCCCGTGCTGTGGCATGGACGAGATAGTAAGCAATGCGAGTAAACGCAGAATTTGTGGAGAGGTAGCTTAGGACACGCCAGGGGTCCTCCCGTTCGATCAACTCCTACGATCGGATCTAAATATATACGTGCCTAGTCATTACGACACTAAATTGAGTCAGCTGTGGACATCAGCCCTGTGCGTCTGCCATTCTCATTTAATCCTCTGGCCGGCTCCAGTATTCACAGAGTCTGACCAAACTTGAACGCCCGTAAACCTTCAGGCGGTGGGATATATCACTTGTCGCCTGAGCTGACAGAGATAGGAAGTTTGCACGTTCGCAAAGCAATACTAGGTCCATAATTGGGACTTTTGTAGATTGGAACCCGCCAATAGCCGGCTGAGGGAGAAAGTGTTTTAGTGTCCGTAAGAAGGCGAGAATTGGCGACGTCGGAGTGCTTGGAATAAGCTCTGCAGAGTCTACACAGCACACAGCCACAATTTTCCTGCAAGAGGGACGACTCTATGTTCGCTATTCATTGGGCTCGACCGGGGGTTGAAAACAGAAGTAGAACTACCGAGGTTACAATCTAAGACCTCGGTCAGATCAAGAGAATTCCATACTAACAGCAGCGGCTTGGACAAATTCATTATGCTAATTATCTCAAGCATAGGTCCGACAGCGGACGGCGAACGGATTGTAACATCGACTACTGTATACTGTAATCACAAGATTGGATCTCAGCCACCGTCAAGTAAGGTGCTATAATAACTGTGATTGGAGCAATCTCTTTCTCGGGATGAAGTGAAAAATAGGGTTATCCGTTATCAAATGCATAAAGATTTTTCATCTGACTAACGTCAAGACACTGGAAGCAAATTTGTGTTACTCTTGGCATCTACACATACGCATTAGACATGAAGTTCTGGTCTTGCCATGATCTAAACGAATCCGCACTTGCCGAATTAGGAAATATTCGAGCGCGATTCTCCAGCCGATCAAAGCCCCACATCGCCACTGAGGCTGAAGTGTGTGATGTTCTAGAAAGCTTCTGAAGATGGCAATATTCAAACGCATTGAAAATGGGCGGAGATGTTCCTGAGGGCGCAGCGACTTCAAGTCGTATGCCATTGCGTGTTCGGATCAGAAGAGTGAGGATATAAACCAGCTTGGTCCAGCTCTACAACTTCACATGCGGGAAGCACAAGCAACAAGTCAATAGCACCGACACTCATTCCAGCCCTCAGATTCTCACATCTTTTTTTTTCCAAGTAGACACAAAGCGCATCATTCAGCTTCTCATCGCCGCTGCTGTCATGGCACCTGCCACTGCGGTGCCCGTTACAGCAGCAAAAGCCATGGAATGCACTCCATTCCCGTCAACCATGATTGAATACTCTTCCGCCTTCAAGCAGCCAAAGCCGCCTTCGGTGCATCCGGAGTTTACGACAAACTTCGTGCAGCACAAATGGTAAGAGGATAGCTTGCAGATGTCAACTCTTCTGCAAAGTCTGACCCTGAGATGCAGGGATGAGACTCTCTCTCACATCATGACTGGCTACATTGACAACTCTCCTACCAACAAAATCGTGCGCGTGGTCGAGGCCTACGACGATGCCCCAGCTTCTTCCGTTTTCAACTATGCCAATGTTACCACGGACGGCCTCGTGGACAACTTCATGACCATCTACAACGGGACGAAGCCATATCTTTAGCAGGGCTATGTCAACTCTAATTATCCTATTTTCGAGAAAGACTTCCTTATCAAGAACGATGCTGTATTTAGAGGTCTCTATTAAAATAAGAGAGTGTGATATTATATATATATTAATAATATATAAAGGACTTGATTTAACTAGATATAAATATTAAGGGCAGGGCCTTTCTTATATATTAGCTAAGATTTATAATAAAATTTAATAAAAAAACCTAATAGCTTAAATATCTTATAAAATAGAAAAATTATAATAAAGCTAATAATATTTAAGAGCTTATTAAGTATCTTAAATACTTAAAGGCCTTAGTTAATAATTTTTATTAATAGTTAAACTTATAAAAGTTAATAAAAAAGGATTTAACTTAAACTAAGACTAGTTAATAAAATTAATAAAAGAAGTTAAAATATTAGAATTTATTAAATTAGGTATAGATATTACTGCTTAATAAAAGGCCTTTGCCTTTTTATACTTAATATAATCTAACTCTTTTAAATTTTTAATACCTTAAGATATAGTATATACTGCTTTTTTTAATTACTTTTTTTATTATTTATAAAAGTAAGAAACCTTTATTATAAGAAGTATAATCTCCTTTTTAATAGCTTTAACCTTATTATTAAGCTAATTATAATAATAAGAAATATATAATAATTATTAAGGTAAAAGAAATGCTTTATAATAAGATTTATATACTTTAATATATTTTAAATATCTACTAGAATTAATTTTTAAAGTAAGGTATTAAAGGCCTCTCTTTTTATAATAAAAGCAAGGTTTTATTTTAGTAAGTCTTAAAAGAATAAATATAATAAAAGTAATACTTTTATTTAATTTTCTTTTTTTAAACTAAAGATTAGTAGGTTTTTATATATAAGAAGTTATACTATTAGAATATAAAAAAGCATTATAAAAAAAAAAAAAAACATACTAAGAATAAAGTAAGAGACCTTTAAGATTATATAAGGCAAGTAAGGTCTTAAAAATAAGACTAATAAAAAAAAGATATTATATTATAACCTAACTTTTAAGGTTATAATAAGGGTTACTCTTAATAAATAGGATTAAATTATTTATAATCTTAAGGACTAGTAAATTAATATAAATTAATATTAATTTATAATAACTTTATTAAAAATAACTAGCTATATAAGGATTTATTTATATTACTTATTTAAATAGTTTAAATAAATAATTATTAATATAGTAATTAGATTAAAATTAGTTTATTATAATCTACTAGCTATATAACTATTTATAACTGCCTAAGATTTAACCTAACCTTTTTATTAATAAAAACCTAAATAGCTTATTTATTAAAGCTATTTACTTAAACAGTTTCTTTTTTAAAAAGTATAACCTACTTACTAAGGTTAACTAGTTTATTATATATTAACTTTAGTACTAGTATAAGAAATAATATATACTATAGCTAATAATAGTATTCTTTTACTAAAAATATAACTTAAAAAAGCCTTTAAAAAACCCTTAGTAAAGCTAAAAGCTATTAAAAAAGAAAAAGCTATAAAGTCTTTTATAAAAATTAATAATATATAAAGTATAACTAAATTAATTATTAAAGTTATTATTAATCCTTTACTTAATAACTTAATAAAATCTCTTAGCTATATTAAAGCACTTTAGCTACTTATTAAGGTAACTAAAGCCTGTTATAACCTAACCTTATAGTTATAATAATAAGCTACCCTTAGTAAATAGGACTAGATAAATAATAAACTAGCCTGCTAATTAGGATTAGATTATTAAATTATTAAGATAATTTATTAATTTAAATAGGATTATTTAGATTTATAAGTAATTTATTTTAAGATTATCTAGATATTAAAGATAATTTAGCTAAATAACTAGATATATAAGTTATATTTATATTACTTATTTAAATAGTTTAAATAGCTAGTTATTAATATAGTAATTAGATTAAAATTAGTTTATTATAATCTACTAGCTATATAACTATTTATTATGCTTAAGAATTAACCTAACTCTTTATTAATATAAACTTAAATAGCTCTTTTATTAAAGCTATTTATTTAAATAGTTTATCTTTTAGGAAATATATATTCTTACTAATTATAAGAATGCTAGTTTATTATATATTAATAACTCTTGTTTAGGAAGTTACTTTAGACTCTTAGATAATATTAAATAAAGAAGTATTACTTATATAAAGAAGTAATAGTAATAAGTTAATATAGTAACTTTAATATAAATAGATCTTAAGTAAATAGCTTAAAATGCAGCTAAAAATGCAGCTCTTTAATAACTTGCAGCTTTTAAAGCCTTAGTTTAATAAGTAAACTAAGAATAAGCTTAGTAATAAGCTATAATTATAACTTTAAAAGCTTAACTAAACTAACAGTAAGCACTACTAGTTAATAATATATAAATCTAGTATAATAAAAAATAACCTAAAGAGATTATTAAGCTACTTATACTAGCTATATATAATAAAGATATAAAGAAGACTAAAGCATTTCTTATAAATATAAAGGCATACTTTAAGTACTTTTTAATAACTATCTTAACTAATAAGATAAAGGTATAAATTACTGCTTTTTAACTTAATAAAGTAGCTAAAGACTAGTTTAAACTATACTAGTAGGATTTTAAAGCTACTATTAATAATATTAATAAATATAAAGTAATTATTATAGTAATATATAATAATTATAAATACTTTAAATAATAAATTAAAGACATTTTTAAAGCTATAAATAAAAAGAAAGAAGCTAAGAACTAGCTTCTTAAACTTAAATAAAAGGGGTTATGCTTAAAGTTTATTATAGAGTTTATTTAAATTAGCGCTAAAACTAATATAAATAATGCCTTAAAAAGGGTACTTTACTATTAAGAATTAAAATTTAAAATAAAAGATAAACTTATATAAGATAATCTCCTAGACTTATTTAAAGCCCTTTTAAAAAAAGTAACTTAAATTAATAATTAATTATATAAATAATATAAGGAATATAGTATAAAGAAATATAATAATTAAAAACTATTTTAATAAAAAAACTTTATAAATTAAAAAAAGAAATATAATATTATAATATATAATAATAAAAAGCCTAGACTAATAAATTTAAATATTATTAACTAAAAGAAGTATAATTAATAAAATATTAAATACTTTAATTATAAAAAGAAAGGATATATTAAGAAGTTTTATTATAGCCTATTAAAAAAGGATAATAGTAAATAATAATTACTAGTTCTTAAATTATAAAATAAGAAGTTTATAAATACTATAGCACTTATTATAAACTATAAAAGTCTTAATTAAATAGTATACTATAATAATAATTATTTAATTTACTTAAGTAAGAAGTAAGGATTAGAATAGTTTTTATAAAAACTAAAGAATAAGAAGTGTTTTAATACTCTTACTACTTAACTATTAAGTAATAAATATAGTAATAATAAAATCTCTAACTTAAATATAATAAAAGCTAAAGAGCTTAAGATTTAGAATAAGAACTAGAAGATATTTTAAAAAGAATAATAAAAAATAGCTAAACTTAATAAGATTATAAAAGCTATAAAAATAAAATAACTAAAATAAGAATATTATAAAGGATATAAATCTTAAGATATTAATAATACTAAATATAACTATAGTTATTACTTTAATAATTAAGAACTAGTAATCTTTAATATAATCTTACTTTACCCTTTAACTAATAAAATAGCTAAAAAAGCTATAAATAAGCCTATATTATATAGTAAAGAAACTAAAAGAGGATTTATATTAGTAATCTTTATAAAAGTAGCTATTAATAAGGAATTATAAAATAAATAATAACTATAGTATTATTAAAATATAAATAATTTAATAATATTAAACCTTCTTTTTATAAAAGCTAATATAAAATAAGACTTATTTATTATAAAATATAATAAAAAGAATAAAAATAACTATAATAAAGTCTTTTATTAAGACTATATTATAA